GTGCCATGCTGTTTTGCATCATCATATTCTTTATTTCTCAGTTCTTCCCCTAGCATCTCCTTTTCTCTTTTTGTTTCTGTTCTGGTGTTCTCCTTGAAGCTTCCTCATCTGGTTTGTTTGAAAAAATATCCTTTGTGCTTGAATAATTAAATTCCTAGTTGAGTGTTTGCTTAGCTTCTCGTGATAGAGTTCCATAAGTTCAGATGATCTTTGTCTCACAAATTCTGTTTGTTGTAATTTGTGAAGTATGCCTTGCTATGTATTATGCCTTCACTTTAAGAATTTGAGGGTCTTCTTTTGTTGGTGAATAGAAGTTCTAACATTTTTCTCAACTGATTTATGTCTTTCTTGTGGCTTCCCATAATTTCTTTCTCCTGTCTTTCAGGTTTTGGCAAGTCAAAAACGAATGGAAAATAAGTACAAAGCTGCACAACAAGCTTCTGAAGATTGGTAACACATAGTTAGAGTGTTGTCTTAAGACTGAAAAGGGTTTGACTTAATCTGATTGGCAACAGTGTATTGAGATGAATTTTCACCTTCATTGTAGGTACCGGAAGGCACAACTTGCTCTTCAAAAGGGAGAGGAAGATCTTGCACGCGAAGCTCTCAAGAGGCGAAAATCTTATGGTGTATGTTCACATCTTTCTATGAACTGTTCATGTTTTACCATGTCTCAGCTGGACTTAATTTCAGTCATGATAAATAATCCCGCACAATCATTAGTAACTGTGGAAGTAGTCTAACTGTGTCAACCCTTTGTTCTGGCAGCTTGTATCTTGGTGATGTTAGGATAACAGTCCTGTTTTCTGCAATTGATGCCGTATTTACTAGAATCTTCACTAAATCAATTGATGTGGCCTTTCTAGTATCAAATGACATGTTTGTTTCTCTTGGCAGTGATCTTTTATCCTACATTATTGATAGTGTTTATGGAGGTGGAAGAGACTAGAGTATGAATATCTACGGTTACTTAGCTGAGCTGATTACTTGTGGTTCAGTGCTTATCTTCAGAATTAAATGTTCCTGCATTTACAATTACAATTACAATTACATGACAAGTAGATACTAGAAATGCTGTATTGTTCACTGAATGTAATTCCCTTCTTAGATGAGAAGATTTGCATTCTCAACCAAGTTGTGCATTTCAATTCTTGCAGGATAATGCTAGTTCTTTGAAAGCTCAGCTTGATCAACAGAAAGCTGTGGTGGACAATCTTGTAGCTAACACTCGGGTATGTCATGTTTACAAGTTCTGCATTATGGTCGTCAGATTTTATTTCATTTAGGTCAAGTCAAAAGAGATCAGGCAGTGCTGGAAATTTGTGTTTTTGTGTTTTCAGTTGAAAGGTAATTTTAATTTGCTAGCCATAAAGAAGCAAAAGACTAAAACATTGTTTTCAAACTTTATGCAGTTTCTATCTTCCTAAGTTTCCCGTTGTCAAGTGTCAACTTATTTGTGCTCACATTTTTCACTGCTTGTAGCATCTTTTTCATGGTTTTCAAAATGTAAATAATTTGTAGTGATTGATAAATTGTTATCTTAGAAACTTCCAACTTTGTGCAGCTCTTGGAGAGCAAGATACAAGAGGCCAAGTCCAAGAAGGATACTCTAAAAGCACGTGCTCAGAGTGCAAGGTTTTTCTCTGACATCATTTCCGCACTTTCCGTTTATATTTTCTAGACATATATGTCAAAGGATAGTATTTCTGAGTTGCATTTGTTGCTTTTAGGACGGCGACCAAAGTGAATGAGATGGTAGCAAATGTCAGTACCAGTAGTGCTCTTTCAGCTTTTGAAAAGATGGAGGAGAAAGGTATAGCATTCAGCATAACTTTCATGTCATTCACGGAAATCCATTGACCGATTGCCTTGTAGGACTTGATTGATCATAATCAGCCTGTCCGCTTAAAAACTGATTGTGGCTATTCGTTGAGGGTCGCGATAGAATGACATTGACAAATTGGCCTCAAAATCCCATGACTATAATTCACGTATTCTGTTTAGTATAGAGAATTGATAACCAATCTTTTTCTATTGTATTTATAGAATCAAGGGCTGAAATTCTATGCATATTTGTTTTAGTTTGCTTCTGAAAAGCATAATCCTTAATGTAGGGGTTACGCTTCCATGTCTGCTAGTTGAATGTTATGTCACTTCTCTGTCAAATGTCACTACGTTGATAGTCCTTGCTTTGAAGTTTTTGTGGATTCTCATTTTGCCAGAAGATTTGGACTTAGAACTCAGTTTTACCTTTTGATGTTTTCGATCTTGGTAGTTATGACAATGGAATCAGAAGCAGAAGCTCTTGGCCAATTAACTATTGATGAGTTGGACGGGAAGGTATTGAAACTATATCTTATCCATTTGCCATTAAGTTGGTACTTCTGAGTTCTGATGACGCTGTAGGTAAACCTCAAATCATATTGACATAATTTTTGGAATTTAGGATCCATCCGTTCTTTTCCTTTATCATCCACATGGGCAGTAGAATCCAGCTGGTCTTCAGCACCATTTTGTTTAGTGGTTGAACAATACTTGATAGTATAGCATAGATACATAACATGGTTGGACTTTTGGTGTCTCCAGTCAATGAAGACCATCATTAGCAGCAATGCTGCGGCAGTCATTCACATTCATATGTCGAAAAATTAAAGTTTATCGAAACTCAGAGCACTGTCAAGTGTCAAGCTAATTGTAGCCTATCACACTTGATTATAGTACTATGCATCGTATTGCTAAGCATTATTGATAGCTTGTTCCTCCTTGTATATCATGCCTCTTATTTCCTGTTTGCGATTCCACTTCTCTGTCTTCATGTTTGTGTCACCCACCCTATTGTATTGTCCCATGACTGCATCTTAACCAATGGTGCAGTTCTTGGCACTTGAGACCACGTCAGTGGATGATGATCTGGATAGCTTGAAGAAGGAGCTAGCCGGTAGCACAATGAAGGTAAAACGGTTCACATAATTATTGTCGTCTTTCCTTTACATCAGTCAGACATGGAGCAGCGAATTCTACTTGCGTAAATGTTACTATGGTTTTCAATCTCTTGTGTTCATCTGTAACCTGTAAATCTCTTTATCAGAAGGAGCTGCCGCCGGGACAAAACATTTTCACCCGCACAAGAGATCCGGATATTGAGATGGAGCTCAACGAGTTGCGGCAGAAGAGGAAGGAATTCTAGGAGAAAAAACTAGTTTTTTGTGTATTGGGTAAGGCCAGAGTCGACCATGATTGTTATAGTTCTGCTTCATTCGATTGGAGTCAATAGTTTGCTTTAGTTTCTATATTTTATCCTATATAAGTACAGTTTTTCTATGCGATCTACTTGAAACTTCATAGCTGAATATGTTTTTCCTCTGTAAAACTACGGAGAACTTGGGTCTTGTTTAAAGGGGTTGGAAAGTTGTACATACGATACGAAGCTTGCTTAATCCACTCTGAAATTGAGACACCATAATCGGACGATATTTCAATTTTCAAGAGAGCTTCACTTGATGCCTATGGATATGAGATCTTCAAAGGTTATATGCCTGAAAGACAGTAGGCACAACTCTGCACAAAGAGTTAATTTTGAAGACTAACTACGGCGGTCACAATTATGCCAAAACTTGTTATGAAGCTATGAGTTATTTACCCAGTTAAGCTACGTCTTAATTCACTAGCTCGATTTACTTTATGATTTGAACACAACACCTCACCTCTGAATCGAATTTCATTAAGAGGTTACATGGGTGTTAGTCTAACATGAATATCATTATGTGTTCGTGTTATGTGTTCGTGTTATGGATAATCGAGATCATTCAGAATTATATACTATATATATATATATATATATTATTCAACAATGTGTACTGTCAAACTCAAATTTCGGATCATATAATTAGAAATTGAGCTTTATAATCATCATTTCTCAAGTGAAATTGATATCTAAATGATACATTTCGTATGATAAGAGTGCAAACACGCTACATTCAACTCCATTATGGAGTTCCTCTTAGTTGTTCACCGGTTGTGATACAACTAAACTAAATTTGATTCCTAAATTTACTTTAATTTTATTGATTTATTTACTCCAAATGTTAACAGTCATTGCCTAATGTCCAACCGTGAAACATTAGTCTAAATTTAGTGACCAATGAGAAATTAAATTTTTTGGAGTGGCAAAAGTGAAACAAATTAATAAATCTAGCGACAAATATGCAATTGACCCGATGATGATAGCAATAATTAACGGACGGTCAGATATCCATCACACACATCACTAAAGATGAACACGCGGGCATCTGAACAATTTACTAGTAGCCAATAGCGCAATACCCTGCTTAACCCCTTCCCCACTCACCGCCCGCCGGTGTGACTCACATTGATCTCTTCATTTGGACCCTATACTTCCGCGCAAGTCAGTCTTAAGAGACGGAGGAACGTGTAATTACTAATTACTCGATACCGCCTGGTTTCTCCGGTGAGCCATTAACCCTCCGTGCGTCGTCGCAATTTCGCTTTCGTGTTTTCTTTCTGTTCGACAATGGCGTCGTCGTCGTTTTCCTCGCGGCTTTGACCGTCTTGTCCTTTGATCGGAGCTCTTTTCTTCTACGGTTTGTTCTGCGCTCTCCGTAGCGGCAGTATCGAAATTTCTTCTCCGTTGTTTCTGCCTTTGTTTGCTGGTGTAGGAGAAAAGTCCGCTGGATAGAGGAGAAGGTCCTAGCGTTTTGACGAGATCCCTTCCCTCCTTTAGTTTCTTCTTTTTTGTTGTTGTTAAGAATTGCTGTGTACGAACTGTTGCCAAATGCTCGATTGTTTATCTGAGAGCGGTTTATGAAGAATTCTGCTGTTCGTTTGGAGTAGTCTAAAGAGTAATATTGAAGAACGTAGCTCTTGCCTCTTTTGTCTGCTATTCTATGACATCTTCTGTTTTGGTTTGCTCAGCTCAACGAAGCAGCTCATTACTAAGGCATCTGAATGCTGCTCTTCGTGTAGTGTGAAGCATATGTAAGATGGCTTCCAGAGCAATTGTGAGGAGAAACAAGGCTGTTTTTTATTACTTCAGCTCGTCTGCTCGTTCGGTTTACAGTCTCCATGGTCTGCCGCATGGAAATCAACAGTTGGATGGCTTTGATGCCAATTGTCATCAGCATTCGGAGGTAGCTGACAGAAAGGAACTCAATGGTGCTGCAGTGAGAAGAGCAGAATTGGTTGGTGTTCTGGGTGCAGGGAACTTCAGGCATAGATTCCATAGCAGTGCAGTTTTGAGCCCCAGATATGTGAGATCAGAGTTCTTTGGCCCGCTGAGATACATGTCCATCTCTTCTGGTAATGCATCTACAGCCGCAGCTAAGCAGCCCGAGCTTGGCAGTGATGAGGAGGGTAATGGAGATTCTGTTTCTAAAAAGAGAAAGGAAGTGTCCCCAGAAGATTGTGATGAAGCAGTTGAAGGCCTAAGCACTGCCAAAGCCAAGGCAAAAGCCAAGAAGTTACAGGAGTCTAAAAATTTTGCGAAATCCGTTTTGCAGAAGACATGGGCCATTCTTCTGGGAATTGGTCCTGCCTTAAGAGCTATAGCTTCAATGAGCAGGTCCAAACCTTCACTTTTTATATACATTTAGTTTGTGATACCCCAGTTTAAAGATCTTGTACGTGTTTTCTGATTTGTGATTAAATGCTTGACTTGCTGTTCTCATTGCAGGGAAGACTGGGCCAAAAAGCTTACCCACTGGAAACATGAGATAGTCTCAACATTGCAGCATTACTGGTTAGGCTTGAAGCTATTGGGAACTGATGTTAGGATCAGCATAAGATTGCTGTTGAAACTTGCTGGAGGGAAGAGTCTGTCCCGAAGGGAGAGGCAGCAGCTAACACGAACAACTGCGGACATATTTCGTTTGGTTCCTTTTGCCGTATTCATCATTGTACCCTTCATGGAGTTTCTGCTACCAGTATTTCTGAAACTTTTCCCCAACATGCTGCCCTCAACATTCCAAGACAAAATGAAAGAGCAGGTGGGGTTAATATATGTCCAAACCCAATTATAGTTCTTTTGCTTTCCTTTCTACTGAAACTTGCTCTCTGGTTTCCATTATTACAGGAAGCATTAAAGAGGAGGCTAAATGCAAGGATAGAATATGCGAAGTTTCTTCAAGAAACAGTGAAGGAAATGGCAAAGGAAGTTCAAAATTCACGAAGTGGCGAGACTAAGAAGACTGCTGAGGACCTTGATGAGTTTTTGACCAAAGTAAGTACTGCATAGATAATGTGTTCTCTCCTTTAAGGTGGCCTATTTATCTGTTTTCTTTTTCACATGAGTTTCACGCATTGACCAGGTTAGAAAAGGTTCTTCCGTCTCTAATGATGAAATTCTAAGCTTTGCCATGCTATTCAATGATGAGCTGACTTTGGATAATATTAGCAGGTATGATGTTGTATGATTGCTTCTGTTCATTGCTTCCTTGTACATTTCCTCTTTGCTTTCTTGACACATCACTTTTCCTAACAGGCCACGACTAGTCAGTATGTGCAAGTATATGGGAATCAGTCCTTTTGGAACTGATTCGTATCTGCGGTTTATGCTTCGGAAAAGGCTTCAAAGGTGATACTCACCTTCCCATTCTATCATTTCCAAGTTAGATGCTGTGTTCTTTTGGTTCAACTTGGCTGTGTCCACAAGTTTTAGAACATAATTCTCATCGTCTATCTCATTGCATTTGCATTTGCCTTTTCATTTCATTTATATTGAAATTCAGGTCATCTTTTATATGGTTTTTACTTTTTTTACTAGTCAAAAGACTTATAATGGTCTCTGGAGAAGATTTACCTTCAAATTGGAATTCAACAGATTTGACTTATAAATAGTTGTTCAAGCAACTTTTTTATGGAATTTATAAATGAGTGACTGGTCTGTTAACTTTGGTTATCTTATGTTAATTCAAGACTTATATATATCAATATGATGAACTGTTAAATATTTATGTCTTTACTAACCATTAATTTCCCCCTCGAGTAGATTAGAGAACAACTCCTGTATGTTTATTTGATCTCCTTCTCTATGTTTATGAGAAAGAGGAAATGCTCATACAATTAACATGTTGGTTTTTCCTTTTCCAGCATTAAAAAAGATGACAGGATGATCCAGGAAGAAGGTATCGAGACACTTACCGAGGATGAACTTCGTGCGGAATGTAGAGAACGTGGGATGCTTGGGCTACGTTCGGTCGAGGAAATGAGGCAACAGGTTCCATGTGTCTTTATATTCCCTGAACTTTTACCTTTGGTGGATTGGGACAGTCTTCTCTAAATAGCCTCTCTTCTAATACTTACACTGTAATATGTCTGCTGTAATTTCGTGCAGCTCCGTGATTGGTTGGATCTGTCTCTCAATCATGCTGTGCCATCTTCTCTCCTAATTCTCTCCAGGTGCCATGAAGATCTATTGATCTACTTGTATTTATATTCTTTTGATTCCTTTTAAGTTCAATGCTCACGTTTTGTTACCCACTTTCTGACTGATCTATTTTCACCACTTTATGCAGGGCTTTCCTTGTGTCTGCAAGAGTTAGACCTGAAGACGCAATTCAGCAAACACTTTCATCTCTTCCTGATGAGGTTGTGAATACTCTTGCCAGTACTGGTTTGCCATCTGAAGATTCTGTTTCAGAAAGGAGAAGGAAGCTGGAGTTCCTGGAGGAGGAGGATAAACGTATCAAGGTATGCATTGAGTGACACCCAGTTTCATCAGTCAATGATTTAAGATCTTTCTAGAGTTCAACAAATTAATAAAAAATTACCTTTGAAATTTCAAATGAACTCAGTTCTAAATATTCTCACAATTGGTTAAACTTGTCCTTAATCATAGAGGGAAAAGCCCTAGCTACAGTTCTCGTCTGTCGGAAATTGCTTGCGAATCTGGGAAGCTTTGGAAAATTTTATTGGTCTTGTCGTGTTAGTTTAACTGCATTACTCATTTGGAACTCATATACAACAGGAGGAGGAAGAGAAGGAGGAGGAAGAGCTTGCTAGGATGAAAGAACATAAAGTACGTGAAGATGAAGATGTGGCATTGAAAGAGATGACTACACCAACTGCTAGGGAAGCTCAACAACTAGCGAGAGAAAGAACTTTGGAGAAACAGGAGGAGCTGTGTGAGCTCAGTCGTGCATTGTCCGTTCTAGCTGCGGCATCAGTAAGAACTTGCAACTTCTTTCTTTATTGGACTTCTCAATCATTCTTGTTTTCTAATATAACTGTGTATTCTTTCCCTTCTAATTTGGTTATCATCATTTTGCAGTCAGTTAGTAGGGAGCGTGAAGAATTCCTGCGAATGGTCAATAAGGAGGTCAGAATTGATATTATTGTTCAATGTCATATTTAACATAGGAAAATTATGTCATTAAGGTTTGTGCTGGAACTTTTTTTTGGGGTGTTCAGATTGAGCTTTATAATAGCATGAGAGATAGTGAAGGCATAGATGACGAGAAGGCAGCAATGAAGGCTTATAGAGCTGCTAAAGATGAAAGCGAGCAGCGTGCAGCTGAAGTGGAAGAAGAAGAAGCTGATGAAGTTTCTTCAGCACTTATTGATCGGGTACTCTACTCCCATTACATTCATATAATCCATGCCAATGAACTGCTGTAGCCACGAATCTCTCTCTATTTGAAACTAATGAGGATTACATGTGCTCAAGGTCGACGCCATGCTCCAAAAGCTCGAGAAGGAAATTGACGATGTGGATGCTGAAATTGGGGATGGTTTCCGACTACTTGACAGGTGCATTTCTCTCTTGGTGAATGTGTCAGGTGTCTTAGAATGCATTTCTCTCTTTGTGGCTTATGTTAGGTGTCTTAGGGATAGGATCACGCACAGGCCTAAGGGTTTTCCCTTTGATACTGCAATTCTTCTAGTGCCTGTCTTTAGGATTTATTATTGATGTTTATAGTTCCTGTAAATAGTTCAACTTCCTAATAAGTCTTTAGATCATAATACCGAAACAGAATTGCCAAGAGATTGACCTAATAGTAATTTGTGGATGATAACATTCAATCATACTGTCAGTCCGAACCTTGGGGCTAACCTCACCTATCAAAGTATGTAGTGCTGAAATAGAGAACATAAACATTTGAACAAATTAGACATGAACCTGAGTTGTAGACTACAACTCAGTCTCTTATCTTCTTACTCATGCTTACTGTGATAATGCGTAGGCCACAACCTTTTCAGAAGATAACTCGTATTTGTGGTGTTTGGTTTTCATAATGACCAGGGATTATGACGGAAAAGTCACTCCTGAAGAAGTGGCAGCAGCAGCAAACTATCTCAAGAACACCCTCGGGAAGGAAGGCATCCAGGAATTCATCAGCAATCTGGCAAAGGACTCTGGTGCGTGGTTCAATCATTTGTTGTTCTTTAACTCAATAGTCTTGCTTGTAGACCACTTACTCGTTCTGCATTTCTCGATTATTGTACAATCAACAGATGGGAAGATTCGCGTGGAAGACATTGTGAAGTTGGGGAGTCGTTTGGAAGAGGAGACTGGCGAGGCTGAAGAGGATGATGAACGGGCCAAGTGAAGGAGGGAATTTTTTTTTTTGCGCAGGGAGTAGTGTCTTCACCTTTTTGACTATCAAACATCCTCAGAACTATATACAACCAAGATGATTATGAAATATGTTGGTGACCCCGGATATATGGAAAGCTTAGCCAACTGCCCGAATTATATCTGTTAATACGAAATCGAAATGAGTCATTAGCAATAGCCTCAGTTCTTTCCAGAGTACTGTTTATCTGATTCGTCGAGTTATCAACCAGTTTATTAGGAGGCATACTTTTGGGGGCATTTTGTAATTGCTTGTTCTCCAGTTGTCTACACTTGCGCTGACAGAGTTGGATTGTAATCTTAGTGAAGCAAGTCTGCTCTTACAGGAACTTGCCTTTTGCCATTTTGCCACAGAGGGTAAGGCTATTAAAGGTGTGGGCTATATGGTTTGGGTGAGTGGTCCGAAATCGGTTTCGAATTGGTACAAGATCGGATTCAAATCATAGATCAGTCATTGTGCGATATTTCATTCATGTTAAAAGTGGGGTGGGAAGTTCTTAATCCGAATGAATCTTAATATTGTGTTTGTAATTCAAGCGAGATTGATGATGTGTATTATTTGTAATCCTACATGAATAACAATGTGGACTATCCGAATTGTTCTTGGGTTCGGTTTCGGTAAGGTACAAAACAATATGGCGCGGGTTTCATTTCAGAACAAGGTTAGAGGTCCGAAACCAGTTTCCAGGCTTTCGCGCCACCTTTTACTTTGTTTTGGTTCGGAAAAACCCTACACAGTACACAACTCCCCTTGCTGCCCGTCCCGCCGTTCAAACAGAGCCGCCTACTTCCGCAATTTCCTCCGGCCGCCTCCGCCTTCGTCTTCGTCCCCCGTATATTTTATTCATGGCGGTCTTACCATATACATCCGGAGAATTAGTCCTCAGGGCAATAACAGCAAGCAGCAGCAGCAGCTGAAGAGCTTTTTCTCTTGTCGACATCCACCCCACCACCAATAATGTCGTGTGTGACATCCTACAGTGTTTTCGCGCCTTCCGCTAACTTTTTCTCCGGCTTCAACAAGAACAATGTCAATTTCTCAGTGTCAAACGCTCCCTCGTCCTTCTTCAGCAACCTTACTCCTTCGTCTGCGTCATTTCCAAGGCTCTTTAGCTGTGGGAATATTTTGAATAGCAGAAGGCTGGTTAGTACCGACTGGCGTTGTTGTGCTGCCCAGCAATCGGGAAACTCGGCTTCAGCTGCCTCCCTGGGTAGCGATGACTCTGGTGAGGGAGGAAGTGAGAACCCTTTTCATAGTTTCTGCATTTGTGATTGAACTAGAAGTCATTTCTTTTTGTCTATGGCTCGATTGGATTGTGGGTTTTGAAATTGCTGTGCGATGAAAATTGGTGAATTGGGTGGATAGACCTCTGACTCTGAACATTTTGCTTCCTGGAATGTTATTGTGTAAAGAATTTCTTCTTGATAATGGTGATTGTAGTCTGTGCGAATCAGGGTTGGTCCCTGTATGGATTCTGCTGATCTCAGTAGCTATGTCGAGGTATGTGTAGGTGAGGAAACTGAATCCGTGGTACTGCTTATGGCTAATTCCCCTGTGCAAAGCAAGTGATGTTGCTTTTCCTCAGGGTGTTCTTGTTCTTTGGTCCTAAGATCAGTAGTGGTGATACTCTAATAAGAGTCATTTGGATTTCTGAATCATGGCTTGTACGGATTGGTGATAGTGTTCAGATGTCTAGCGGGATGAGTGCATGTTCATCCTGCAATTGGGACTCAATGCTGTAGTTTTTTTGCTATTCTGTAGACAAAAGATGATTGAGCCTTGAAGGGTTAGGCGTTACGATTTAAAGGTCTCTTCTGACATATCTCATTTGTCCCTTTTATCTTGCTGTGTATAGAGGTTCATAGGGTCCATGATATAGGCGGGTAGTTTCATGACTGAAGTTTGAGATGCTCAGAATCCAAGAGCTTTGTCCCTCATCTTTTTTTTTTTTGGCTGAAGGTTGCTTAGTTTTGATGACAATGATAAAGGAAACTCCTTGTGGAGCCTTGGAGAATTGAGATTGGTTTTCATTCCTTTTCCTCTCTCTTTCAAGAAAGAGTTGACATTCTTTTTTTACCTTTGTCCTGTGTAGCAATTTTGTATATCGTTGATGGACGTTCCAATTCTCTTGTGACAGATGAGAGAGTGGTCGTATTGGTGATTGGTGGAGGAGGAAGAGAACATGCACTTTGCTATGCACTTAAGAGATCTCCATCTTGTGAAACTGTCTTCTGCGCCCCTGGCAACGTGGGAATTTCCAGCTCTGGCGATGCCACTTGTGTTCCTGAGCTCAGGATTGCTGATAGTTCAGCAGTCATTGCTTTCTGCCACAAATGGGGTGTAGGACTCGTGGTTGTGGGGCCAGAGGCACCTCTAGTTGCAGGGCTAGCTAATGATCTGGTGAAGTTTGGTATTCCAGTGTTTGGCCCGTCCGCAGAGGCTGCTGCTTTGGAAGGTTCCAAGAACTTCATGAAGACTATATGTGACAAATATGGAATTCCTACTGCCAAGGTTTTCCCTTTCTTCCTTGACACCCTTCGATCCCTTCTCTTGCTTGACATTGATGGTTGCAGTTCTTGTTGTTGCTTCTGTTTATCAAACTTTCACTATGAAATATAAATCCTTTACTTAAACAGAAGATAGATTTTCTTTTCTTTCTGACTCTGATAAGCGGTATTATTTCAGTACCAGACATTCAGACATCCTGTGCCCGCAAAACACTACATTCAAGAACAAGAGCTTCCAATTGTAATCAAAGCAGATGGATTGGCTGCTGGAAAAGGAGTAATAGTTGCAACGGACCTAGAAGAGGCTTATGATGCCGTCGATTCAATGCTTGTCGATGAAATGTTCGGTCCAGCTGGCTCCCAGGTCATCGTCGAGGAGTTCCTCGAGGGAGAGGAAGCATCTTTCTTTGCGCTCGTAGATGGAGAAAATGCCATTCCGCTGGAGTCTGCTCAGGACCATAAGCGAGTGGGTGATGGCGATACTGGACCTAACACCGGCGGAATGGGAGCTTACTCCCCTGCTCCTGTATTGACGAAAGAGCTGGTGTCAGTAGTTATGGAGAGTATAATACTTCCTACTGTGAAAGGAATGGCTGCAGAGGGTTGCAAGTTCGTCGGAGTTCTGTATGCTGGCTTGATGATTGAAAAGAAGTCTGGCTTGCCCAAATTGATCGAGTATAATGTGCGGTTCGGAGACCCTGAATGCCAGGTTAGTGATAGTATAATATTTCCATGTAAAGAGAGGCTGTAAGCTACATGGTGATCAAGTGCTTGTAAGCTAGCTTTCCTTCTTATTTACTGGTGTGATACTCTTTTACGTTGCAGGCATTGATGGTTCGTCTGGAATCCGACCTGGTAAAAGTCCTGCTTGCAGCCTGTAGAGGCAAACTGAGCCAAGTATCCCTCGACTGGTCACCTGGCTCAGCCATGGTTGTAGTAATGGCGAGCAATGGCTATCCTGGTTCATACGAGAAAGGAACCATGATTCAGAACCTCGAAGAAGCCGAAAACGTCGCTCCAACGGTCAAGATATTCCATGCTGGAACCGCCCTCGACTCGAATGGCAACCTGGTATCTGCTGGTGGCCGTGTTCTTGGTGTCACTGCCAAGGGAAGTGATCTTGCGGAAGCAAGGGAGAGAGCTTATCAAGCCATCGAGAAAGTCAACTGGGCTGGCGGGTTCTACAGACGAGACATTGGGTGGCGGGCGCTTCCCCTTCCGGTTCAACCGAAGCAAAATTGACCGGGGAAAAAAAGGTACTCTGATGGAAGCCAGATTTTGCAGTGCCTTCGCTTCATTTTTTCCTCTGTTTTCACTCATTCTTTCCATATCTGAGAACAGTAGTAGTTTTGGTTATGTAAGTTAAAGTTTTTTTTTCAAGAAATCATGTTTAGCTAGGTCTGCCATTACAACCTATTGGATTCGTCTCTAAACGAGCTTGATTTACGCGACAAATCATTTATGATTTTCTCGAATTCGGTTATATTAGTAATGTTACCATACCACGAAGTTGTTTTAGGTACTACTTAAGGCGATGCATTGTTTGTTTTCTTTCGTCGCTGGCAGCCGTTTGCCGTGCATGCAGCATTAGCACATGGCAGAGCTCTTATGCCTTCACGTGTCCTCGCTCCACCGCAACTACATAAAGCCCAATTCTTTTCCTTGTTTTGTTCACCTTCCTCTGCCTCCAAAGAAACAGAGCACTCTCTCCTCTGATCACCACAATGACCCCTCAAACCAGCCGCCGGTGGAAGCCGATTCCGGTCATCTTCACCACCACAGTCACAATCCTGATCCATATTTCCATCCTCTCCATCTGCTGCGGATCCACTGACTTGCCCGGAGAGGAAAGTAACATATTCAGAGTCACAGATTCGCCCAACAGGAAGTTCTTGAAGATTGGACTGGACCACCTCCTGGGCACGGAGGACAACTTCAAGCTGTTCGTCCAGAAGTACAACAAGGAGTACGCCGACAGCGAGGAGTATGCACGCCGCCTCGGGGTCTTCGCGGCGAATTTGGTCAGGGCGGCAGAGCACCAGGCCCTGGACCCGACCGCCATCCATGGGATTACGCCGTTCATGGACTTGACGGAGGAGGAGTTCCAGAGGCTGTATACCGGCGTTTCCATGCCCGGCGGGCTGGATAAAAGACCGGACCACGAGGAGGATAACGTTTTGGCAGAGGAGGAGGTTATGGATACCAGTGGATTGCCAGAGTACTTTGACTGGAGAGAGAAAGGAGCTGTAACCGACGTCAAGATGCAGGTTTGACCCTTTTTTTTTCCTTCTCCCAAACTTCTCCTGTGTACCCACTGCTGAACTTTAACGGCTACACAGTTCAGCTTTCAAGAATATAACGTATCGGAAGATTGGGATCTCCTTTCTATGCAGGGAGCTTGTGGGTCGTGCTGGGCATTCAGCACGACAGGGGCGGTGGAAGGGGCGCATTTCATCGCCACGGGGAAGCTTCTCAATCTCAGTGAACAACAACTCGTAGATTGTGACGACATTGTCCGTCTCCTCCTCTGCTTCATGCTTACTTCACTTGCTTATCCTAATTTCCGGTGAAACCTCCCGGTGCTAACTGTGTTACTATCACTATGATGTGGTGTTTTACTCCCCCGTAGTGTGACGAGAAGGAGAAGGAGGCTTGCGACAAAGGATGCGGCGGAGGCCTGATGACGAATGCGTACAGGTACTTGATCAAGGCGGGCGGGCTGCAAGACGAAGCTTCATACCCTTACACAGGAAAGAAAGGCGAATGCAAGTTCGATCCCAAGAAGGTCGCCGTCAGGGTCGCCAATTTCAGCACCATTTCGCTCGACGAGAACCAGATAGCTGCGCATTTGGTCCAACATGGACCCCTGGCAGGTCGGTCAGGTTTTCCTTCGAAGGTACACTGACCGAGTGAAATTACTAATGGAAACTAATTGATTTTTAGATGATTGGATGAATTGCAGTTGGTTTGAATGCTGTGTTTATGCAAACGTACTTGGGGGGCGTCTCGTGCCCATTGATCTGCGGCAAGAAGTGGATCAACCATGGCGTCCTCCTCGTCGGGTACGGGTCGAGAGGGTTCTCGATCCTGAGGTTTGGTTACAGGCCGTACTGGATCATCAAGAACTCATGGGGTGAGCACTGGGGAGAAGCCGGCTACTACCGGGTCTGCCGCGGGTATGGGATGTGTGGAGTGAACAGAATGGTATCTGCTGTTGTCACTACAGCTTAGAAGGCGTCAGGATGGAGGAGGATGGCCATAGATAGAATAATATATATATGGACTGTTAAGTTTCAGTTATGTGTTCGAGTTAGGCTGTGGCCTGTGGATGAAGGCATCTTCTTTCTTTCTGTTGTTTTTGCATGGTGCTCCTCCTATGTTAACTTTCTGCAGCGAAGAGACTAGAAAGAGGATCTCTTCTCCACTACAAGCTTCATACGGCGAAAAGTTTGCTCTTTGCCTTGAGACTGAGAGCAAAACTAAGATGTCTACGGGGGAGATGATTTTGGTCGAGTTCTGACATCTAATTAGTTGGGCTTGGGCTCAGTTTAAAGATGGAAATAACTGGGCCGTTTCCAATGAACGGGTCCTGCATAGAACACAGATCAATACTTAGTTAGGCCCATTATGGGAGAAAACATTGACTTAGCTGGATATAAATGGGATAGGCCCAATAACATAAAGTTGTCTATGTCGGTCTTCTTTTTCCCCCCCCTCAGCAGTTTCAACCGTACAATCGCCGACGAACCCGCGGGAGTCTCCCGCCGCACCTTCCGTTCCCTTCTAACTCGGATCATGATCCCAATTCCCCCCGTTTAATTCCAAATTTTCTCTCTCGTCTCTGTTCCTTTCGGCAATTTTTCTCCCGCACTCTGTTCAGAATTCCCCAATTTCTCTGTTTTGATCTCGCCGGTTGTAATTCACGATGGACGGAGGAGGAAATGAGAACAAAATCGAGGACGAAGACAAACAGGCGCTGGCCGCCTTGAGCTCCGTCCCGAGCCCTCACCGCGCCAAAGTCCATTCCTACAGCCAGCAGCTTCGCGGCGAGAAGAAGCCGTACCGCCAGGGCCGGAAGCACAGCCTCGACGGCATTCCCGCCGGCGGGAGCCGTCCCCTCTCTTCTTCCGACGATGAATTCTCCAATTACTCGCTCGACGAAGAGGAAGGCGCACTCGATCTGAAGCCGTTCACTCCGCTCAGCGAATTCGTCGCAGCCGTATCCCCTGCCGCGGCCGGGAGCTCCAGTCCCGGCCCCGGCGGCGGATCCGGATCCGGATCCGTGTCCGGAGGAAAAGGAGAGGCGATTTTCAAGGTGCCGACGAGGGCCGCCGTGCACCCGGGACGGCCGCCGTGCCTCGAGCTCCGGCCGCATCCGTTGAGGGAGACGCAGGTGGGGAAATTCCTGAGGAACATTGCGTGTACGGAGACGCAGCTGTGGGCCGGGCAGGAGAGCGGGGTCCGGTTCTGGAGGTTCGACCGGATTTACGACCCAGGTTGTGGGCTGGGCGGGAAGGTCAGGAGAGGGGACGAGGATGCGGCGCCGTTTCAGGAGTCGGCGTCCACGTCGCCCACGTTTTGTTTGATGGTGGATGCGGCGAATGGGTTGGTTTGGAGCGGGCATAAGGACGGGAAGATTCGGTCGTGGAAGACGGATCAGTATAGCGCTCCACCTGCTGCCGCGGCGGCGGCAGGGGACCAAGAAGCGGTGGATGGTGGTGGTGGTGGTCAGCCGCCGCAGCAGGTGGATGCTGCGGCGAATGCTCCGTTTAAGGAAGGGCTGTCTTGGCAGGCGCATAAAGGGCCTGTTCTTTCCATGGTCATGAGTTCCTATGGTACGCTCCAATCTTCTTTTTACATATATTGATGATTGCACTAAGAATTGGATACATAATGACATAATTCTAGTTAATAATTCTAATTAACGATGATTATTTTGGTATTTTAAGATAGTCTAGACTTGATTAATTAGCTCCATTGAACAAGTTATAATTGGGCGGTTTGCAGGGGATTTATGGTCGGGATCGGAAGGAGGAGTGATAAAGATCTGGCCATGGGAGAGCATCGAGAAATCCCTGTCCCTCAAATCCGAAGAAAAGCGGATGGCCGCCTTGCTCGTGGAGCGATCGGCCATCGACCTGAGAAGCCAGGTCACGGTGAACGGCAACTGCAGCATCTCTTCTTCCGACATCAAGTGCCTGCTCTCCGACAACATCCGCGCCAAGCTCTGGTGCGCACAATCCATGACCTTCTCCCTCTGGGACGCCCGCACCAAGGAGCTCCTCCGCGTCTTCAATATCGACGGCCAGACCGAGAACCGCGTCGACGGCGGCGACAAGGGCCAGCAACAGCAACAGCAGCAACAACATCAACAGCACCACCAAGAGAGCGGCCAAGCTGGGGAAGAAGGTGGCGCTACTCCACAGGTGAGTGATTAAGAAATACTAATACTTCGTTTAATACGCGTGTTGTATAGATAAATGTATGTATTTTGTAACTATTAAAATTTCTGTTTTCATAATTATTGTCGAGCGATTTCACTTTTTCTTGTCCATTTTATAATTATTAAAATTTCTGTTTTCATAATTTTGTATTTAATATTCGTATTTAATAATGCTCGTTATGAGTAATGAAATACTATTAGGCATATCATTAATTTAGAGAAGATGCATAATACATTAAAGTATAATACTTTGTCTGCATATTTTATACGTAACTTACTACTCATACCGGAGCTAAAACTCACCGTTGTGGACAGGATGCACCGGCGGAGAAGCCGGCGAAGGAGGGGAAAGGGAAGTCGGGCAACAAGAAGGAGAAGGGGCAGGGGTTCCTGCAGAGGTCCCGCAACGCGATCATGGGGGCGGCGGACGCGGTGAGGCGGGTGGCGACACGTGGCACGAACGCGTTCGTGGAGGATCCGAAGAAGACGGAGGCGATCGTGATGACGGCGGACGGGATGGTGTGGAGCGGGTGCACCAACGGGCTGATCATCCAGTGGGACGGCAACGGGAACCGGGTGCAGGATTTCAACCTGCTCAACAAGAACACCGCCGTCCAGTGCTTCTGCACGTTCGGGACCCGAATCTACGTCGGCTACGCCAGCGGGATCATCCAGGTGAGGTGATCATGAGATCAGTTATGAATGATTATTCGCGCAAAAATGAAATGAAATTCGTACTAACACAGTCGGATGCATGGTTTCGTATTAATTAATATGCAATGCAAAGATGTTGGACCTGGAGGGACACCTGCTGCAGATGTGGGTGGCCCACAGCAACCCGGTGCTGAAGCTGGCGGTGGGGAAAGGATACATCTACAGCCTGGCGAGCCACGGCGGGATCCGGGGGTGGAGCACGTTGTCGCCGAGCCCGATCGACCAGATCCTGCGGTCGGAGCTGGCCGGGAAGGAGGCGACGTACACGAGGAAGGACCAGTTCCGGGTGCTGATCGGGACGTGGAACGTGGGGCAGGGGAGGCCCTCGCAGGAGGCCATGATGTCGTGGCTCGGTTCCACCGCGGGGGACGTCGGGATCGTCGTCGTCGGCCTCCAGGAGGTCGACATGGGTGCCGGGTTCCTCGCCATGTCCGCCGCCAAAGAAACTGTACGTATCGTTACGTTGTTGCATGCATGCGTGGCCCTTTTGGTGTTTGCGTGATGTGATGCACGTGGTGGTTCTGTTTCTGTACGTCGTTTCTGGTTTGAAATGGCGTCGTTTTATTACCTTACCAAAAATTCGCGATTCGATCAACAGTTTGTCATTGAATCTTGAACTACTAGGCTAATTTCAGTGATTCAACGTGGATTTGTGGCGGCATATTGTAAATTGTTGTTGTTGTTGTGTGATGGAATGTAGGTAGGACTGGAAGGGAGTGCAATTGGGCAGTGGTGGCTGGATAATATTGGGAGGGCATTAGGGGAAGGCTCTGTTTTCGAAAGGATGGGATCTAGGCAGCTTGCTGGCTTGCTCGTCTCTCTCTGGTAACTATGAATTAGAAGCAGTAACTTTTTTTTTTTACTGCTTTACTTCACTGGGTCCACACCACACGTATTACGTAATACGTATATAGTCATGGTAACTCTACGTGGTTGACTTGATCATCATGAAGGGTGAGGAAGAACATGAGACAGCATGTTGGGGATGTTGATGCTGGCGCTGTTCCTTGCGGGTTCGGACGAGCCATCGGTAATAAGGTAATTAGTAACTACCCGAATCTCGATCGATCGAGACTTGTAACAATCGAGAAGGATAGTGTGCTTCCCGTTCGTGATGGTGAATTGTGTTGTGCAGGGAGGGGTAGGGTTGAGGATAAGGGTGCGAGACCGGATAATGTGCTTCGTGAACTGTCACTTGGCAGCACACTTGGAAGCGGTGAACCGAAGGAACGCAGATTTCGATCACATCTATCGAAACATGGTGTTCGGGAAGCCGACGATCCCCAACGCTGCCGGTATGCTGCTGATGATCCTGCGGTTCTTGTTTTGTTGTTGCTCTCTTGCCTTCTCCACGTATTTAATTTGGATCCTTTATTATACATATGGCTTCCCATTCATCCTCTCTGTTGCAGCTGGTGTCTCCTCCTCCTCCCACACCCTTAAGTCCGATAAGGTACGCCCACACCACGCCATTACCACGAGCTTCTGTATACGATATCTAGTTGTCTCTCGATACGAGCGAGCTCTGCCCTTTACTATAATGATGCATGCATGTATAGGCGAGTTGAGCGACCTGATCATTGGTCTGTACGTAACCCTTATTTTCGATCTCTTTATCGTGACCTCTGGTGTGTTCTGTATAGAACTCTGGTGGGGGTGGCGGCGGCAGCAATAGCAACAACAATGGCTCGTCCGAGGACACAAAGCCAGAGCTGTCTGATGCAGACATGGTTGTGTTCTTCGGGGATTTTAACTACCGCCTGTTTGGGATATCATATGATGAGGCCAGGGACTTTGTGTCTCAGAGAAGCTTCGACTGGCTTCGAGAGCGTGATCAGCTCCGAGCTGAGATGAAAGCTGGGAGAGTTTTCCAAGGGATGCATGAAGCCATCATCACTTTCCCTCCTACTTACAAGTTTGAGAGAAATGTCCCTGGATTAGGAGGTAAATCTAATATCAATGTATTCTGTGGCTAATCATCCAATAATACGTTGCGTTAAATGCCTACACTCTGTTGAAAAAAAAATATTGCAGGCTATGATTCTGGGGAGAAGAAACGTATACCTGCATGGTGTGACAGGGTTATATTCCGTGATACTCGGCCAGGTTCATCTACTCCGTCGCAATGCGAATGTAGCTTGGAGTGTCCTGTCGTCTCTGCAGTCATCCAGTAAACAACAACATTTCATATATTCTTCTTCATCTTCAACCAAGCATCCCATTTTGAACTCACATTGATCATGTCCCTACTTCCCCACAGATATGAAGCTGTCATGGACGTGACTGAGAGCGACCACAAACCCGTGCGATGCAAGTTCCACATCCAAGTAGCTCACACAGATAGATCAGTGAGGAGGCAAGAGTTTGGCGAGATCCTGAGGACGAATGAGAAGATCCAATCGCTGTTGGAGGAATGCCGAGTGGTCCCAGAGACAGCTGTCAGCACCAACAGCATTGCCCTGCAAAATCAGGACACTGCCATTCTCAGGATTGCCAACAAATCTGCAGCAGACAAAGTAGTGTTCAGGATCTACTGTGAAGGCCAAGCCAATTTCAAGGATGAAGGGGATGAAGCCGAGTATCGCGCCAGAGGTAACCATGGCTTCCCCCGGTGGCTCGAGGTGAGTAAATCTATGCCCTTCATGTGTCTTCCTAAAAAATTCATTTCGTTTTACATAATCTGTACACATTCAGTGAAAACCAGATAAAGCATCTAATATAATCAACTACTGCAGCTGAAAAGAACTTTGTTTTTGCATAATAGAATGACACCACTCTTGTTCATTAACACAGGTCACACCAGCAGCTGGAATAATCAAACCTGACAATAGCATCGAAGTCTCAGTGCACCATGAAGAATTCCACACACTAGAAGATTTAGTAGACGGCATCCCACAGAACTGGTGGTGTGAAGACACCAGAGACAAAGAAGTGATCCTTGTAGTTGTTGTACAAGGCAGCGGCTCAACAGAAGTCGCAACTCATCGGGTCCATGTTCGGCACTGCCTCTCGGCCAAAACTCTGCGTGCTGACTCTAAATCAGGCTCGCGCAGAGGTCAAAAAAGTGATCCCAAGCAACAAAGCGGGTCATCAGATGCAACTGATGATTCTCGAAGTTCACAAAAGCCTTGAGGGAAGGATCTGATACTTTTTTTTTGCAGATCTCTGAGTACTTAACAAGCATAGCATAGTACAGAAGCATTTAGAATGCATGGGCAATTTCTACAGGCAGCAAACAGTTCTCAGTCTTGGTGTAAATACTCATGGAGCATTTACTCTCTTACAATTGGGTTAGGTACAAACATTTTTACTTCTTTAGTCTGCATATACTGGAAATCAGGTCCAAGTTTTGAAGACTATACACTCCTTTTTCGCCCCTGCTTGGTTCATCTTTTTGAAAGCTAGGAGCTTTATAGGATTATTCTCACAATTTCACCAACTTCGATCTAATTAAGTCAGAAATATTCATACAGCAACCCTCTTTCGTTATCGGAAATTCACAGTTACGAAATGCTGGTAACAGCAATGTATATGCATCTAGTGCTATAAATGTTGCTGACATGCAACTATATGCAATGGCTAGTACTCACTTTCTGTTCTATCCTATAGGCTGTCAGCAAAAGAGATGCATGTAGACGTGTAACTCTCTTCTGTATAATTAGCTTCAGAACAACTGAACAGAATTTCAAGAACCAAGTGTCCCTCATCATGTTAAACATTGAAAAAGAACAAGAGACAAAATTTGCAGCAATGAAAAGAAAGCATTCGTAATGAAAATTAACGGTAACTTCTGAAGTGACCAGGCCAGCTTCTTTCAGAATTCAAAGAAATATGGTGATGGACCAGTTAAGTTCCTACAAATGGGTAACAAGTGTTGAAACTAATTATAAATTTCATTCATTACTGCATTACTACACACTTTGCATACAACTCCAGGATACAATAGCAACTTATTGCCTGCGTTTTGATGGCTAAATTCAGTAAGTACAGATGGGACTCAAATGTAAACCCCAATAAAGCCCATCGCTGAAGAAAACCTTACAGATAAAAGTAGTAGAGGGAACCAACATACCCTATTAACAGAGCTTGTAGCTTTAGCAGCATTGCGGAAGACTAAGGATGAGACGGTGAATCACCTTCTCTGAACCTCTGAAGAGTGTTTTTCCTTACGCACGGAGTGCCAGTTAAAAAGCCCTAATGACAGCTCCAAGCATTTCCACAAGCATATTCTTACAAGCCAATAGGAATAGCTCTCCAAATAACATCTTCCTTTCATAACTCAAAAGTATCTCCCTACAGAGCATACATCCGCTTATATTCACTTTCCAAAATCTCCTGATCTTCTGATGCCACAGACATAGCATAAGAGTGAGACCTGCTCTCAGTTTTCCTTAGGCTCCTCAACTTCGACTCCTCCATCCGATGAACCACCACACAATAAAACATGGATCCAATAGTAGTGACCATGATCAGAGTACCAAGAGCGGTTGTATAGAAGGCAAGCCACCTAGATTTCTTTCCCACTACAATGTACGTGAGGGAAATGAAGGAAACTGAGATGAAGAGGCAAGCTAGCCACATGAGTTTATTAATCACAAACACGAGCTGCTGCTTGGCCTTCTGTTCAATCACAACAACAGATGTTTGCACAACAACGACAGCCAGAGAGATAAACAATGCCAGGCTGTCAAACACGAAAAATATCAGAAAAGCAGGGTTTTCTGCAATGTGGGCCTGGCCAAGTGATACCCCAACCACTTTCTCCTCGATATACTGCCCAGGCACCGTGAAGATGGCGGCAAATGCAACTGTAGCAATCAGTACGGCAACAATTGTAGCGGAGTTTATGGCATTGTTGAGGCCACTGATGTGGAGCTTTTTCAGGCGCTTGGCGATTTTTCGGACCCTGAAACCGGTTTGACGTGTCTGATGGAGCTGAGATCGTACATCATGTTTAATGTCACTGACTGTCTGCTTAAGTTGCTTAGCTGGATTAGCGGGTTTAGCAAGGTCTTTAGATTGGCTTGCCCCTGCCTCCTTTAAGACAGAAACAAGTTCAGGGGTTCCAACTTTTTCTGCTATGTCCAATGGCGTCTCCCCACTCTTGTTCATGGCGTTGATGTTAATGCCCTCAACAGATAACAGACACCTTACATTCTGCAATCAGTTAAATGCCGAGTCACTAACCACTATAAAACAACCAGAACTTGGTCAAGTTTTCAAGTATATTATTCTTCAATCAGTTGAATGTTGTGTCACTAACCACTATAACGCAACCAGAACTTGGTCAAGTTATCAAATATATTCCACATACACTTGGTATATATTCACACGAGTATCATTATTCATGATCCAATTGAAAAAAAAAAACATAGCGCACATCTAAGAAGCATTGACTAGTTATATTCCGAGCAATGTCATTTCTTGCTGGCATAACAACAAACAGTATTCCAGTTAAATAAATCACAAATTACCTGGGTACGACACTTTGCTGTGGCGATATGCAATGCTGTGTTTCCTTTGTTATCTTCTAAACTCGAAACAGAAGGATCAGGCTTCAGCAATTCCACTACAATGTCCACATTCTGCCCTTTCACAGCCATATGGAGTGCGGTCTGTCCCTTCTTATCTGTCCTAAAACCAGAACTTGGATCTTTGGTTAGAAGCGAATGCACAATCTCCAAGTGCCCCATCCTTGCAGCGGAATGAAGAACCGTTTTCCCGTTATTCCGTGCAATCTTAGCAAGATCTGAATCCGTTTCCAGAAGAAGGTTGACCACATCTACGTGTCCTTGAGTCGCGGCTGTGTGTAAGGCAGTTGTACATGACAAATCGGTGGTCATGGCCAGGTTGGGGAACACATCTAGAAGTTCCCTCAGCACCTCTACAAGATTTCAAGAACCAAAAGAAATCAGATCGCAAACCAGAAGCAAGAACTCCAAGTAACATGAGTCCCCCTTCTAAACTACTCTTCCTTATTAGTACATGATCAATCTGTTCTACAACACCATATACAGGCAAGGAAACATTAGTATTCAAGCTGAAATAAGTAATGACAAGAAGAAGACGGTTGACTTGATTAATTCACTATGCAGTCAAAAGGTAGTTGACTGTTGACTGAGGTCAAGTACATCTGATTATAAAAGCAAAGAAAAGTACTGTAAAGAAGCTGACTTTTCCACCCAAAATAAAAAAGAGAAGCTGACTGAGTTTGAAAATACTTGTGACCTAGCCACTTAAGGTTGAAAAGTTGACTACAGGTAGATAAGTCTTTAAGAGGTCCATTCATAAATTGCACGTTTAAGTTGCTAGACACTAAAAACAATTAAACAAATAAGGAACAAACCCAAATTGCTCTCCTTTCCAACTTTACAGGGGCATTAAGAAATTTAGTAACCAGGATCACAGTGCCCTGAACTAGCTGTGGATCAAACTCTAAGATATTTAGTGCTCCAAATCAATAAACATACAATTCAGAATGAACAGCTAACGAAGTATCTGGAACTCGGCTTGGCAACAAGTAATACCAGAACATGGAGCAACAAATTTCAATCCCGAAAATCAGACTGTCACATAGTTTTCACAAGGCTTGGCTTGTATACGAAGGAAGAGCATGAGGAAAGGGTCACTGAAGATGGAAAATTGGAACTTTGGAACATAGCCAAAAGCAAATTAACATTCATATCTTACCCAAATGACCCTGCTTTGCAGCAACATGGAAAGGATCAAAACCATTCCTAGCTGCAATAGAAGCCGTGTGCAGGTCCATATATCCCAGCATTTCAGAAACCACATCAGCATGCCCGTGTTCAGACGCTGCATAAAGAGGTGTCTCTCCATCTTGATTCTGAACCAAAAGCAAACCCTTTGCTTCACTTCCCTCACACCTCTGAAGAATCTCTCTCACGTTGCTCAAATTCCCGGCACGAGCAGCCAAATGAAGCAACGAATCACCTCGCTTCCCCGGCGATTCTTTGCTCTTCTTCTTCTCACTAACGCCGATAAAGCTGAGCTGCCTCTCCATGACCGCACGAAAGCTTTTCTGCTTCTCAATAAACCCACGAAAGCTCTTCTGCTTCTCCAGTGCTCCCTTAAAGCTGGGGTGTTTCTCCATCACTCTGCTGCGAGATGATGATGATGATGTCATCGCCTCTTCATTCTGTTGCTTCTCCATTGCTCCCCTGGGTGGTTTCTCCATCACTCTGCTGCGAGTTGATGTCATCGATGGCTCGTCCGGTTGTCTCTCCATAACTCCCTTGAAGCTGGGGCGTTTCTCCATCACTCTGCGAGGTGTCATCGACGAATCATTCGCTACTGTCACGCCATGGAAGCTCAAGTGTTTGACCATTACTTTGGGTTTCTCCCCACCAACACTCCCCTGTTTCCCCATTGCAGCTCCCTTAAAACTGCTCCTTCTCTCCATGGTGAATTCAAACCCTTAGCAGTTGGAAAAAAAGAAAAAAAACTACGACCACGCTTTCGCTCCCAAAGAAACGATCTTCTAATCCTGCGGTGTAGATCCCAGAAAGAGTAGTTTACTTCCCATCTCCCCAATCATTTCCCCCACAATTTCTGCAAAACAAACTTTTCATCATCCACTGGAATCTATCATCTGGCGATTCGCCTAACATTTCACCATGATCCCAACAAACAGAAACTTCAAGAACACAAAAAAAAAAGGGGGAAACGAGGCAGACAGATTAAGCAAACGACTACCTTGAAAAGCGATCGAAATCGCTCTTGCCTTCAGAGGTAGGAGTTAACTATGATCTACCCAATCTGAGAAATCGGATTCGAATGCAGCAAACTGGATTTGTGACTGTAAAGTTGAGAGCTTTGAGAGGTCTGATTTCCGAACCCAGAAAGGAAAAATCCGGAATGAAATGAAGCAGACGAGAAAATTCCCGGAGCTCCTTTGTGCTGCTGGCTGATTGATTGAGAAAACAGCTGAGACTCGGCAGATGAAATGGCAGCCACCAAATTTGGCGTTTTTGTTGTTGTTTTGTAGTGTAGGATCAAATCCAGAGCCAGAGCCGCCCTTAGCTTTTTTGGGCTAGAAAATTTGACCTCTTTTTCCTTTTCCTTCTCCTTTCCTCCTCTATCAACTAAAATATCCAGATGCCCACCATAACTATTATTTTTATTAGTTTTCTATCCTCCTATTTTCCTTGGCATTTAGCTGTACAGTACAAGTAACAACACGTATATTGTTATTGACTTATTGTTATTCTAGCCTACGAAATCGGCCGCAATCCCGCCAAATGAAATGAATCTCCAAAGCTTGAGCAGCAGACCGGCGGCGTCCACGATATGCAACCACCGGCGGAAGTTAACGGACCTATTCTCCATCAAATCACCGGTGGGTTTCTCTTCCGCCGCCATGCCGCTACTTCTCAGCAGTCTCAATATACATTCTCAACCCCGAAATTTGATGGTTTCCCGGCAAATAGCATCCGGCGGCGGCGGCGACCTCGTTCCTAAGCTGCTCGACAGAAAGTGGACGTTACAGAAGCCCGAATCGGAAGTCCATCGGGTTCACCTCTCCCCGTCGCCGCGATTGTTCCTTCGCAGATTAAACGCCAGCAATCCACTGCTGGGAGCTGGAAATCACACTATACATCCCTCCTTTTATGTTGTTCGCGACGATTTGTTGCATCCTACCGCGAACGGAAATAAGGCCAGAAAGCTCGACGCTTTGATTCCTCTCCTCCTCGACAATTTTGTCACCGATGTAGTAAGTATTGCTTGCAATTTCCCCTCTTTTCCCCTTGGAAAATTGAGTTCTGAAAATTAAGGGTTTGTTCTCCAGATTACCTGTGGAGGATGCCAGAGCTCACATACTGCAGCTGTTGGTAATGTTACTTATGTAATCCTTCTTCCGCGATTGAAGCAGTGATGAACTTCATTTCTGGGCTGGGTTTAGTGAAATGATGTTGTGCATGTTCTTCTATTTTTCTTGCAGCTGTTTTGTGTGCTGAAAGAGGGATGAGATCACATTTGCTGTTGAGAGGGGAGCAACCTCAGATTCTTACTGGCTATAATCTTATCTCCACAATGTATGGACATGTCAGCTATGTTCCAAGATCGGTTTATGCAGATAGGGAAGCCATGCTGAAGGGCCATGCTGATTTGTTGGCCGGGAGCCATGGTCATGTTCTGTGGTGTAGTGACATTGCTAAAGCTTCTTTTGCTGACGAAAGCAAAGCTAGGTGGAATAATGTTGGTGTTGGTAGTGAGGAGGATTGTGCAAGAAAGGTACTGATCATTAATGAAGGAGCTGGCGACGGTGTAGCATTGATCGGTGAGTGGACAAGGTTCTTGAGGCTGTTACCAATATTCCTATGCTATGCTTATTGCCATGCACAGTGAGATGTTTGTAGTTCGATTACTTCTATGTCCACTGTAAAGGCTTCCATTAAGCTTTTTGGGTTCAATTGGACTTCTGCAGGTCTAATTCGACTGGTTGAGTACCTATCGCAGGATCATGTATTCGGAATGGAAAAACCGATTAGGTTGGTAGTTGATTGTGGAACTGGCACTACAGCTATTGGTTTGGCACTCGGAGCCTTATGCTTGAGGTGCTTCTTTGTTGTTCCACCTCCTTCAGTTCCCATTTCCACTGAATATACACACTCACGACAGTTAGCCACTTAATTGACTTCCCAGGCTTCCATGGAAGGTAACTGCAATCATGCTGGCTGATACCATTGACCGATACCGAGAGAAAGAGAAGCAGTTGATGTCTGAATTCAGCTCCCAATATGGATATAAACTTGACATTGGTGACGATGGAGGGCTTGTTCATTGGGTTCAACGACATTGCCCGAGGAAGTACATATATATAACATGATGCAGAACCCTTTCTCCATTAGGAGAGATGTGTAGTGGTCGGACTCTTGAATCAAAGCATTGAACTCCTTTTCGTGTCTATGTAGATTTGGCAACATCTTGGAAGGGGAGATGGAGAAATGCCAGCAGATCGCAAGGCAAACTGGGATTCTGGTTGATCCTGTGTACACTTTGGCAGCTTGGGAAATGGCAGCTCAGCTCAGCATGGAAGGAGAAGAGCTGGTGGTAATGGTTCACACGGGAGGAACTCTTGGGTCGTTTGGGTTGGCTCAGAGGTACAAATCTCACTTTAGCAGCCTGAAATGAGATGGTGATCCTAGTGTCTAGTGTAGCAAAAAGAGTGTCCTTTGTTTGTCTGCTAGAGTGGGTCGTTTGAATTGGAGCTGGATGGTAAGCATGGTGTGGTGTGAGCGCTGCTCTCGGTTCTATAGTGATGTTGCTGCTAAATCCCCTGAAGTTATTTGCAAGCTGCTGTGCAAGGATGTCTGCTATCGTGCTAGTGGTATACAGGATCTCCAAGATTGTCTTCTCCGCCTCAATTTAGACTGGTATACGAGGTTTTCGGTAGATGTTCTTAACTAGTTTTTGTTATTAAGAAGGGGTTTCTTTGGTTCCTCTTTGTTAGCATGCAAGGATGCATTTGTTCTTAGAGTCTGAGAGTCGACTAGGTTATTTTTTCCTAAGTCTGCCTGAGCTTAATACAATTTTTTATTTAACCAACCCCTTTGAGTAACAAAGAGAAACGTTCATACACTTCAAGGCTATTTATGTAGTTGAGAGTTTTTGTAGTAATCATTTATGTAATAAGGGTACTTATCCCAATAGAAAGAAAATTGCTTATCTTATTTATTCATAATACAACTGAAATTTGAGACCGAGCTTAAAATGACATTACGAGTGGAAGCATATAGCAAATCACATGTACTTTTACCGTTCAGTAAATGAGAGATAAAAGGCTTCGATGCCAACAGATCTGGTATTCAATCAAATCGCCATAATTAATCACTCATACAACAAGCCAGCAACAGAAGACAGTTGGATGACTGGAGGGGGGAAGAAGTTTTATTCGTACAAACAAACAACACGAATGATAATCTTGACGCAGCAAGCAATCAAAAAAGAGCGCGCTCTCGAATGAAGAACTCAAAACATTCCGGTACAAGATTTCTGCCATTGGAGGTTGCTTTTACTACCTCCGCTTCTTTGGCAAGTGTTTTGAGAGTCGATGAAGCTCTCTCTATCGATCTCGCCATTATAAGTCTGCGAACGCAGCAAAAATGTCACCGTTGACGTAGTTGTTGTCTACTAGACTGACCAAGTAGTAGCTGCTCTCCACCTGCATAAACACACCCTCAAAACTCGTCATACAACATTCCATGTTTGCAGTTCCGAAGTCGCTACTGAGTCTAAATGCAGATTCCAGGAAGGGAAAGAGGAAAGAGGCTAATTGATGCATACCTCTTTCAGCAGTTTTCTGGAGGGGTTGTCTTCAGGGTACAAGGAAGCCCAGCCTCTTGACCAGATCTCGAAAGCCTCATCCTTCCACACACCAAAGCTGGTGGGATCTACGACGGTCGGCTGGAGAATCTCCTTGGCTGGGAACACTCCCCATGTCACGGCATTCACACTGCCATTCTTGACGTTTGAGATCGAGTTCCCACTTTTGTTCACAGCAATGTAAGTGAGTTGAGGGATGACCTTCCACTTGCCAACCAGGGCATCCAACTTCTCCTTCGAGCAAAAGAACTCGAGGTATGCCTTTTGGTATACATACCCTCCTGGGCCTCCCCAACCTGGCATCATCAAGTTTTTGTTAAACACAGTAAACAATCAAACTACCGGAAGTTATCTTAAGCTAAATTGAGACAACACAATCAAAGTAAATATGAGGCGCTCAATGTGAATAAATTGCATCATCATTTCATGCAACGTGGCCTACTTAGTAATCCCCACTAGCAGTATCGATCAATGCTATGAAACAAATATCAATCACACTCTTACCATATCCCAAAGAGATCAGCTCAAATGGTTGATTTTTGCAAAGATAGAACTGAACAATTTGAGAATGGATTTGAGGCTCCAAGGACCAAACTAAATCACCCAGAGACGGAGAAAAAAACAATAATGAATGCAGGCACCATTACTTACCGACATTTGGGGAATCAGACTTCTCCCCATTGACTGCTGGCTGGCTGTTGATTGTTAAGATCCCCTTGGAGTTAATCTTGCCAAGTTGTTCATTAATGACCTTTGTCTCTGGCTGAAGCCCATCCAGTTCTGACCATGGGCTGGTCTTCAAGGTTCCAAGGCAGAAACTCTTGAACCTCTGATGTTTGGCTTCCAGATGAGCCAAATTAACATTCCCAGTTATATTTTGTGAAACAAATTTGGGTGTTTGGTGGAAGGCCTTACCTCATAGATATCATCAACACTGTTTAGCTGGACAGCCCACTCTTGGTGAAGCTTCTTGTCACGTGCTCGTGGCCGCATGAACTATAATGAAGATGAAAAGGTGTAACTACAAGTAGTCAATAAAGGAAGAAATCAGAGAAACCTGACACACATTGCACCTTATTGACATTAGTACCAAGTATGCAGTGATAATCCTAATTCCATCTATGCCTTGTAGGGGCATAGTTTTCCCAAATAACAAATTCAAGCAACAGAGTTAGGCAGAAGGGAAAGAGCTCACAGCTCAAGCCAATACATTCTGTAACCCAACCCTTTCATTGGGTTACAATGCCAAACCTTAACTTACTAGAGATAGCTAACAATCAAAACCTCAAATAAGGGACATTGACAGAACACCAAGACTGACAATACTCAATAGTGCAAGTTATGGAAGGAATTCTATCTAGGCATCCTCAAACTATGGCAACTAAGTTTCCTAGTAACTGGATAGAGGCTAAGAAACTTGGAAGTTCTGGAAGCATTTCTGTCTTGTTCACTCTACTGGTTCTTGTTTATGTTCTTTATGCTAAATAAAGAAAGCCACGAAGATGTAAAGCGGCCGAGTATAACAAAAATTGAAGACGCCATGAAGATTGAAGTTCACTTTTGATCCAGTCCTAACAGTAATGTATATCACAATTCTGTCTCCACACACCACAGTAAAGTATGAACCATTTACAAAGGATAAGAGTAAAGTACTCTATAACTTTGATTGAGTTGCAGATGCAAGATTTCACTCAACCTGTAACACTCAAAGCAACATAGGATAGGTTTTGTACCTGATGATCACTCAAACCACCATAGGATGGATTACCAGAGTCACCCCATCTTCCATGTGGGTACTGGTCCCAGCCAACTGTCCTTGATATGTAGCTCTTTGGACGGTTAGCCCTGAAATTATTAGATTGTTTATGCAATGTCTTCGGAAATCAAATAATCAAGAACTCCATTTCTAAAATCCTAAGTAATTGGAGATGCACAATTGCATACCAAAATATTGGACGGACGTCTTCTTTCACGCGGAAAACATTTGCAGGACGCCTCCAAGGCAGAGACCTTGAGATCTTGGACTCTTCAATTAAGCCAAGACTCTGCCAACAGAAGTTCATGATTAGAGACATATCATGCACACAGTTGTGCAGACACAAGATTTTGTTAAATTACGAAGCACCACAAACATCATTAAGCTGGGGGGAATCATACCATCAGTATTCCTAGAGCCGATTTCTCCATGTTTAGAGTGTAAAGATGCACAGTCTTAATCCCATGAGCGATAATCTTCTTGCACATTTCTGTTCCAAGATGAATTCCATATGCCCTGACAGCTTCCTCGTTGTCCTTGATAGGCTCCAATGCAGCCATGATCTCAGCTGGTATCTACAATGTGAAATAAGTATCATATCAGTTCCAGAATACAATGTGAAATTCATGTGGGGCTAACAGACCTGAAAGACCATTATAGAAACCATTCAACTACCAATTAAAGTATGCAAATTACATATCCTTTTCTATTTCACTCACCCTAAGCCATGAAAAATCGCAAACAAGATGCTCACTAAAGTTTATAAACGTTTTCCACTATTCATAGTATATAGAGGCATCAATTCCTAATTCGCCTTAGAATAGTTTCCATGCTAAAGTCCATCACAAACTCAGATTAATCTACAAAACCAAGTACCTAATCCTTCAATGTGAGCACAACACAAGACCTCGCCTTTTATGTAAATCCAGGACACAGTAAAGCAAATAAAGTCAGATAATCGAGATATAACACCTTAGTTTTGCAGAAGCCGGTCATGCGAAGGAATCCCTTGTAGTTGTTGATAGGCATGATGCCAGGAACAATTGGGCAGGTGATTCCAATTTGGCGGCAGTCATTGACAAATTTGAGGAAGATATCAGTATCGTAGAACAGTTGAGTAACAATCAGATCAGCCCCAGCATCAACCTGTGAGCAATCGCAGAAGTCAGCCCCAACGAAACGAACATTATTACAAAAAAAAAAAAAAGGAGCATTTGTGCTCGCAAGTGAATTAGCAAAACAGCAGACCTTCTGCTTCAAGTAAGCAAGATCTTTCTGGTAAGCTTCTGGCGTGGCCAAATCATCACTTCCGATCACATCCGGATGAGCCTCTGTTCACATTACAACAACAACAAATTGAATTAAGCAAATAACACTCTTCTGCTACTGGAATCTGAGAGCAAAATGAACAGAACAGAACAGTAGCAAAAGCAACCTGGATAGCCAGCAACAGTTATGCCGAAGTAATCTCCATACTTGGATCTCATATGCTTCACCTGCAGAGATCAAGCAGAGCATGGATCAATCTCAATATCTAACTTCGCATTCCGCCAAATCTTAAATCCGGTAGCTCTAATCGCAGTAAGAAAGCAAGAGATCAGAGAATTAGTACCAGGTCGAGAGCGCAGGCGAATCCGCCTTGGACCTGGACGAACTTGTCCTGGCCGTGCGGGGGATCACCGCGGAGAGCGAGAACATTCTGAATGCCGTTGGATTTGATTGTGCCGAGCGCGTGGTCGATCTTCTCCACCGGCATGTTGGTGCATGTGAGATGCATCATGGTTTCGACGCAGATGGAATTCTGCATCCTGTTGGCGATGTCGAGGGTGACATCGGCGGTGGAGCCTCCGGCACCCCATGTGATGTCGCAGAAAGTAGGATTGTAAGCCACCATGCGGTCCATCCTCTCAAAGAGATTCTCGACGCCGTCTTCCGTCTTCGGCGGGAAGAACTCGAAGGAGAACACAACATTGCTGTTGTTGCTGCCATTGACGGCCGCCGTTCCGTCCCCCACAGCTGACCTTATCTTGTCAATCACCTTCATGGCGCGTTTTCCCGGGAAACAAACGAGAAGTGAGAGGGGGGATGGGGGACCGGGAAATTGTGGGGGAGAAAGAGAAGGACTGAGATCACAGATTAGGAAATTGGAGAATGGTATGGAGTGCAAATATGGCGAAAAGGAGTGGCTTTTTTTTATACAGAGGAGTAAAAACTGGAGTTGGTAGAGGTGACCGTCAATCTTCATCGGCTTCCTCCTTCAACAGCCCCAGAGCGAGGCAAATTACCCCCCGGTGAAACAACCACCAAGTGCCTATTTTTCTCGTCGGGCGATTCCACCATATAGCTTTTCAGGCCGCAATTTCCTTCTCTTCATTTCAGTACTAGTATTTTTCTACTTTCATACGTTTTTATCAAATTCCTTGACAAAAATAATACATTTTCATCAAATTCTTAATCTTCGTCGTTTCATTGCTGTTAGGACGAGATTAGGACGAGATTATGTGATAGGTTAAAGATTCTTTCCGAACAAATTTGCTAACTCTCTCAGTGTTAGCACTCAATTCAATCCAAATCTGAACTCAACACGTCATAGTCAAAATCATTCACGCCTCAATTCATCACATGAAAATACTAAGCAACTCATCACCAAGTAAACTTCATATTCAGACGAGCAAAGACTAGGGATGGTAAAATAGTTCGGTTTGATTAACCAAACAACTAATCACAAAATATAGAATACTGATGAGCTTACTTTCCCTCATAACCAAACCAAACTTATTAAGGACAATGGGTTAGCCGAAATTATTAAAATTTATGAATAGTTCAATTTTGGTTTGAAGGGCATAAAAACCATTTAAGGACAGCAGAGTTTGGATTTCTAGTGAATTTTTTGTTCTAGCTCTTAACCAAAATCAATTAAAAGTTTGTCGATATTTAACCATTGTAGAATATTATTAAGGCTTATTAACGATTTGATTTCTAGTTTAATCTAAGAGTCGAACCCATTTTAGCAGCACTGTCAAAGTCAAACCTCTGGTCAATTAGTGTAAAAAACTAAAAACAGTGTGATCAATTGATCACATGGCAAGAACTGAAACTAATCATATAATTATGAGTCAATATAATTTTGTTGGGCTACATTTGAATAGTGTCCACTAACCAACCGCCACCAACGCCCAAGAGGTGAGGTGGAGGACTGACGACTGCAAATAGTGGGTGCTGGGAGTTGGTAAGTAGGCCCACACCACCAACCCAAAAAAAGTTCCACTCCCTCAGCAACAGAGCGAAATTCCTCGGTTCACTAGCGTACCACTCACTCACCAGTTCAAATTATTTATAAGCCTAATGATTCAACGTGTAATAGTAAACCTGTAGAGGATATATTCTGTAAGAACTGCGATAAAATAGTGTTGAACCCAGACCATATATTGGTGACACAGGAAAGAAGCCAATTGCAATTTAAGAAGAAGAAAACAGGGAAGAATGCCCAATGCCTCTTGGGCTTAACCTTGGGACTTCTAAACCAACAGCAAACTGTAACTGTAAATAGGATTACAACCTTAATAGCCTAACATGTGGCTAACTATGGTTTTTATATGATTCAATTGGTTATGAACATATGCTTAGCTTAGCTAGACTTAGTCAACTAAAGAATGCTATAATAAGTGGAAAAAACGGTGCGCAGCACCAAATGAATTGATAAATTACGAAACATCTCTTAAAACTTCCATACCTGGAACAATTTGGTCCATAGTGTGATCAGCCAACAACCTTAGCAACTTCTTCCTTTGTTACTTCTTCTTGTATTGCTTTCTGCTGCTGCTTCAATGGAGGTGGGATCTTGGACACTCCAATCACGCCGAGATTCTGCCAGCACAAGTTCGAGATCAAAGAGATTAAAGGGGGGAGTATTCAATCTCGGTAGACAAGGATGAATCACTCGGACACATGGAGTTGGTGAGGGAGTTATGATGATTCATACCTTCAGTATGGCCAAAGCTGATTCATCCCTATTCATTGTGTAAAGATGCAGCGTCCTAATCCCATGAGCTATAATCTTCTTGCACATCTCTGTCCCGAGATGAATTCCATATGCTCTCACGGCTTCATTATTGTCTTTGATGGGCTCCAGTGCAGCAAGAATCTCAGCTGGGATCTACATTTACAATGTGAAAATTTAACAAGTCATCGATTAGATCCATGACATTATGAAGATTACCTTTGCTTCACTTGAAAGCTATTCGAACAACTTGACAAGAAGTACCTTAGTTTTGCACAATCCAGTCATTTTACGGAATGATCTGTAGTTGGTAATAGTCAAAATGCCAGGCACAATTGGGCAGGTGATGCCAATTTGGCGGCAGTCATCGACGAATTTGAGAAAGATATCGGTATCGTAGAACAGCTGAGTGATGATCAGATCTGCTCCAGCATCAACCTGTGATCAGATAAGCATATTAATTAAGCCCCCAGAGAGATCACAGGTAGAATGCAAAACCATAGGCATAGTCGAGCAGTTTTTTATTTGAACTCCATTATCCTCCATGAAGTTCCTATGAGCACTACTCGGAGAACATATACGAAGGACTTGTAGTTAGCCAGGTTTTCCATTTTCGAACTCCAAAATCTGGGAAGTTACAGCTTCTTCTATACGCTGTAATTCATTATTATAAGAACTTAGAATAATCATAGCAGAACAAGCTGACCTTCTGCTTCAAATAGGCAAGATCTTTCTGGTAATCTTCCGGCGTGGCTACACCATCATCTCCGATCACATCCGGGTGAGCCTCTGTTCACCATCAGAATCAATGATTGAAGCCGATCAATCATGGGAACAAAGACAGCAAATCAGGAATGAACAGAACAAGGAGGGAAAAGCAATACCTGGATAACCAGCAACAGTAATGCCGAAGTAGTCCCCATACTTGGACCTCATGTACTTCACCTGCAAGCAACAACAGAAAAACGGATCGATCTCTGTAATTCCTCCGTTGACCAATTCCGCGGCTCAAATGTAAATTCCAGGCAGAAATGGATCTCAGATTTCGTCAGATGCTAAAATCCAGAGGAAAGCGACGAAGAGAGAGAGAGAGAGAGAGAGAGAGAGAGAGAGAGAGAGAGAGAGAGAGAGAGAGAGAGAGAGAGAGAGAGAGAGAGAGAGGGAGGAGCCAATACCAGGTCGAGAGCGCAGGAGAATCCGTCTTGGATCTGGACGAACTTGTCCTGGCCGAGCGGGGGGTCGCCGCGGAGGGCCAGAACGTTCTGTACGCCGCCGGATTTGATGGTGTCGAGCGCGCGGTCGATTTCCTCCACTGGCATTTCAGCGCAGGTGAGATGCATCATGGTCTCGATGCCGATGGAGTTCTGCATCCTGTTGGCGATGTCGAGCGTGACGTCGCCGGAGGAGGCTCGCCAGGTGATGTCGCAGAAGGTCGGGCTGTACGCCACCATGCGTTCTATCAGTTCGAGGACCTTCGCCATGCCTTCCGCTCTCGGGGGGAAGAATTCGAAGGAAAATGCGACGTTGTTGTTCCCGCCGTTCGCCGCTCCGCCATTGGCCTCACCGACAGTCGACCGGATCTTGTCTATCACCTTCATGGCGGCGCTGCCGTTGTTCGTTCTGCCTCCCGACGGTAAGATTCCCGGGAAACAAACAAACGAACAAGAAGAGAGGAGGAAAGTTCGAGGAAGAGACCAGAAGAAATGGAGAAATAGTTAGGGTTTTAAAAGGAAGGAAGAAAGAGTATCAGCCTTCAATCTTCATACATACGCAGGAGCACGACGACTATACGCATCTAACCTCCCCCCTTCCGAGTCCGACTCGGGACTCACAACTCAGTTAGTTGAACCACCGACGCAACAACCCCACGCGGGAAAGGAGAAATTAATATTTCATTTTGTGCTTTTTTTACCCAATTACGTCATTGTATTTGTATGTGTATTTTCATGAAAATATACGCATTCGTATGAATATGACCCCACAATTGTTTAATCATACCTACCCACTATAATGCAGCTATTTTCGGTCCAACCATTGCTAATTGCTCAGTAACACGTTCCCACCTCCAAGTAAACTCAGGAAAATCCCCTTTGTCTAAAAAGAAGACAAATGAGCTGTCCAACTTAGTGTCTGGACTGGACAACTACTTCAAATGAGTAATGGAAACGACATTAAAAAAAAGAAATCACATGGGAAACGAACACTCATCACCAATCATGGTGATGGACACAGTGAGGTTATGACCAAAAAAAATTGTCGGCAACTGCACTCATCAGATCTGTTGAGATCATGAGATGTGTTGATCAAATCATTCAGATCAGATCAGATCAGATCAATGAAGCTAACAATGAATACGGTAAGTTGTAATATAAACCGTAGCGAGTTGGTCTCCAATACACAGCTCGACCAACATTACCTGTAGGCTGTAGGTAAGGTTATACAACATCAGGAAACAATTCCCCACAACGAGATGAATTCAATTCATATCAGCCAAGCCAACTACCACTAGAACAAACAAAGAATCGTATACAATGCTTGAGAAAAGGAGGAGGCTAATTGAGGCTCCCACCACCAACATATCTACAAACTTCTTCCATCATCAATCCAACTCCAATAACAAAGGACAATTCAATTGCAAGCATCAGACTAAGCAAATGGACTGCCACTCACTTGTATAGATACAAATGTCTACGCAAATGTACAGAGCTAACAGACTGGAGGTATTAGAGCAGTTGCCATTCGTCCCCACCATGTCCATCATCTGCATCATCATCATCTTCTTGATAGGCATCGCAGCTGCTGACAAACGTATTCTGATGGGAATGTGCCACGGTGAATAACGGTGCGCCATTCGATTCTTCGGCTAGCTTGGATGCCAAGGAACAGAACTCATCGAAGTCGTCTGTCCAGCAGAGACAAGAACAGGCAATTGAATCGCTGATGAGGTTTGGGAAGCAATATACATAGCAAAGGAAACCTACTGTGTTTGTTTTTTTCCTGATAAATAAGCAAGAAGACAACACTATCCATTGGAACACACCTTTGTCTCGGCAGTAGAACCCGATTGCAAGCGAGGGATCGATTGATTCCAGGGGAATATGCCGTATGACACTGGAAAAATAGAAGCAAAGACGTCATTATTTGTCGAGTTGATATGCCATCATAAGCGTAGGATGAGGGACCGTACACGAGAATGGAACTTACTTGGAATGGTATGATGATGAATCAGCCTCCAAATCATCTGTGCTGATGTTGACTACCTGAAGAACCAAGAGCTTTTTCAGCACAATTATGCACTCATCATTCTAACTAACGATAATTGTAATAGAAGTGCAACTGAAATCCATTAATAAAAAAGAACCTCCTGCTTTGATGGAGATAAGCATACCGAAACAGGGAAGGACAAAGGAAAAACTACAGACAACCTCCTTCACCCACCAACATCATCTGATGAATTAACTCTTTACAAGAGTAATAACAGGCATTAAGGACAAGAAAGAAAAGGTGGGGTGGAGGGCGGGGTGGAAATGGGACCAATAATATATAGTGCCAATGATGATCTTTCCCAAGATCGATTATGAATGAAGGGTCCTTAGTTGGGCATGGAAATCAACGGAAAGGGTAATCACTAAAAAAGGAAGTGCTTGGAGGGCACTTCAAAGAGCACTGTAATGCTGCTTTACAGTGATGGCACTGCAAAGAGAAGTGTAATGCTGTACATAGTGAATTAGTGAAATGGTAACAATCTAAAACTAAATGAGAGCTGGAACTTCATTAGACTTTTCCAAGCAACAGATGCATATATCAGCCATTTCTCATAGTCTCCATCAGTGCTGGAAACTAATATGAAGGAAACACCATTCTCAGTTGTCATTTACCTGTTGAACTTCATGTGGATCGAGATAAAATGCATTGTCATCTTGCACACCAACTATGTACGTTGAAGCACCGGGCTTTCCACCTAAAATGCCAAGGCTTTGAGGAAAGGTGAATGTCGCCTGGAGCGATGGAATATACCTGACATAATTCAAAAGTTCCAATTGGTTAGCACCTAATCACCTGTGGAATCTCTAAAATAAAAGGGCAACCATAACATAGGAGGTAATCAGGCAATTTGGTTTACTACCAAGAATGTTCCATGCTGGATAACCTAAAGAAATTCAAAGTGGTTAACATGAATGAAGGTTGCTAGCAGAATTCCCAGCTTTTACTACATTTCATGCACTGAAAAGTGGGATTTCTGCAGATTTTGTGACTAGTACACAGCAAGAGTCCAAAATATTCAAGCAAAAGAATCAATAAGAGAAGTTTCAGTCAAAAGAATGTAAGCTACCTAGAATTTCTAACCTATACAATAGTTCAAAGATAGATGACTTAGTAAAATCAAAATCTATGCTTCATTCAGCATCACAAGACACTAAAAAATAAACTTTCCATATGCCGTTTCCAGAAACATCATGCATCACCACAAAAAGAGAAATAGTTTATGGCAGAGACAACGAAGAGAAGACGCAATACAATGATACAAGCATAGTATAAGCAAAATCAGACAAATGAGTCACCAATGAGCTAATAGAACATATTGTACTTTACTCCAGGATAATTAACGTAGTCATGAATTATCAAATCACATTTTCAGAACACAAATATAGCATAGAGGCTTCTGAGAATACAAACCTGGGGTTTACTTTGTCAAGTCCAAGGACCAGGGGAACTAATAGAATAATAGGTGTCCAGTCTACCTGTCCTTTAGAAAATTCTACACAACTTCTATGGACATCTTCAATGCAGACAACTGGAGCTCCACCTCGCTCCCCATTTTCATCTCCAGAAACAACATAAAGAGCCATAGGAAATGGGCAGAGCTCAGGGACTGTTTCCTCTCTCTTTGAGCGGACCAGAGTTTCCCAGGACCGGCACATAGCATATGGCCCTACCCATGATCCAGCTGCAAGGCCATAAGCCTTTCCAGCTAGAAGAAGATTGTGGATAGAGAATGGTGACGCCTCTGAATCGCCGAAAAGATGCAAGATCGTGATATAGTCTTGATCCTGTGACTGCAATGTTGAAAATAAGTGAACATTAGCAAATATAAAGAGGCACATTAGATGTGGATTCCTAAGAAAATTGACAGTTAAAGATACAGTAGAATGACAAGGGAAGAAATGGGACTGGAAAGAAGTTAACCTCAACTGAAGTTCTTCTCCAAGATCTCCCAAATTGATGACAAAGCAATGCCTAAGATTTAAAGACCGATTTAGATTGCAATGGCTAAAAGATACAGGAAGATGATAAACAAATTATCATGAAAAATCAATAAGAATCCAGAAGGAGATGATTATACTTGAGCAATCAACATCTGGCTGCTCCTAACCATGCAACCCCAGCCTACATCACTAGTTAATTTTGAATCTCCAATGGCATCAAAACCTGTGAACATAGTGAAGAATAGTACTCCTGATCAATTTAACAAAATCCCCTTAGAAGTATATCTACGTATATGCTGAAATAGGCAAGCAATCTATTACGAACCTTTCCTATATGTAACTAGGATTCTTGAAGAGATATCATGTGTAAATTCAGCTAAAATATTGTTTGTAGCTTCTGCTTCTGCAGAACAACCATCAGCTGAGATCTTATAGCAAGTACCCAGCAGCCATATATCACTGGTTTGGGTGGGTATCCCGATTTTAGTTGGTCCTAGTACCCGCTCGTGGAGTCTCCTCATTGAACCACCAGCTACAACTTTCTTTACAGCTGATGTCCAACCATTACTTCTGCTATGAACTCCCTTCTTTTCACAGGTCGGTGATTCACGATATGATTCAAAGACCGTGAAAGCAGATGAGAAGAAGCTCGACCACAAGGATGCCCTCGATAACTTGCTGTCACTGGGTCTTTGCTCTGAACAATCAGACGTTAAAGCAGTTGTTGATGACTCGGTAGGTGTTTCTAGATAGAAGTTTGAAGTAACAGCCTTGTCAGGAAAACCCTTCATTACCTAGTCATAGCACTGCCTAGAAATGTCAAACTGGCTCATTGATGGAACCTAGTCTGACTTTCCACTGTCAAAAAAGAAAAGACAACTGTTAGCCTCTGAATCAAAGCATAAAAAACAAGAAAGGGATAGATAGTGGGTGTAATCAAGCTGAATGATGGGACAAGTGAGAGAATCAAAGAGCTCTATATGTCTATATATATTCTCTCAGTAAAGACTTTCCCGTTTCAAGCAAAATGGTGAGCTAAGCCCTATCGACTTCACTAAGTCTACCAGGACCTCGCATAAAAGCCTGCATGCAAATCGTTAAGATTCACTAACATTCAACTTCATCCAGAAGACTGAAGCATCTGACACTACTCTTTTCCTACAAAATCGACTACTGGTATACAAGAGAAATAAATTTCAGCCAACATATAACAAATAACACACTCATCTCTCCACCTCCTGAATCGGGCTCGACGTAGCCTCTAACCACTGATAATCACCTACATCGATTCAGCTAGATGTTGCTAACCATAGCCACTTCTCCAAGAGCTCTACTGACCAGTTCCAGCATCTCCTAACCTCCGCCAAAATCCGCTAAGAACTAAAACCGAACCCTATTCCATCACAAACTCATCCAGGAAACTTAGAACGGCATTGGCAGAGAGAATTCCTATTTCCCAAATGAAACTACGCCAGGAACGGGAAGTGAATCACGAAGTATCGAGCAGCCCAATACATAACCCAAATGGAAAGCCCTGGCCAGTCGCAATTCAGCTAAAAATTCAGCTCAATCCAACACCACCAACAGAATACAACGAAGAAGAAAGAAACTCGTAGTTACAAAATCAACACCACAATTCCCAAATCAGATCAAATGAAAACCCCAATCATTCTCTGCAACGAAGTTGCAGCCAAACGGAAAAAGAAAACCGATCAAAACACAGCAGAGGGATAAGAGAGGGGGATTGAAGATCAACGTACCAGCAAGCGCCGAACGAGAGAGGGAGGGAAAAAGCAACGGCGACACGTAGCGAGCCAGCAGAGGACAGGGAGGAGAAAGAAGAAATTGAAAGGAAGCGAGTTCGAGCCCACGGCTGTCTGTGTAAGGACGAAGCAATCAGCGAACAAGGAATTTCTCTAGTCTCGTTTATTTTCTTCTTCTTTCTCGTTTCGTTTTCTTTAGGAACTGGACTGGGAGGGAGGAGAGAGGCACGGCGTAGGTTGATGGATGATCGATCGAATGACAGCGTGACGGAGGGGAGAGAAAGTCTATTTTTTTTAACTCGTGTTTGGTTGGTCGGGTCGGGTCGGGTCCCTAACAAAAGGAGAAAAGAAGGGGTCACGATCAAATTGATCATCATATTTTCCATAGTAAATGCAATAGTCACTCCATTTATTATCACAAGGCTTTTTCATTATAATTGTTCTTGTTCATGCCAAAGTGTTAACTCGCCCAATTTATTGGTGAATTTTAAGTCCTAAAATAACATCAACTTAGCTATCATAGAGGGGAGGAAGGGATTATGATGGTTTTAGTGAAAGGGTTTGACAGGAAAGACGTTAATGATAAGACGAAATGTCCAAACAAACTTGTTAGAGTTTGTACTGCATTTTTCCACTATCGACCTAGGCAGCATTGTGGCAGCTTGAAATGTACTTGAGGCTTGAGCAGCATGGATGATGGACGAGAGCTTAGACAACAAATGGCTAAGCACTCCAATCTTGTATGTGTAATGAAACATATTAATTTTTATGGATACCATTAGTGAAGAAAGTTGGCCTGGATCAGTAATTATCAACTTAAACCAGCCAACTTGACTTGTGCATGACACTACATTAACACATAAGATTAGAGATGTCCTTAGACTTGGAAGACTCTAAGTCCGAGATTGTGCTTCTGCAGTTCAAGGCCCTTTTGTGGAAGTTTAGGAAACAACCTGCAGCAGCATATATATCCCCGACCGAGATAATAGAAGAACGAGTTCGTATACCGACGAAATCAGAGCATATGGGATTTGTTCAAGCATGACTACTCAATGACTTATGAAATAGAATCCAGCCTCAAGTTGCAAACCGATCATGAAACAAAATCCACCTTCAAACATTAAAACATACGGCCTCTACACTTTCCCGTACCCTTACTACTACTAAAGTGAAGTACTTGGCAGTGTATTGTCATCTATTTTAGCATACTCAGCGAACAAATGACACGTCTAATACCCTACATGAAGCAGGCAGGGGCAACCAAGGACCTGGAGAATTGAAAAAACAGCACCACCATGCACCTGTTTTATACCAATGTCGGAAGCATTTGTCCTTCTACTTGCTTCCAACCACGGGAAGGTACACACCTTCTGCAGCTAACCATACGTTGTCAGCACGCTTTTCCCGAACAGCACAAACCTACAGAAGCACACGTATATCAGCAGGCAGAAAGCAAGCAAAACAGAGAAACCATGACCGCCTTCATGATGTCTTTGTCAATCAAGGTGATGAGATGTATCTCTAATTTGTGTATGAACAAGCCAATCATGGTACATTTCTTGTCGGACTGCAAACTACTGTTCAGGCTAGGAAAAGCAGTTCATGCTCCAGTGCTCGATTTGCCACTGGAATAAGTGGCACAATTCCAATCTCCACTAAAGTCATAGAAGAAATACCCAATTAACTATAAAAATGTAGCAGTACTTCATGAAAGTAAGTAAGTAAATAATGGCCCACCTCTTGCTGTCCCCCAGCTATTCTCTGGTACTTCTTGTCATGGCTGTGTAGGTAGGCACCAGTGTCAACATGATGCAATCGAACTCTTTGATTTTGTTTCCAGGTCTTTTCACCACCTTCAGTAACAAGTCTAAGGAAAAAGAACCAGATTAGTGCAACTAAACAAAGGCATACTGCCACACAAACGAGAAGTTATGTTTGTTTGTTTGTTTGCACGTACCTCCAATGATCTCCTGTATCAGATTCGTTTTCCCCACCAAAACAGCTAACCTACAAACAGCAAGTCTTGCGAATGAGGTTAGCGATGTCATCATCCAGTTACAATGTTACTACACTAAACAAAGGATGCGAATTACAGATCATGAACAAAAGATTATAAACATGTGTAAAAATGGATACTTCATCAGAAGATATTAGCTGCCACAAGGAAAATGACAGAACAAACAAAGTAAACCCCTTTTGGTGCTACTTTATGAATTCGAACATATGATGGCTGCTGTGAGTCTAATGTGCAGCAACCTAGTAATGAGGCTTCATTAGATGATCAAATCACTTAAACCTACCACTACTTCCCTATGTATATACAATATGCTAATTGCAAGCTGCTTCAGTTCAATTGACATAATATAGTCACTAACCTCAAGGTTGCCAGATATTGGGGAGGCATGCAAATGGCTATGCAGCCATTTTCTAGTTTTCATGTGCTGCAAACGGAATACCGTCCCAGCTGTTACGGTGTCGCCTTGTTTAGCATTAGAGTCTGGGACAGGCCTCACAATCTACAAGAACATAGTCCCAGTTTTAACCACTGTTAGAATCCGGAATTGTGACTGAACACCAAAGCCAATGCTTATGGGTAAAGATATCCCACACCATAAAACTCATTTCCCCAGGACAGTAAGGATGGTATCTGACTCTGCGAGCTCAAACCACTCGATAGAAAATTGAAGAAAACGGACTGAATTGCCACCCATCGATCTTCTTTGGCTATATATCAAGCAAAGAACTTGATCCACAACTGGTCCAAATTGAATTCCTAATTTTGAAATTGGTAAAGCCATTTCCCTACCTTCCCCTTACCTCATTGAATGAAGGCATGAAATTCCCCCCAGAAATTGAATTTAGCTAAAATGGCTATCGCAATCCCCAAAACTAGGATATAAAAACATAAGAATAGAGGAAAAGGAACAGGCTGAGTTACCCAATAGCTATTGGAATCGTCGACATTAGGATATCCTGTAACAGATTGCTGCCCACTGCCGGATCCATAAGGCACCTCGTGGGAATGCAGACGGTACTTGGTCTTCTCGTGCATCAACTTCAAAACTGAGCCATACGTAATCTGGCACCATAAACACCATAGATTGACGCTGAGCTCAAAAACTCGAACAAACAAACAAAAAACTTCCCTGACGTCGCTAATTCTCATCCATGGATAAACATACCTCAACACCTTGAGCAGAGGAGGAGGAAGAAGATGAAGCGGCGGAGGCAGGGGAGAAGGAGGCCTGATCTAGATCGAGGTTGAGGAAGAGAAACACTGCGAGACCGAAACACGCGAGAGCCATGGCGAACAGCAGCCAGATGAACCAACCCTGCTGCCAGAAAGGTTTCGGCTCTCTGCTCACGATTCTGGAGGACTGAGGTTTCGAAGAGGGGGGGTCGAATGAAGAAGAAGACGACGGTGTCGGCGGCGGCTGCGGCTGCGGCTGCGGCTTTCTTCGCGAGACGGCCGGTGGAGCTGAAGGAGCCACCGTGATTGGAAGGGAAGAGCGCGGAGATTCAACTTACCGGGGCTTTCTCAAATCTCAAACAAACGATCTTACCAGCAGGCCAGGAAGGAACTGAGACGAAACTGAAAATATGGATGGGTCTTTTTTCCTTTATTTTTTAGTTTGGAGGCAGAGAAAATGCTTATGTGGAGTGCTAGCTTGCAGAAGCTCCCAATCACGCGACACCACGTGGACAGATTGACGTACTTCAATGTCACTCTAGGTAGTTAATCATACTTTTGGTACCCGAACTTTAGAATTTCTTTATTCAAATATACAGTATTGTCATACGAATTACGAAATATGGACATAATATGACACTTTTGACGGGGGCTCGACCCCAAGTTGTTCATTTGAGGACAGGTACTGGTGCTACGAACTCGCTCTAATATGAATCGCCGTGCCGAACACAAAGAGAAAGGAACAGTAACACTAATTGAACCTCTTACTTAATTTACTTTTATTTATTTGATCTGTAATACACACTAGAAGATAATTAATACAATACACCACTCTAATTTTGGTTCTCACCGGGGGGAAACCTTCACCAGGCCAGATTGAAACGCGACTTCCGACGGAAGTTCTTCTTCACCACACACCAGGAGTCCGGGAAAGTGCTCAACTGCAGAAACAAGAACAAAGAACAAGAAGGAAATAAGGCAATGGCATTATGTTATGCTTCTGGAATGGATGAACAGAATTTCCCAGAACATAAAGTCAGCACTAATCGCGGGCTGGAAAGAAAACCGAAGCTCTTACGTTGCTTATGAGCTTAGCACCGAACCATGGAGTATCTACTCCGTATGGAGGTGGGATTACTTTGATCCCGTTGCCTGAGGAGGCGGGAAGTAGCAGACGAACTTCCTTGTCGAGGCGTTCTGAGAGACAAAGCAGCATTGGAAGAAAATGTTAGAAGGGAGAATGCAGTGACAGATAAGGCATTAGCAGAAGGGAGATGTCAGAAATACGGCTGAATGACCTGACCTGCAAGTCCGGGTAAGCATGCTGTTCCTCCTGTCAGAACTATGGTTTTGAACCAAGAATCGTCGCCAGTCAACTCTGCAGCATGACAATGGTCGATGCAAAGTGCAACAGCCTGATGCAGCCCCATCCCGCGCCTGTGATTGCAAGACCAATCCAATCACCCATCAATATAAGATGCATAATGCAGAGAATCTAAGTTACAGAAAGCAGTAATTAAGTTAGAAAATGTAACTGAATATACTCCCACAGAGGGAAACACGTATAGCTTTCTTTAGAAGTTACTATATAATAACAACAATTCCCATGATCTTGCATCATAGAAGGTGGAAGTGCCAATATTCTGACAATCGTGTTCATGCTTCAGCAAAGAATACCAGGGAACTTACAGCTGCAGAGAAAAAAATACGACTTACATTCCTGTAAGCCGCGGTTGGAACAAGATCTCCCCTGTTTTGTAGCGTTCATTCGAAAGTGTAAACACCCCTTCTCCAGGGATTTCCATGGATGCTTTTGTGTCTTTGGACAGCTCAGCTTGATAATCATAAGCAACATAGCAGAGGTTCTGGGTATTCATTATAAGCCACATAACATGAATCAAATCAGAATTATGAAACACGAGTAATAACTCACAGTAGAGCAAAACAATGATTTGGCCATCAACATTGTAACAAAGTTCACAAAACGACGGTTACAACTACCGAGGAGCACATATATCTGCATACTTGCTGACAGATTTCTTCTATGAGTATGTTTGCCTCCAAGAGCCTGGGTTAGCCAGAATAACAATACAGTTTACTGATTTGGAATAGGGATTAAACGGAATTAACTCTGGTTTGGCAAGTCTTCGAAACTATGAGGCCGCAGCAAGAAGCACACAGGACAACAACTTATTTTAAGTCTACCGTGTAGAGTACTAAAACCAATAGCAATCTGGTACTACACTAATGGAAGATATGAAGATGTCAATTACCTTAAAATTCGGAATCAAAACCTCAAAAAGCAAGCAAGACATGAAGATATTCACCTCTTTCAGTGTCCGAATGGTGTAAAGAGATTCACAATTTATGTTATTCTGTTGCATCTGCTCCTTCAGGAAACCTGTAACTTTTAAGGCACCGATGCCGATAGCTTCCACACCCACAGAGTGCATTATTTTTCCATTTAAAACTGCAATAAGTCCCAGTTAAGCTAGTAAGACATTGCTGATCGAGAGGGGGAGGGGGGAATTTTCAAGAGCAAGTAAAGAATAACGAGAAGAGAAATGTAGATGAACACTTACTTGGAACTACAGAAGTCGCCTGGAAACCAATATTAACAACAATTCCAGAAGTCTTGTGTGCAGCATAAAGTGCTAGAATTGCCTGTGGTCAACAGCATGAATGCCAAGATTGCATCAACATACAAATATGGAAACTTTCTCACAGATAACCCCGCCACAAGAGCAGAAAGAAAAAAGAAAAGTCCAGAGAGGAAGGAATAACCTACAAAAAGAAAACAGTTGCGGCAATCGGTTAAGCAGCAAATATCAAAGCTGAAAGGAGGGGAGGACAGAAGAAGAAAAAGTAGAGTAGACTCTTTTACTCAAGGTACCATACAGAATGGCAAATTTTCCATGTCCAACAAGTGCAGAATTCAAAGGGGCTCTAAGAAGCTATTAACAGCTGCAGATCAAGCAGCAGCTCTCTTTTGGAAGGAAGAAAAAAAAAACCCAAGATCTTAGCTGCCTTGTGTAGGGAGTAACTTGGGAAAGATGGGAATGGATAGTTGTGATCTTAGCCACATAAGAAGCTGAGACATTCATAGAAGACTGCAAGTTGGAAATTAGTGAAGGCTAGCTTACATTTTTTAGTACTAAAGAAATTCCTATCGGGCACATCTTAAATTCTTCAGTTGTGGAACCACGGAGCTGGAATGGCATGTAATGTAGACATGATAAGTTATAGGCTGAGTAAGAATATCAGATCAAATTAAGTGTTATTGGTAGAATTCCCATTTTAATTCAGCTAAGGTAGCTTGGGGTCGTGAATTCGTGATAGGAAGACACAGATCTATAAAGGAAATCCCAAATGAAGAAGAGCTTCATGTCATCTGAAGCTTGTCTGTCCTGATTTCCAAAGATCATTTCAACATTCAAATGCTATAATAGCCTCAAGGACCTTGAAATTAATTCTACAAAACAATAGCGGGTGAGGTTTAGGCTAATGTTTGCAGCAAAGCTTCATTCCTTTCTTGGTCTGTAGAAAGGATGGTGAGTGCTTGTGATATGCTAGGAACTTAAAGGAATAAATTAACCAAACTTATTTACCTGATTAACTGTACAAACAGCTGGAACATTCATGTCAAAGAGAGCAGAGTGGATAGCTTCTTTCAGTTGCCTTCTTGATGCTCTGGCAGAGTCAGTATCTAGAAGAATAATAAGACAAAGTAATTAGAATGAGTTCTTTGTACCATGACGTTAATTATAAGTACAATTATGATAATAGTTTCTCCCATGTATAGCTAAAGAACATCTAACATATATCTTAACAAGTTCATTCTCAAATAGAACTCGATCTTCATAAATAAACAAAAAATAGAACTCGCTCGTGCATTCAGGAAAGTTCTTCCATTTGAAGCAACTCATGCATTAGGGCAAAGGCTGTAAAGCTAGACATGAGAGTTGAATTTGCACATGTCAGAGCAGTAAGACTAAGACATCAAGAAAATTCAACAGGCAGCCACTAGAGGAAGATGTAGAAAATAGCTGCTAACCATCATAGTGGCATATAGGAAGAGACAAGACAATTGGCTGGGTAGATGTCTTAACTTGCATCCTGTAGGCATGGCATATCAAATTTAGCATGGGCCCAGGAGATTGTAATGTACATAAGCATTTCAAGCAGGATATGTTGAACAAATTAGAGAGAATACAATATATACCTGCTATAAATAGTAGCAAAAAAATGCCGCAATCTCGAGTACATTGGGGACTCTATGTTGCCAAATTCCTGCATATTTGACACCTTTTAGCAATAAAGTATAAAAGGAAAAGCTGTAAAACCAACCGTTACTTCAAGTAGGAGTTGCAGAACTTGAGGTGAAAAAGAAACAGCAAAGGTTAAAGAAGTGAAATGGATCATAAGGGCATTCCCTACTGGAAGTAGTCCACTTCCACAGACCTTTATGGCATCAACTAAGACAGATGCTTACCAAAAATGTGGCTGACCGCCCAGATGGACTATCATATTTGCTCCACCCAAATTTGCAATAGCCCGACCCACCTTTTCCAACAAGGTTTAAGTGAAACAAGGAACAAGATGTTCAGAAGTTACAGAGGATTATTAGCATTGTTACTTAACAAATCAAGACCTAAGTAATCCAAAGGGTTTTGATTAACTTGATCAGAGCCGCAGAAAAATTGTCTACTTCCAATCCATCACCTACCTTCTCACGGCCAAAAATCAATTCATATATACATGCATGTCAACATACAAATACGCCAACAAGCACATAGACCAACCAATGCATTCCTCTCTGCCAATCTTCGTGTGAAACAAATCTGAGTTAAGCATGCTCTATCCTTTTTGGGGATAGATTCCAGGACCCATGAATGAGTTCTAGCCACAGTATCGAAGTCCTCTCCTCCCCTGAGCTATAGCAAGTAGCAAATAACTATTCCCTTCACCTACTCACTCACTTGTAAGTGGAACCCAGTGTTCAAATAACAATTCAACACTCACCATCAATGATAACAGCACCAGGCACTTTCATTCTCTCGCCGTATATGCGCATCAGAGATAGCTCGGTAGACATATCACTCGGGTACATCCTACGAAATGATAAGTTTAAGCTCAATTCCACCCCCAATTATTCCATAATCAAATGAACAAGTACCAAAATGGAATCCATGAACAGCAACATCTGCAGTCAGTGGAGGTCGAAGCTGGCAGAAGAGTGAGCATGAAGTACGCTTCAGGCAAACATCCCATAATTCGTGAAGCATTTCAGCTAGGCAAAGGAATTGGCCAGCGAAAAGGAATACTCACTGGACAGGATAGCCGGAACGGAGATTCATCTCGGAAAAGAACACAGAGTCCCAATTCCAAGGCTCATCTTCGTCCTGGAGGAAGAAAATCCAAAGGCGATTATCCGACACGAGCGACCTCCACGACTTGCTAGCCACGCAGAGCTTTGCAGCGTCCTTCGGCCCAGCCAGCCTCACAATCTGCACCAAGACATCGAGCGGCAGCCGATCGAACACTCCCAGGGACAAGGACGAAGACGACGACGCCGACCATTGAAGACTACGGCGAGCGGCGACAGAATCCGAATTCGAATTCGAATTCAAACTCGGCCGGCCGGAGATCGAGTCAAGTACCTTCCGAAATAAGGCGGTCATGATCGGGAGCTTGCCCGGGAGATTATCCCGTTCCTTCCACGGCGTCCCCATTTCTGTGTGAGAGGCTTAGCTAGAACTCCGGCGAGCTCTGAAGACTAGCCCGGCTGCGGCTGCGGAGAACGTGTAACACGAGGGGAGCACAGTGAAAAAGGAAGCTACTGGAACTGCCGAATTGGTCACCCGTGCATTTGGTTGGTATCAGACTTTTGTGTTGCTGTGCTGTGCAGATAGTGGCCGAGTATTCTGCCTTGCTTTCTGGGCTTCTACGTTGCTGAAAACAAAGCACGGGATTTACGTGGATAGAGCCATAGGGGTATAATGGTATATATGCAATTTGGGTCTGATCTGATTCCCATCCTATTTAATTGGGCCATGTTTAATGGTAGCCCATACTTACGGCCCAATAAAAATATACACCAGTACAATCCCCGAGAAGGCATAAGACAAAAGCCCCTCAAAATTCCCTCTCGGAGTCGGAGAGAACGTGCAGCAAACACTACACGAGAGTTCCAGTGAGCGATCGCCGGCGAAATTGGAAGAGAGAAGGGGAGAACAAGCAAAGAAGAGAACTAGAGTTCATCAGCAATGGCGTCGTCGTCAAGCAGCGGGCTGACTTTTAAGCTTCACCCGCTGGTGATAGTCAATATTTCGGATCACTACACCCGCGTCAAGTCGCAGATGAACCCTCCCGTGGCTAGCACAAGCTGCTCGAATACGAACGGCAGCGGAAACGGCGGTGATTCTGCGGCCGTGGTGGCGCCAGCGCCGCCGCCGAGAGTGTACGGATGCGTTATTGGAGTTCAGAGGGGACGAACCGTCGAGATCTTCAACAGCTTCGAGCTTCTCTACGACCCCTCCACTGACTCCCTCGACCGTGCTTTCCTCTTGAAGAAGCAGGAGCTCTGTAATCTACCATTCTCGACACCGTGTTTTCTTCTTTGTGCTGCCGTTTTATGTTGATTTCAGGGTTTCTGTTGTGTGTATTAAGAATCGATTTTGGTAGAAACGAACCTAATGCTTGTTTCGTTTGTGTTGCCGAGCAGATAAGAAGGTTTTCCCCAACTTCTACGTACTGGGATGGTATTCTACCGGCAGTGATGCGGAAGAAGCAGATATGCACATTCACAAAGCTGTAAATTTCAACTCCATTGAATTACTCTTCAGTCTTCACCCAAAGTCTTTTGATGCCAACCTTTCTGTGTTTAGCTGGCTTGCTGTGATGGGGTAGTGATGTTCGAAGTTTTAGTGTTCAGACTCAATGGATTCTCTGCATTACATCTTTCACTATCTCACAGGGCTCAGTCTTCTTACATTACATGTTTTATCTCTTGGGAAGCTATTCTCTTCTGGCCTGTTTTAGTAGGTCCTACTGAATCCTGTCCTCTCTATCTCTTGTAACAGTTGATGGATATTAATGAAAGTCCTGTCTATGTCCTACTGAATCCTGCCATAAATCACGCTCAGAAGGATCTTCCAGTGACTATCTATGAAAGTGGTAAGCAGTAGGTCTTCTTATTGTTATCAGCATTTTGATGGAATAAATGGCAAATTTTATGTACTCAATGGTAATTAAGTGTCTTGGACGAGTAAGACATTGACCTCTAGTGTCGAACAGTATGTGCTTCGTTTCTAGTCCCCCTTACCAAGTGAACTTTCAAGGTTACTGATTTTAATGTTTTGCTGATTGTGTATGACTTCAGAGCTGCATGTGATTGATGGAATTCCGCAACTGATTTTTGTTAACTCAAGCTACACTATTGAGGTTTGTGATCTTCATTTTGTCCTCCAACTCATGCTATCTGCAACTGGAGTTATTAACACATTGTCTCTGTCATAAAGACTGTAGAAGCTGAAAGGATTTCAGTTGATCATGTTGCACACCTTAAGCCGTCTGATGGAGGTTCTGCAGCCACCCAATGCAAGTTGCTCTGCCCTTGCTCTTTTGTTCTTTCACCATTATTAGAATGGATTTCTGCTTGGGCAGTTTTGCTGATGCAGTCTTTTATTGCAGTGGCTGCTCACCTTACCAGCATACACAGTGCCATCAAGATGTTAAATAGCAGAATTAGGGTGCTTCATCACTATCTTGTAGCTATGCAGAAAGGTATTTGCGTTCCTCTTTTCCTATGGTAGTTGCAGAATAGATTGATTTCATAGGGTTCCCAGTGAGTGAAGATACTTCATTGTAAAAGTTAGAAAACCAGCAGTATCTGAAAGGTGCAAGATGCATCAATATTGGATAATCTCATGCATTTAGACAGTAATGTCACTGGGTTACTATTGCTTTCGAAATATCTGCAGTGAGTAGAGTCTAAGTTGATAGTTGTTGTGTGCTTTAAATGCCAGGTGAGATTCCGTGTGAGAACTCCTTGCTTCGACAGGTATCAAGCCTTCTGAGAAGATTGCCAGCTATTGAATCTGAAAAGTTCCAAGATGATTTCTTAATGGTGAGTTCTTACTCATTGTACAAGCTCCTCCTGATAATTAATGTACTTCTCAAGACTTCATCGTCACAATACATCCTGGGTAGTTAGAAAAATAAGCATGCTCGAGAACATCTCATCATTGTTTGGGTGGTGATTATGATGAGTTGATATTCTGCTTTGATGCTCTCCCAGGAATACAGCGACACGCTTTTGATCACATACCTGGCCATGTTCACCAACTGCTCAAGGTAACACAGCGATCAACCATTCCGCTGTTGTGTACACATTTCCAATCTTTTCTTGTTTCTCGTATTGACAAGTACATGTTTGGGGTTCTTTGTTTTGTTGGGGTGGCAGCACAATGAACGAGCTGGTGGAAAAATTCAACACTGCATACGACAGGCACAGTCGAAGGGGCGGTCGAACTGCCTTCATGTAGGAGAGAAGGCTTCTGCTTATTGCTGCTGCTGCTAGTGGTTCTGTTTATGCCTTCCCTCCGGCACATAGAGTTTACCCTTTTGGTATGTTGGATATGAAGACGCCTCCTGCACTCTTGCTTTGAAAGAAATGGAAACAATATATCACATCTCATTTGGTTTTGCTGTTCATTATGACATGCTCTTCAATGTTCTACTACCCTGAGATCTAGGTATATCTTTCTTATCCAATGAATGTGGAAATCTGGATGTTAAAAGACAGTTTCAATGTTCTACAAGCAGTTAGAATGTGGTGAAGTTCAGATGTTTCATTCAAATATCAAACTGAATCTGATTAGCAGCAATCAACCTTCTCAATCTAATTAGTTATTCCTACAAATGAATTGTCTTTTGCGAACTTTGATATACAACTCAAAACAAGATGCAAATTGTTCCCTTGGGACAATTTGTTATCGAAAGTACAGGTGCAAATGGTACTCTTATCTCCACATTCCTTCCACCCCTGAAAGGATCTATAGCTTCTTTGCACTTAATCATTATACAATACGCTTTATAATGATCCCTCCTTTCTCCCACCCCATTTCACCTATAAATAGTAAACCAAACAAACAATCCGAAGTAAAGAGAAGGAAGACAGATCGTTTGGTTTGTTCATGGCACATACACGTCCAAGACTCATGAAACGCAGACAAACAAAGAAAAGAGACATTCAAACTTTGAACTTCACTGCTACCTGACTCGCCACTTCGCCCATCCATACGAAAACTTGGAAAGCCATCCCCATTAGAGTACAGAGTTGCCCGTTCTCCTGGACGCGCTACGCTAACAGTCAAACCCCCCCTCTCCTGCAATGTGATGTGCCAGTGTCATGTGGTGTTAACAGGGACCGGCTTCCCACGCCCCATGGCAAATCCTCGGGTGCCATCGGGCATCCGGGGACCAGGCGGCGGTGGTTGCTTCACTGTATGCTCGCACGTGGCTGCTGCATTGCTCGAAGGAAGAGGCCCGCCGATGTGGTTTCCTCCTCGGCCGGGGTTGTGGTGATGGGAGTGGCCTCGGCCGCGTCCCTTTCCTCGTCCCCCTCTGCCACGTCCTTTTCTCTGTACTGCATCCTTGTCGTTGTTAAGATTGTCATCCCCCTGCACATTAAAGCCAATGGGGAGTGAGAGCTACGGTCTTTCTCTGTTTCGTTAAAGCAATTCGCTAGAGAAACAGAAAAAAGAAACTACTAGAAGAAGCAAACCCTATGGCATGTTTGCAATTGCAACAGAAGTTGAATGGTTAGACTTCACTAAACATCGCTGTCACGTGAACGCTTAGCTGGAATGTATCTATGAACAGTGATCTTCACCTTGATTAATTTCGTTCAAAACAATCATTTTGTTTGATTACGATTGTAGAAAGTGGGATTATGCAACTAATTTACTTAAAAGGAGGGACCCTAAGACTTGAAGAATGTTCATCAAAGTGAACATCATGCTTGTATATGAAATCTGTTTCAGTTGATTGCCGGCACTATAGTGGAATTATACGACAGATACAAAAAGGACGAAATCGTAGCACTTACAGGATGGCCATTAACTTGGACATCAGGCTGCTGTTTAGGAAGATCCTCAATCGGCTTTTCGTCTGACTGCTGCTCAGAGGTACAAGCCTCTTCTTCCTCCGACTGCCCTGGCCCATCAACATCCTTCTTCCCTCGCCCCCCAGCAGCAGGCTTTGACTAGAGTACAAAAAGAGAGCCATCAATTTCTAAGCAAATCCACTTCATGACTGTGATACATAAACAGAAATGGATGAGCCAGTATAATGTAAAGATGCTCTTCCCTTCACGATTTTGTTACAGCTTGAAAGGAAAGCATGGGTTGAGATATTTAAACCCAAGCCACAGCATAAACTTAGACAAATTTTCTCTTACACTATATCTACTAACAAACTATTGCTTAGAAATTTGAAAACACAAGAGGAATAAGCACCAGTTTACTTCCATCTTAGATCTTTGCTAGGGTTGTATGGATGAATAGTTCAAACAGTCCAGAAACGAAGTTTACCCGGAAACTATATATTTTCCACATATAAAAGAAGAGACACAAGAAGGTTTAAGTACTGGTGCATACTGAACGTTTTAGCATTAGGCGAACCCTAAGACCATTCCTCCAATTTGCTTCCTCGTTAAGCTCCATAACCTGCACAACATAATAATAAAGCAATTACATAACCTGCTCAGGAGACTTGAGTAACTAGACTAGAATGATAACAAACTACGGTCAAGAGCTACACTTACCGCTTTCTCAGCTATCTCCACAGAGTCATACTCCACAAATGCATGCAACTGCATATAATATGAAGATTTTTCGGTGTTAGATATTAAATAACAGTATGAATAACTTACTCCAGCTTCAAAGAAAGAGAATAATCATTCTGTTGGGGGTTCTATTCCCAGTTGTACTATTGTTGAGACGCTCAAGAAAAGTAGTATCTCAAGCAGAAGCACCAGGTCCAACTTAAATAATAAGGAGAAGCAGCTGCCCAGGCACCTTTTTCGTGAGCATCACCGATCAGTATTAGTTTCCAATAACAGTCACAAGTATGATTTTATTTCCAAGCATTCGAGATTTATATCGAAGCTGCTCAAACATAATACCATAAAATGAGGCACAAACAAGATCACGCATTAGGAAAAAGAGCCAGCAATTTGACAAGTGATTTGAATATGGCCCTACCTTGTTAGTGAAGTGCATGCCATCAGCTTTTGTAGATCGAGACACTGCCGCAGCCCCAGCACCAGAATTTTGAGGAGGGCAGGTGCGAATTGTTCTAACACTAGTAAAATTAACCATTGACAGAATTGAATCCTCAATACTGCAATTATAAAGATCCACAGACAGCCATCATATACATCATCAAACTAACAGCAATGTTTCTTGTACCTTCCAACAGATGAGAAGATTTTCATCAGATTTTGGTGGCAATGATCCTCAGGTAAATTTTCAGCAACAATAATGCGTGACTGGAAAAGCACAAGAATTAGGCTAGAGCAAGAACCACCACTTGTTGAAACTATAATAAGAATTTATTTGCACCAAAAAACAAAGCAAGACATATTAATGAACCTACTTGCAGTTCTTCCATATCAGGCTCAGTGAATGGTTGTTGACGTTTAACTCTTTTCCCATCCTCGCTGACAATCTACAGCATGTAGTACAAACAGTTCAATGGTATATTGCAAAGCTCATATGAGAACATTCTAATGATCCATCTAAAAGGTAATTGATCCACCAATTAAAAGAAAAGGCTTACAAGCTTCAAAGAGTTCCTCAAAATGTTGGCTAGTTGAGAATGACTATCTACTGCAGCTTTGACCTTCTTGAAAGAAGATACAACAGATAATGGCACTGCAAACGACAAAGTGGAAATCAGCATCAAATGAAACAAAATTACAGAAAAACAGACAATCTCCACAAAATGGAACCTATTGTATCATTGAAGCAAGAGTAGATAAAGTACTCAGCAAATACAATTTCTTGATGCAGAAGTTAAATAAGGGATCAATTGGTTCCCCTAAGGACCTGAAAATGATAAGCAGTTTGATTCACCATTTCGAGAATTAAAAGTTGAAAAATGCAAAACATTTAGGATTACTTTAAGAACTAAAAAATTATAAAATAAGAGATATTTTCAGGGGTGAGGGGGAAGGGATTGTGACTTTAACCAAACGTAAGTACACCAGAGACAAAGACCTGACTGAAGCATCTGTAACTTGTAACTATTATTAAAAAAAGTGGCAACAAATATAATCACTGTCCAGAAAGGCCTAGACAATAACCTGAAAGGAAGAAAGCAATGTCATCTTGACTATTCATAGAACATCGAAATTCTCCAGTAGTATATATGAGTTAAGGAAGAGTGGGAGAGCTCAAAATTTCAGCAAGGAATCTATGAAGATTCTATTGTCTTACAATTTGAAATGTATAAAATTATTCCACTTATCATTCCATGACTAAGAGTAATCAGAAGCTTTCAATCGACAACAAATTGCAAACCTCTAAAGCACGAAATTACCCATAATTACCTACAGAAAATTCAAAAGACATTCTCCAATGAAAACCCCCACATGGCTGTAGAACATCCAGAACAGAAAAGAGAGGTGACGCTAAGTGATGGTAGAATAGTTTAGAGCAATAAATACTATTTACATACAGTAGGATTAGAGACCGCGCGTAACAAAATCAGCTGTATAGACAGGTCAACAAAATTTACCATATCCATCAGGATCCTTGCTAATGAACCTCATCAGATGATCTGTAGTGGCCAAGTTTAAGTCACTGAAGTAGTATTCTACCTGCAGATAGAGATTTCAGTAAGGGTTAAACAACAGGAAATCTAAAATGCTTACCTCCATTAGCCATCAGAATAACCTAAGTGCTAAAGAGAAGCAATATTTCCGCCTTCGATGCAACTTCTCTAATCAAAACCTCTGAGTCACTAACTGATACACTCATTTCACAGTAACTACACTAGGCCCGATCAAATTCTGTCCCAGAAGCAGAATCATGGTGCTCCCCAATGTACTGAAACCATAGAAATGAACCGTTCTGGATACTGAAACCTGACTTCGATTCAGGTTAATAATATAATGGAAACTGGATATCGGATTCAAATCGATAACACCTAGAAATGACTCAATTCAGAGACTCGCCTGATTCAAAAGCTTCTGCATAGCTTCGTCAGAGAGCCCATTTTTATCGGTCTTCTGGTTCTTGGATCGTCCGTAATCCGCCGGACCAACCTCGTTCTGCTCGCCTTCCTCTGATTGTTGCTGCAACTTCTTAGCGTAATGATGATTCTGATGGTGCTCCTGATTTCCGTGGCCCTGTACAGGCACATAGTGAGCGTTCTGGCCGAACTGATGGTGATGGTGCTGATGATGATTGTTGTGATTGCGCACCGCAACGTACTGCGGCGGCGGCGGCTGTTGATGGTGGCGCGGGTGATGGTGCTGATTGTGAAGCGGATGATGATTCTGGACCGGAATCACGTGAGCAACCGGCACCGGACTGTGAATCGGGACGTGGTAAGGTGGAGCCGGACCAGCCGTAGGCAGTGGTGGGGACGGTGCAGGCGAGTACATATGCATCATAGCCGCACCAGGAGGCGGCGGCATCACAGCCAGCCTCGACGGAAGCGGAGGAGATGGAGTAGCAGGAGGAGGCGGTTGCTTACTAGGAACGAACTCGGGAGCTCGCGCATTGAGTTTACTGAACGATGCATTCCGCGAGAGCGAGGGATCGGAAGCGACCGCGGTTGGCGAATCGGTCGGTGAAGTTGCCGATGGATGTGGAGTTTCTAGGGTTTCCGGCACCGATTCAACTACAGCTTCTTCCGCCATAATTTACCGATACTATAAACTATCTTTTCCTTCTCTTTCTTTCCTTTTTCCGGGATCGAAAATTTCGGATTTGGCGCTTCGAGTTTTGCGGCGAGGGGATCTAGGATTTGAACGGGGGAAGGAGGATTCAACGGGAGAGGAAGTCGCCGGCGCCGGAAGAAGTGGGGGTGACCGCAGTCCAGCGGGACTGTGTAATAAAAGACAGTGGAGAGGATTTCTCGAATTTGGGGGAATGATGATTGCCGTGTATTTATAGTTGGTTGCTGGTTTTGCAACTCTGCCTCTCTGATCATCAAAGATGTCGATTGGATGGACGGATGATAATGGATCTTGTGGGCCCGGAGTTGAGTGGGCCTGACTTAGTTTTCTGGTTTTTATTCAGGCCCTCCGATGATGGATCCAACGCTTCCTTTTATTCCTGCATATGGCATGGGATCCGTACAAAATTTCATATTTTACTTGAGGTGGGCAAGTAGTGATTGGCAAAAGAAAAATATATTATTTTGAGAAACGAGAAAGTAAAAAATAAATGGTTTGGTTAAGGACTTGGGTGTTGTTGTTAGGTATGCATAATGATTTACTCTTATATTAAGATTGATATTTATACTTTTTTCGAAAATGATAGGATATTTTGTGATAGGATTGTGTTGTAAGTCTAAATCATTTACACGGAGGAGATGGGTGTTAATAAGAGTTTCGGGTTTGTTGCTTTTAATGAATTTTTCATTATAATAAAAAAATGTTGAAAAAGGGAGAGTAAAGAACTATGAGGATCAAACTCGTTGATTAGTGATTGACTTTGGATCGTATCGAGGACATGACTAAACTATAAGATTTGATTGATAACAATATTCCAATCAAATTGAAGCTGAATTATAAGTTTGACTATTTCACCCTAAATAATAAAGATTTATCAACCGATAAACAATTTCATCATCTCGAATACTATCAATAATGACGAATCTACATTTTATATCAATGTAGGTAGTAGTCCATTTTTAGCCAAAGAATAGTTCCCCTTTATAGTCTGGAGTCTGGACAGGTTAGTAACGAGACTTGTGAGTTGTAACTGATACATAGAGATGACAAACAATTGTATACAAATAATTCCTCAGACTCAATCTGTGTATTCTCCTGATGCGGTAAAACAAACAACCTTTTGTGCCATCAACAATTAGAGACCAACTGGAAACTTTTACCATGAACAAAGGGAACCCATCTTTTAATCTATCACAACGACGATGACGGCCTTGCAGGTCTCTTCCATCTTCCAAGCTTTTCTCTTCCCTGTTTAACATCAAAACCATACCAGTTCAGTTACCATGACTCATGAGAAACATGATTTGCAACAAATCCTACCATTGCTCAAGTTCACTAAAGTAAAGCTTCGATCTGCTAAACTCCGGAAGGATTATTTCGGATAACATTTCGTAATCATTGAAATACACTCAACAGACTATTCGATGGTAAGAGTGTGGTTGTTTTCTTTCTTGTTGAAAGGTTGAGTATATGGCAAGTATAACGATTTGTGCAATCCATAAGCTGCAACACGCATGAGGATGCAAAACCATGGGGCTAGGTTGCCTTCTCTACTGATGAGAGTTGGATAGAGAAAGAGAAGGGAGATGCATATATATGTATTGGTAGCTTATACGGGAGGTCGAACAATGATTCGATGCTTGGAAAACCAATGTTACCTTTCGGGGTCCAACAGCCATTTCATTATCAACAATCGAGACTGCCTTAAAGCCCATAGGATGCAACACCTCTTCATAACTACATGTACACAGTACAGGAGTGAACTTTCATACAGAGTGTAATCTAGAAAATTGAAAGTGAATGAAAGAATGAGGCTTACTCGGAAACTGAAACTTTATATGGAGGCCCCCCTACGTGATCATCTATCTGCCAATATTGATTCAAACTTTAGCAAGACAGTAAAAGAACCCCCCCCCCCCCCCCCCCCCCCCCCCCCCCTTTTTTGTCAACTTTCAAAATTGGCTCAAAACTATCAAAATATTGTTTTCCATGTTCAGTCACAAAGAGAGCTTGATGGAGACAATCAAGAGTAACGCATACAGATATGAAGCAGCAAGTCGTATTTCTTAAAACTACTTACAGGGAAAATGAGAGTTAGTAGCTCCCCATCTGGTTTGAGCAGCTCACTGGTTTTTTGGGCCCATTCTGGTCTCATCTCTGGTTCAATTGCACAAAAGAACCTACAAGTGTTCAATATGAATTGTTAGGAAAGCACTCATGCAAAGCCATAAGCTGCTGGTCAATATAATATCAGCATCCAATTAAACCCTGCTGATAGAAAACAAGCTGCTTTTAGATTGGCTTACGTGTAGTCGAATATGAGATCAAACTTCTCAGATGGATTCCAGTTGAAGAAGTCAGCTTTAAGGAATTTGAAGTAGTTCGCATTGGGCATAGCTGAAAATAACTGTCTTGAACCATGTAAAAGGAAAATGAGAAAAGATAGGAAATAGCAATACAGACACTATCATCCAGAAGAGATAGCTGTCAGCTGTGAGATAGTAACCTAAAAGTCCTGGATGAAATAAAAAGGGCCTTACATGAATGAAACATTTCACAAAGGTCCTTAGGTAGCTAAAAGAATGGATGCTATATTCTCATACCTCATTTGCTTTCTCGATTGCCTTGTCGGAGATTTCAAGTCCAACCACATAACGTTCACTACATGCCATAGCCACCACATCATAACCCTGCCAATTGGAAAGTTGACTAGTTTCTTATACTATAGTTCATCAAGAAACTGCAACCATGAACATCAACATCACTTCCTCTTAATGATAGGAAGCAAGCAAAAGAATTAGTAAAGGAGTTCTGCAAGACAAAGAAATCCATTTTGAATGTTTCGTAGTTCAGAATGAGTGTACCTATGAATCCCTCCCCTTCCAGTAACATACAATAAAGGTTTAAGATATCAATTGACTCTTCTTGAGTGTTACTAATTGATGCCATTTTCGGTTTATTAAGTTCTGGGATCCTGCTTCACCTATGATTCATCCAACAGGTGCAACTGAATGATAATCACCCAAAAAAAAATCACAAATTTAAAAAGCAGGTCCTAATACGAAAAACATTTAAAATAATCCCTTGAACTTCTGCCAATACTCAACATATGTTACTTATAGATGCCCGGAAGGAAACAGGAGTAGAAAGGCAAGAGATGACCAACTGTTTCAAACCAAAGAGCACCCAGCAGCATTTTTTCAGATGTTGGTATACTCTGAGAATGCATTTCACAAATATCAAATCATCTATCAGAAGCAGAAACCTACAGTGCCACATCCGGGAACCAGAGCTCTGCCCTTAGGGAGGACCCCAGCCTGATGAAGATGCGTGATCACTGGAGTCACTCGTCCCAAGTCCCATGGAGTCAGACCTAGCTCCCAGCACTTCTCCCAACCACCTAGGAAATCAATCACGGAAATGTATCATAGTGCTTTCTCCAAACGATGACTGAACATACTGAGTATCACATCTTACTGCCAGCCCACCACATAACATCTCAAAAACATATTGATACACAAAGTATGCAAGCACGCTTTACAATACACGAAGCCAACTCTGGGTGTTACTTAGAGGGATCTCATAGAATGCTGGGTGTGATTGATGCGTGCCACCCAACTGCAGTAACGTTGGGTATCCAGGAGAAAGAAGACTAAACTGCCCAATTTGCAAGGCCGAAGGGAAATAACAGTTTACAAATGGGAAACTTCAAGCTGCTTGATTACTAGGAAAAGCAGATTCTCGATCAAAATCCCAGTTTCCAATTTGCTTTATCACCTAGGAACACGACAATGGCCACCACAATTCATCGGGATTCCCTCGAGAAAAAACAGAATTTCGGAGTGATTTACCAGAAGAGTCGGAGCTGAGGAGTCGCTGCATGGAATTGACATCCGCCTTGAACCTGGCGGCGCCGCTGCTTTTTTTTATGCTTCTGTCTCCAGCTTCGTCTTCGAAATTCTTCTTCTCCATTCGAAGACCGGCGGTGTGAATCCGAGCACCTGAAGCTTGGCGAACGGACGGCCGCTCGCTACTCGATGGTGCGATGGAGTTGGATAACCAGAGAGGCCTGGCGGGAGGTATGGCGCGAGAAAATCGAAACGTCCGCAGCATTTACGCCCAACTTACAGGCGTTTCTGGTTCTGGCTTTCTGTCTGGAAACATTTCAGATGGCTCGGCCGGGCCGTTTCAATTTTTTTTTATGTTTTAGTCCCTATAGTATATTGTTTAACAAATATGTCCCTATATATTATGATCATTGACAAGCATGTCTCGTACTATTTTATTTAACCATTTTTACCCCCTGTATTAAACATTTGATCAAAAAAATATTATGATTTTTGCCAAAAATAAACTTGAGATCAATCTATAGTACGTTCTTTTATGAATCAGAATAATCTTCCATTTTGCTTTTCACTTCGACTTCCAAGTTCTACTATCCTCTTCCCCTTCCTATGGTGCGTGCATATATCATTAAGATTGGATGTATAATCCTTTTATGCTTTAGTGAGATGAGATGTAATTGATTTCCGTGATTATTAAGTTGATGTGTTGCAATCAGTATCTTATTGGTATCAAAGGAATTGATGCATTACAAATTACATTGTTTGACTTTATCTACGTTTATGTTAGTTGATCCTAACTCGATTAGAGTCACTAGTTACTCGAATTTATAAAGGTAGGTACATGAACCAAAAAATGGGAGATTATCTTTTCAAAATTTTCCTTTTATGTCATAATTTAGTAATTTACATGTATTATTTATCCACATATGCAATTGCAAGTGAACTGCATTGATGTAGGTGTTATGATACTGACATGAGTTTGTTGTTTCAAAGAATTGGTAAACTGACCCACCTTATTCCACGCATCTCATCAACAATAAGTTCTAAGCTTCAGCCTACAAATCAGGCTTCCACTAACACACCCTTAACCCCACGACCCTTTAATTAAGCTAACTGACTTGACAGCTAAGCTACTGACTTGCTGCCTTTGACCTCAAACCACGCAGGGACTTTACTGACTCAATTTTACAAACTCAAAGACTCAATTGCAATAAACCAAAAACGACACAGTCTCAACTTAGACCAAGACTTCAAACATTCAAACCCCTTCTGTTCTTCCCGCCTTCTGCTGCTGCTCTTGCTGTCTTTTGCTGATGTGATCAACCATGATTCCACCAACAAATCCTCCCCTGAACTGGAGCTCACCAACAAAGCTTCAGTTCACCTCTTCAAGCCTTCATTTTCCACTCCTGAACTCCATCATATCCACCACTCCCAGTCCACTTCGCAGCAGCTGAAAAGCTTCCAACTTTAATGCCTTTGTCATCACATCAGCAATCTGTTCATGTGTCCTGTAGTGCTTCAGCTCCACAATTCCTTCACTTGCCAGCTCCCTCAAATAATGAAACCTTACATCAATGTGTTTGCTACGTCCATGAAGAACTGGGTTCTTTGACAACTTGATTGCAGAGCTGCTGTCACACCAAATTGTTGTTGCAGCCTCCATGCTTTTAAGCCATCCCATCTGCTCAAGAATCTTTCTTAACCACACACACTGTGAAGCACAGAATGATGCAGCTACATACTCAGCCTCTGTGGTCGACAAAGTCACCACTGGTTGCTTCTTGGAAGCCCATGAGATTGCTGCTCCAGCAAGGAAAAAAACATACCCACTAGTACTCTTCCTGTCATCACAGTCTCCTGCATAATCACTGTCTGTGTAACCAATTAAGCAGTTATTCTCTTGCTCTTTTCTGTACCAAATCCCATGTTGCATGGTGCCTTTCAAATACCTCAGAATCCTCTTAGCTGCCAGCATATGTTGTTTGGTTGGTGCTTCCATATACCTGCTTAACAAACACACAGAATGCATAACATCTGGTCTTGTGGCTGTGACATATAGAAGGCTGCCAATGAGTTGCTTATACTCAGTTGGATTAACTGGAATCCCATCACCATCTTTAGTTAACTTAACTCCAGCCACCATTGGATTGTGCACATGATTGCACTCACTCAAGTTAAATCTATCCAGAATTTCTCTTATGTACTTCTGCTGACATATGAAAATACCATTGTCAGTTTGATTGACTTCAACCCCCAGAAAGTATCTCATATTCCCTAGATCTGTCATCTGTCATAGCAAACTCCTCCTTCATTGACTGCTTGAATTCCTCAATCATCACAGCACTGCTGCCAGTAAACATTAAGTCATCTACATACACACTTACCACCAAGAAATCAGATCCAGACCTTTTGACAAACAAGGTATGCTCATGTGTACTTCTCTCAAACCCAGCCTTCAAGAAATATGCTTCAATTCTGCTATACCATGCTCGTGGAGCCTGCTTCAACCCATAGAGAGCCTTCTTCAGTTTATAAACCTTATTTTCCTCCCCAGCAACCACAAATCCTTGTGGTTGCTCAACATAGACATCTTCAGAAAGCTCACCATAGAGGAAAGCACTCTTCACATCAAGATGGAAAACTGGAAACCCATGGTGAGCAGCTAAGGCCAGAATTGTTCTAATTGTATCCCACCTTGCCACAGGGGCAAAAACCTCTGTGTAGTCGATGCCATGTTGCTGAGCATAACCCTTGACTACTAGCCTGGCCTTGTGCTTGTCAATTTTTCCATCCTCTTGTAACTTTGTCCTGTAAACCCACTTCAGTCCAAGTGGAATAACATATGGTGGGCAGTCAGTAAGTATCCATGTGTCATAATCTCTAATAGACATCATCTCTTGCCTCATAGCCTCATTCCACTTCTCATCAACTGCAGCTTCTTCAAATGTCAAAGGATCATCAGAAAGAGCAATCATAGCCCACCAGTCTGTGTTGGCCCAGTTGCAATCATAGATATTCAGGTATCCTGGTGGCTTTCTTACTCGATGTCCAAGCCCCAAGTTCCCTGGTGATGGCAAACCAAGGCTATCAGTAGACAGATCAGTACCTTCTTCTTCTTCCTCTTCTTCCTGATTACTTGAAGGAGTGATCATAGGAGTAGCTTGACTAGTTGACTCATCATTAGGTAACTGAACTTCTTCTTCAGTATCAGAATCTAACCAGTTCCCATCCTCTCCTTCTATAACCAGTTTTGTCACATATTTTTGAGGCTCAGTCTCCCATATCCAACCCTTATCTTCATCAAAGACTACATCTCGACTAATCACTACCTTCTTTGTTGTAGGATTATAGAGCTTGTAGGCCTTAGATTCATAAGACAACCCCAGAAAGTTGCATTTCAAGCTTTTTGCATCCAGTTTCTTTCTGTTCTTATCATGGATGTGAGCATAGGCTACACAACCAAAGATCCTAAGATGCTCAACTGAAGGAGACTTACCAGACCAGACTTCATGTGGAGTCTTTTCCTCATTGGCTGCTATTGGACTCCTGTTCAACACATAGGTGGTCCAGGCCACTGCTTCAGGCCAAAACTCAGCAGGAACTTTTGTATCAGCTAAGGAGCATCGAACCATATTCATTATGGTTCTGTTCTTCCTTTCTGCAACCCCATTTTGTTGGGGAGTAAGAGCAGCTGTAAGCTGCCTCCTTATGCCAGCTTCATCACACACATTTTTGAACTCTTGTAACAAGAATTCTCCACCTCGATCTGTTCTCAAACATTTGATAGTGCTGCCTGTTTCATTCTCTACCATGGCTTTGTATTTCTTAAATGCTTCTAGTGTTTCAGACTTAGCAGACAGAAAATAAACCCACAGTTTTCTGCTGAGATCATCAGTGATGGTAAGGATATACCTTTTTCCTCCATTGGACTCAGGAGTGATAGGTCCACATAAGTCAGCATGAATGAGTTGCAACTTCTGATTTGCTCTCCAGCTGCTCTTCTTTGGAAAACTGTGTCTGTGTTGTTTTCCAATTTGACAGATTTCACAGACTCCCAGATCTCCATTCAACTGAGGGATGCCTTGAACCAGACCGTTTCTTTGAAGTTCCAGCAGGCTTCTCTGATTCAAGTGACCATACCTTCTATGCCAGAGCTGCAAAGATGTTTGTAAGCACATTATCTCTTCAGCCTGTGTTCTATTTTCCTGTTCTGCACTTAGCACAAACATCCGGTTGGATTTCATGCTTGTCTGCATCAGAAAACCCTTTACTTCATGAAATATTTTGCAGACATCTTTCTTGATCAGAAACTCCAAACCTTTTTCCTGTAATTGACCAATACTTAGCAAGTTGGTCTACAGATCAGGCACATAGAACACATCACTTATGACCATAGGAAATCCATCAACCAACAGTTTTACTGAACCCTTGCCAGCCACCTTCAACTTGTTGTCATTACCCAACTTCACATGGCATTCAAAACCAGCATCCATAGTAATAAACCACTATCGTTCTCCACTCATATGGTTGCTACAACCTGAGTCAAGAAACCACCAGCTTGGATTCTTCTCAGATTTCTGAGTTTCCAGGAAAGCCATCAAACCAGCATGTCCTCCTTCTTCAATTTGAGCCATTAACAGGAGATCATCTCTCACATCATCTTGTGATTTGTTGGATGAGTCAAAACTGGAATAATTGGCTTGCTGACTGAACCAATCAGGACACTCATTCCTGAAATGGCCCAGCTTATGACAGTGAAAACACTGCACAGCATCTCTGTTCCAGCCTCGAGCCCTTCCTCTTCCTCTTCCTTGACCAAAAAATCGACCACCACCTCTAGTTCCTCCCCTTCCTCCAAAAACATGTGTAGCTTTGAGGGCTTGATCCTCTTCTACAGTCTGCCTTGTGAACTTTTGCTCATGCACAAGCAAAGAGCTTTGTAAAGCTTCAACAGAAAGAGTATCTATGTCCTTGGACTCTTCAATGGCACAAACTATGTAGTTGAATCTTTCGGTCAAGGTTCTCAAAATTTTCTCAACAATTTTGACATCTGGCATTGCTTCCCCACAGTTTCTCATGTCATTTGCAACAACCATAACCCTTCCAAAGTAAGCAGATACAGTCTCACATTCTTTCATGGCCAGAATCTCAAAGTTTCTTCTCAAAGCTTGAAGCTGTGCTTTCTGCACCCTCTCACTCCCCTGATACCTGACTTTCATAGAGTCCCAAAGCTGCTTAGCTGTGGCCTTTTAAGTGATTTGCTTCAGAATTGATTTGTCAATAGAACTGAACTAGTAATTTTTGGCTTTGAGATCCCTCAAACGATTATCATCTAGATCCTTCTTCTGAACTGCTGACAACTCTTCTCCTGCAGCTGGTTCCTTGAAACCATCACTTACAACAGACCAGTATTCCTTGGACCTCAGTAGGTTTTCCATTAGCAGACTCCAATGGTCATAATCTCCATCGAATTTTGGAAGACAGACCTGTGCAAAGCTGCTGCTTTCACTCATGTTTTCACTCACAAAAACCTTGAAACAGTCTCTCTCTCGTATCTCTCGTGTTTCCCTGTCCCAGAATCAGTATCAATTTCACTCAAATCACTCTTGATCTCGCAGTTGTGGTTACAGTTTACTCTCTGCTCTGATACCACAATGTTGTTTCAAAGAATTGGTAAACTGACCCACCTTATTCCACGCATCTCATCAACAATAAGTACTAAGCTTCAGCCTACAAATCAGGCTTCCACTAACACACCCTTAACCCCACGACCCTTTAATTAAGCTAACTGACTTGACAGCTAAGCTACTGACTTGCTGCCTTTGACCTCAAACCACGCAGGGACTTTACTGACTCAATTTTACAAACTCAAAGACTCAATTGCAATAAACCAAAAACGACACAGTCTCAACTTAGACCAAGACTTCAAACATTCAAACCCCTTCTGTTCTTCCCGCCTTCTGCTGCTGCTCTTGCTGTCTTTTGCTGATGTGATCAACCATGATTCCACCAAGGCACCAACAGAGTTGTATTGCAAAAAAATGTTTAGGTGGCAATAAAAAAACAACACATGCATTTGATTTTGCAGTTGCAATATTGCGGATGTTGTTAGATCAACATGATATCTCTACAAGTAGATGGTGCTCTTGTTATGTTTAAGGGATAGGAGTATTTGTGTTTTCTACACGAGGTAGTATATAACAATTAAATGGAAGAGAAGGAATAATGAGAAATTTGAGAATTACAACTTAAGTTTGTAGTTGCTATTAATATGTTGAACACTATTAAAGGATCCATAGTTACGGGATATATCACTCTTTAATTATTTTATATTTATCTGACTAATTCACAAATTGAGTTGACAATTAACATAAAATTATCAGCACATAACCCATTCATTCAATCAACCAATACCCCTTCCATTAACCCATATAGCAATTGGCTCACAACTAGTTCCATTCGAATCCCATTAATACATAATCTACATTATACACGACATGTTGACTAATAATACAATTCCTCGTATCCTTGTCAACTTGTCTATTTGACACCTTTAGACACCAAAAGTTGTGAATATTATATCCAAACCGATTAACCATCGACAAAAACCAACCCACACCCAACGCTAATTCACCAACAAATTAATGAATGATATTAAACTTACCAACCCTCGACCACCCTTTATCCAAATTACCTCACAGACACAGTCAATCAAATTGTGACCAATTGAATATTTCTCCTTCACCCATTCAACTCGTGACAAATCAACCCCGTTGGAACCTAACCCAACCGGTAAATCGACTCGTCCTTCTCCTTATTTTGAACGGGTTAAAGAATGGGAATATTTTGGCCAGGCCAGGCCAGCCAGGCACTGAGCTCCATGTGGCCCCCTCCTCTGTCTCCACGTGCCACCCATTTCCTCATTGCCATCGTTAATATTCTTCCTTTCTAGATCACTCTCCTCAAATAATTCCGCGGCATAATTCTCCCAAATCCCTAACCTTCTTTAGGGTTTCGGATTTCCGTTCTAGCAAGAATCTTCCCTCGCATCCTCTGCGTCGATTGTTTACCGTTAAATCATCGCCATCATCGTGGACTGTATATACTATTCCAAAGGTGCGTGTGGCTTTTGATCCTTCTGCATCGTGTTTGTTGTTGATCATTCGAATTGCTTGAATTCACGAGGTTATTATTCCATTTCAGGAAGGATCTTGCCATTTCTGCCTAATAGTGAATTGGGAATCGACAATTTGGTCTTGGGCCGACAAGTGATCCATAATTGGGGCGGTTTCCTTCACGTGAATGGCGGTTTATTGCTATTGATCTCGGTATAAGGAGCTTCTCTCTCTTCATACTTAGTCATGGATTCGGTGGATAAATCTGCTGATGCTCTTGATTTCGTGGGGGGTGGTGAATTGGCTGCCAATGCAGCCAGTGCTTCTCGTCGAAGTATGGAGAATGTAGGAGTTGGGAATGGAAAGCTCGAGGCTAATGGGTCGTTTTCGAATGTGGTTAATGGGTCTGAAACTAGTAGTAACGTTGATGACATTGCTTTTCGGAATGGTGGAGTTGCTGAGGAAGGTTTTGGGAGCAAGCAAGTGGGGAGTTCATCGAATTCATCACCTAGATTGTCGGTGTCCCCTGCTGCAGGGACGTCTCCTACGATGAAAGGCTATGGTCTGAAGAAATGGAGGCGAATTAGGAGAGATATGATTAAGGATGGTAGTGGTGGTATGGATAGTGGCAAAGCCATGAAGAGGGGTTTGTCTGGCTCTGGTAATCCGGTCAGACCGGTTAATCTCGCTTCACCAATGGGGGATAAGCTATCTAATGAGGGTTTTATTGGCTCTGTTCATGGGAATGGTGTTCCTGGGTCTAGTTTGGACTCTAGGTTCGCTGTTGGCTCTGCTTTTGCTGCTGGTGCAGACTCCGAGAATAGTATGAGCGAGGATCGTAGTAGTAAGTCGTCAACAGCAGCCAGTGCTCCAAGAGCAAGGAATGACCTTGCTGGTGGATCAGGCTACGGGTGGGAGAAAAATAGAACCAAACCTTTGAATGCTAAGGTTGCTGTAATCTCAGCTCAACGTGGTCAACTAGGGAAGGGGCATGTGGAGAGTAGTAAGAAAGCTAGAGGAGAGAGGGCCATGATTGAGAAAGAAAACTCTCAGTCCAGCATGGAATCTGATTCACGAAGCTCCAACTTTGTTTTTACTCAGGGTCTTTACTCGGTCACCAGCAATGGTAAGCAGAGTGAAACATCATTGAATGATGATGGCGAGAATAGCTATGATGCACATGCAGGTGAGCATCAAGGTAGTGTGGAATTTCACACTGGCTATGATCATGAGACTGTTGAAGAAGTTGGATACCATTCTCAAGATGGTTCAGCAGTCGATGCATCATCGCAAAATAAGGATGAGAAAATTGAGAATAACCACCCTTTGAAAGCCAAGGATCCTTTAGTTGAATCCATGTTTATGCTGCAGTCTGTGCAGGAAGCCCTTGAAAGTGGTGAGTATTCCTTCTGCCAAACTGAAGAGCTTTTTGTACCTACTCTTTGACTACTAGCTATAATAGATGTATCTGTGTCTCCTTGCACATGCACGCTGCACAGACATGTATATGTCTTGCTATGTGTCTATGTCTAAATACTAAAATATCCTTAGATCTGAGTTGTCCTTAGTTGGTTTGGTTGATGATCACTTTAATCCATCTTTCTGCCGAGAAATCCTTGTTTTGTCATGTAGGATAGGACATCGTTTAGTTTTTGTATGTGTGTGTCACTGTAGGACGAGTTTGTTTTTTGATCTGGGGCTTCACCTATTCCGGAACAACTACGCAGAAAGTTCCCATGTGGAGTCTAAAGCTCTAATAAGCTGAAAATTGCAGTTTTATAGAGGATTGAGATGCTGCATTTCCTTGCAACTATTATTTTGTGGTGCCTTATGAAATAGTTCATCAATAGTACTAGATTTGAGATCATTTTAATTTCAAGTACAATAACTTCAGAATTATTGCTTAAGTTGTTTTTCATCACAAGGATTTTTTACTCTCACTTGTGTTTAAGAATATATAATGTTGAAGTCCTTAGTTGATACAGTATTGTTTCTGGTGTTAGTTCAGTACTTTGGATTTTATAAGCTTAATTGTCTGTCATAAATTTTAGCTCTAAAGGTTCATGGGAAGATTAAAAAAAAAAAAGACCAGAACAAGTATCATCTGAATAACCTTATGGTTATTTACATGGGTAGGATGCATCAGTTAATTGTTGCGTCTGGAGCAAGTTGCAGCGTCCATATTGGGGTATGGAATATGGATAGTCTTGACGTTGGTAATTGGTAATATTCTAAGTAAACCTGAATGTCCATGATGAGAAATCTCAGAATATTGCTTCCCTTCCAGTTACCATGCGCTCGTAGTAGCATCCAAGCGACATTTAATTTGGCCTCACTTGTTATCCTACATTAATATATATGCCTTTTAGAATACGAGGTCAAAAGCATACATCGTTGGTTATATTTATGAGGACTTCTTATGATGGTCTTGCAGAGATCCAAAAACTGGGGGAGATTGGAAAGATCAGCAGCAACCCCACAGATCCTCCTCAGACAGATCCAGAAGTTTCCTCAAGCCCGTTCGCTCGGTTTGAAGCAGCAACCGTTGCAATGTTATCCGAAAATGTAAAACATCTAGAAAGCAGGCTGAAGGAGGCATTGGCAATGCTGTGTGCAAAGGAGGCCAGGGTCGCTGAACTAGAAGACACCTTGCAGCGCCGCAGGTCAAACAGTCAACCAACAAGTACGGACGAGATGGAGCTCGAGGCTATATTCAAGCAGAAGCTGGAGGCTGAGGTTCAATGTTTGGCATTAACAAAGACACTACAGCATTCTACACCTGGAGAAATGGAAGCCCTAATTGGGGAGCAAGAGCAAATGGTGCAGAAATTCAAACAAGTTGAGAGTAACGCTGAGGCGGTGAAGAGAGGCGTGGAGGTTTTGGCTGCGGAGAAGGAGGGGAAGGAGATTCGTCAAGGGTTGCGCAAGGCTGCTTCTTGCCTCTTCATCCAGTTGCTGCTGCTGATCTTGGTGGTTTGGTTCGTTGTTTCGCAGCTGTCTCCTCATTCTGGGGCTTTTGTACCCACATGAAGTGGTGCCTTCAAGAACACTAGGGGTGGCCAGGATCAGGTCGGATTTGGTATAGGTCCGGGGTTATAAATAGAGGGAAAACAAGGACCAGAACCAGTTGCAAAGCACGTTAGATCTGATTCCGTACGGCCTGTTCTTTCCTTCATTGTTAGAGAGAATTTGTGGAATCAACACAGGGATTGACATCAGATCGGATTATACTTCAAGCCGATTTGTTCAATTCAGTCCGGCGTTCAACTCTCTAAAAATAGGCCTGGTTTTCTTCTTTTCCTCTCTTCTATGTGTAATTCCCAGCAGCAGCAGCATTTCCTTTGTTAGTAGGCAGGATGGATGTGAATGGTTATAGTTTCAGTGTCTACTTATTTTGTTATATTTTCCTGATGGGGATGGGGGAAGAGCTTGGGGCAGAGGGTCTTTGTGATGGGAGTTTTGTAACAAAGAAGCTACTACTGGAGATTATTCTCTGTGTGGCAACTGTTGTATCTTCTTTACAGGAGAGTAAAGAGTTAAATGCCCTTATCCTGTTTAGTCAGCTGTTCTTTGTATAACAAGATCTCATTTACTTAATGTGATCATGAGATTAAGATCCTATAATGCCTATTGCCTATCAATTATACCGAAAGCGAAAGTTAAATCAACTACGGCGGGAGTCTGCCTGGATTTCTAGCCACGAATTGGCCCGTTGCTTAAATGGGCCGATCGGGTGGTGCGTAGTGGCCCGTTGGGCTCATCTTTTTGTCGAGTGTCGGCAAATAAAAAAACCAATTATTTATTTAATTATTTTCCAGCACATTCCGATTAGTACCAATTATTGTATTATATATTACTTTATCACACTGTCTCCCGCGTGGCCTTCTCTCGCTCCTCGAAAATTTTCAGCCATTTGCATTTACACACCACTGCAAATCATCTTCTGCAGTCTTGGATCGAATTCTGTCTCTCAGTAACTCGCCGATTCGAATCAACGATTCCAGGTAAGGCCTACTGCAATCTACACCTCAAGTTTCTTCCGCCGTGTTTCCTTCTGAAGTCGATCTCCTATTCATAACTGGATTGTGATCAGATCCAACTTCTGAGCTAATTACAGCACTGTAATATACTTTCATCTCCTTTAGATTTGTCAAGTGTGGATCGCCATGCCCTTTTTTATGCGTTCATGAGACTGTAGAATATTACGATATGCAGGGCCGGCCAAGAGGGTGTGCCGGCCCGCCCTCCGGCACAGGGCCTCCGAATATTAGGGGCCTCCACTTAGATTCGTTAGTTACCGATCGAATATTGCAGGTTGTTTTTTAGTGTATGATTGATAGATTATGAACATGATGAATAAATAATTTTAGCTATAATAACAATTGAAAAAGATCTCATGGAGAATACGAAAATCAGAGAAATAATAGATAATTTTAATTTAAACAATAAAGAAAGATATTACATTTTGAATAATGGTATTATAATCATTTTAGTTTTATTATAGTTAAAAGTCAATTTGGATCATATCTCAATTTTAGAATAGGGCCTACACGATCCATTAGATATACCTGCACCCACCTCTCGATCAATTTATATTATTTTCATTTCTCCATTCAATTTTTGCTTTATATCTATTTTCTGTTCCCTCCAGATTTACTTTTCTCCCTCCCTGCTAGGAGTGAGAATTTGATCTTGGTTTCTTGCTCAAACAGGAAGTGAGATTGTTTATTCATTTTGAAATCATTTTCTGAACTTCTGTACTTTATAATTATTTAATAAATTTATTGAGAAAAAATTAGGGGCCACATGTTAAATTTTCGAACAGGGCCTTCAATTATCATGGGACGGCTCTGACGATATGTGTTTCAGGCGTCTGATCGTTTGAGGTGTAACACATAATTAGCTTATCGGAGTGATGCTGCTTCTTCTTCTGATTTATTGCTACGATGAGGAATGAGGAATCCGGTTAGGGTTTTTTTAGATAGATGGTTTATGTTAAGTGTTTGCGGCTGATTTGGTGATTTATGGAAGGATTATGTTTGCTGCTTGCTTTAGGAAGGTATGTCGTCTTCTGATCAGCCGGAGAAGGTTGATAGAGGGAACAAGGAGGAGAAAGATGACAAGGAAGAAGGTGGTGGATTCTTGGGCAAGGTGAAGGGTTTCATACAGGATATCGGGGAGAAGATCGACGATGCAATTGGGTTCGGGAAGCCAACTGCTGATGTGACTGAGATACACTTCCCCTGCATCAACCTCGACAAGGCGGATATAGTCGTCGATGTGCTTATCAAGAACCCTAACCCTGTCCCGATCCCGCTGATCGATATCAACTACTTGATTGAGAGCGATGGGAGGAAGTTGTTATCTGGGCTGATCCCCGATGCTGGTACCATTCATGCTCATGGCGAGGAGACTGTAAAAATACCGCTCACTTTGATCTATGATGACATCAAGAGCACGTATAATGATATCGAGCCTGGAAGCATTATCCCGTACAGAATCAAGGCTGACCTGATTGTCGATGTGCCTGTGTTGGGCAGGCTGACTCTGCCACTGGAGAAAACGGGAGAGATCCCAGTGCCATACAAGCCTGATGTCGATTTGGATAGGATAAAATTCGAGAGCTTTTCGTTTGAGGAGACTGTTGCTTTGCTCCATGTGAAGATAGAGAACTTGAATGACTTTGACTTGGGTCTTAATTCGCTGGACTGCGAGATTTGGTTGTCTGATGTCAGCATTGGATGCGCTGAGCTGGGAAAGTCAGCTACCATTGCTAAGAAGGGAATAAGTTATGTCGATATTCCTATCACCTTCAGGCCCAAGGACTTTGGCTCTGCGCTGTGGGACATGATCCGGGGGAAAGGTACTGGATATACGTTGAAAGGGAATGTCCATGTGGACACTCCTTTTGGGGCAATGAAGCTGCCAATAAGTAAAGAAGGAGGCACGACTAAGCTGAAGAAGAAGAAAGAAGATGGTGGTGATGATGATGATGAAGACGACGAGGTATGTTCGTCTATCTCACTCATCTTATCAGCGATCTTCATTTCTTATGTTGTCTCTTAAGACGGAGCAGTAAGCTAATCTCTTAGAAAGTTATGAACCCCACATTTCGAATGATGCGAAGATAAGAATATAGTTTAGTAAGTTATGATGTGAACCATGCAGGTAGCTGACTCTTGTCTATCATGGATTTCTTTTCTTTCCATAAACTCATGTTTCACTCTGGTCACTCTCTAGTTTTCAGTCAAAACCCTCCCGTAAAACAGATTGTAAGCGTTTCTGTAGCAGTGAGGGCTTCTGTCTGTCTATAAGCCTCTGCCTGCCTCAATCGCTCTTCTTTTGGTTCTCCCTCTTGACTGTTGTACTATTTGAACTTGGTTGCATTGCAGGAGTAAGGAACGGCGCTGCTTGCTACTGTGCCTGGGTGGGGAGTTGCTGTGTGGGTTTAGGGTGTGAAACATAATAATATATGCATAGTGAATGCCATATTTGCAATGAGAGGGATGAACCATGAGTTGAGTGGGATGGTAATATTATCGAAGAGGGATGTGTGTTTCTATTGCTAGTGACATTACCACTCTTACTACCTGTACTATTGTTTGAACCTTTGTATTACTGGCAAGTAGCTATGTCATTGTAAAACTTGGCGTATAAAATTTCGTATCTTTTGCACCATTTCGATTTTGTGGTGGTTCCTTTCCTGGGATCACTTGTTGGGCACATTTCAGAGCATTAAGCACGAGACGAAGATTATCTGCTTCTTTTTCTGGCTCCCTGGTGTAAACACAATTTCCTCTCTCTAACTGTTGCTATTTTTCCTATCTTTCTAAAGAGGTCGCTCAGCTATCCCTTAAAAACGAAGAAACAGAGCGAAGGGTCAGAGGGATCTGTAAGAGCTAAGAAGTAAAGCCCACTCCTTTCCTTCTTTTTCAACATAAACACATACTTCCTTCTCCTTCTTCTTCCTCTTCCTCTTCCTCTCTCTCCCCTGCTTTCCCTTCTTCTCCTTCTTCTCAAACAAGGAACCCTATGGGCTGCCCCCTTTAACGTAAAAGAATGAATCTCTCTCTCTCTCTCTCTCTCTCTCATGAGATGAGATGAGCTCGCTCCTCATCAGTCCCTTAAAAACAGAGCAAATTCACCAAATCATCAGCCTATTGGCTTCTGCAAGGGAGCCTCAGATTTTCGAGCTTAAACACTTCAAAGGTCCTATCTCATGTGAACTTCAAGGATTGATCGAAACAAAGCAGTAATCATCCGAATCGGTACAGCCCAATGCACGAGAACCAGAAACCCGAGACATCCTGCAGCCTCGCCTCCACTCCCCAAGTTCGCAATCTGATGCTGGAATTCCGGCCACCAAACCCAATCCGGAATCCAAATCGCAATTAGATGCAGGAATTTTGTCTCAATTCGTGAATGCACTATGTTTTCTGTTGGTTTACTGTGTCTCTGTGCGATCGTGCCTGGATTTCCTTTCGTTTTCTCATTCGTTCTGGCTACTCAAGGTGCCAATTCAGCACAGGGTCAATATATCGCAAAAAAGTCAATAAATCGCGTAAATATCGCGATATTTTCTTATATCGCGATATCTCGCCAATTTCAATTTCTCGTCAATTTATCGCGTTTCGATTTTGGTTTTGAGGACCCGAAACGTTTCGCGTTTCGACCGTTTCGGGCACCGGTTTTTTGGCTTTGCGTGGGTTTCCTGTTTCCGCTGGCCGTCCGCCTACTTCCCAGCCGAAACGGGGCCCGATTTCGTTTTTCTGGGCCTTCATTTAAAAAAGAGAGGAAGCTTCTTGGGCCTCTGTCTGACGGGAGCCCATGTTTTCCCGGCCGCCCGTCTACCTTCCTAGAAAAACGGCGCCGCATTTTCCTACAATTGAGCCTTCAATTAATTAGAGAAGAACCAGTTTGGGCCTCTATCAAACTGAAGCCCATGTTTAGCAACCGTCACTTCTTTCCCGTTTTCCCCCCACGCCCTTGATTCCTCGGCTTGGAAGCTTGGGAGGTGGTCGCCGTTTCTGGCAGCCGTTTCTTTTGCTTTGCGGGAATCTCCCGTTTTCGCCGGCTTCCGCCTACCTCCCACGCGAAACGCCGCCCAAATTCAGTTTTTTGGTCCTTCAATTAAAACGAGAGGAAGCTTGGGCGCGGAGTTTCTTTCTTCTTCTTCTTCGCAGAGGAAAGAGAGAGAGAGAGGGAGGCGTCGCCGACTGGACCAAACAGCTTCCGAAGCAGCAGAAGGCGTCGCCGACCTGAACTCTTAAGCCGACGATGAAAGTGAGTCTCGGGTTCCTCATCGTGAATCCGCCAGCGAAACGTTTCAATGTGTGAGTCCCTACACTACAACTGCTAATTTTCTGTTTGTACTCATTCATATGCTCTTTACTGGCCAGTGGCCAGACCCCATCCTTGGGACGCTCGAGAATTCTTCAACTGGAGGCACTACTCTGCCTTTAGAACCGCCACTGATCTGACAGGGCATTTGCAGCAAACGACAGTGTGGTAATGCAGATCGAGAAGCCAGCATTGGATGGAGCTGGCGTTGGAGGGGGATTCTTTAGCCACCACCATTTCGTGGTATATTGAGAGTGTAATTGATCCCTCCTTGATTGTTGGAAGAGCAATTTCAGCCCTTGTGTAGAGCAAAGGAACAAATGTTTATTACAGGCCTTGCAGAATTTTCCATGGCATCAATCTGATCACGAACCCAGGAGAGAAATGGCGGGAGGTGCAGGGGAAAGAGCGGAATAACTCTGCTGAGATGAGATCCTTCGGGGGTGAAGACAACGGCGGAGGAAGCAGCTTGGAAATGTTACCACCACTAGCTTCTCAAGTTTTACTCATAAATTTGTCCTTTTAATCTTTATCAGATTTTTCCTTAGCGATACATCGTACTTTTCGTAAATTATTATGTTTTCTTGTTACTTGCTATACACTTGCATAAAGCGAGAATCTTGAAACAAAATGGATGATGAAAAATAACGAGTTTGAGATTGACCTCAATCTTCAAGCAATAGCTCTCCTAGTTTGGTCCTCAATTGTGATTATGTTGGTTAGATGGGAGTTTTATTGTTGCGGCTGAAGATGAATAACACTCGCGGAAAGAACATAATGAAAATGATAACTAGGCCAAGATTTTGCAGGGTTTTCTCTTCTTTTCTAGAGTGGTACCACCACTAGCTAATTTACAATATAGCGAGATTTGAGTCTCCATGCAGAGTATGCCTTTCTCAGATGTTGTTCGTTGCTCTCTGTTCAATCTCCATACATATTACAGCAGCTCAACACAACCAACCATCACGGTAGAAAACAACAAATAGGTGCCTTGCTCGCTCTGTATATTACATCATGTCATAATATGTACGCCATCGCCAATAGGAGATCTCACTGACAGAGAGGGAGAGACAAAAAGGGCAAACCTTATTGTTGTTGTTGTAGAAGAAGAAGCAGCTCCTGCAAATCTCTACCCCGCATTGACGTTCACCAAAAACGGAGGGAGGTGGCGCTCCAAAACCGCTAACAGCTCTCTCCCCTGACCCACCTCCACCAACGACACTCCCCCGAGCCTACTAGCTGCTTCGACGAGCTGCCCTCTCAGCCGCTGAGAGAACAAACATCCACCGGCTTCCACGCACTCCCTGTACAGAGGGAGGTAGCCGATTGCGACTCTAAGAGGGCCGGGGAGGTCTCTCAAGCATATGGGGGAGGCGCCCCGGTCCAAGATCCTCAGCAGATTCATGTAATGTTCTCTTCCTTGCTTCAATCCATCGGAGTAAGCTGCCTCGGACCAGTTCTCGAGGAGGAAGGACTTGAGATCGGGGGCCACTGCCTCATCCTCCGATGACCTGGCGATGCTGTCCGCAACAGCGTAGGTGGCGGCAGGGTCGCCCAGGAAGTCGGACCGGAGGAGGAAAGCGACGCCATCAAGGGACCCGCCGCTCCTCTCGCCAGCAGCTTTTAAGATCTCGATGCTGAGGGCAGCGAGTACGTGCTGGGGAACATGAGGGAGGAGGTACTTTGCGACGTCGACCTGACAGCTGGACGTGGCAGCAGTGAGGGCGAGGCAGAGCTCCATGTCGCGGCAGCCTCGATCTACAAACCACTGGACGACCTGCATGCAGCCTCTCTCTGCTGCTCTCATCAACGGGCCCAGGAAGGCTATGGCATTGCCTTCTTCGACAAGGCACTCCATCGTGCCAATTTTTCCGTAGTGGGCAGCAAAGCCAAGGGCTAGGTCCACGTCTACGTCCAAGCTGTTCCTCTGGGCAATCTGCAAAGATGGTATTCATGAGAGGACAGCAAAAATGGTGTAGCAGAAAACATCAGAACCACAAACTTAAAGGGGACAGTTGGGAAATATGCAAAGCAAGTGCAGTAGAAATCAACTCAAAATGCTCCAATAAGTCATGCAGTAAAAAAACTGGGTTAATTACTACATAAATGGCCACTGAACTTCCAGCAAACTAGTCACAAAACTTTTACTTTTAACCAACGGGTCACTGTGAATAACTAAAATAGCATCCACTTTTTCCATCTCCATAAGATTGTTGTCCAAAATTTGTCTTGACAGAAATCCTACTCCGCCAAATTAACAATAGAACTGGAGCTGTACCATACTTGGTGGAATAGACAATCATTTTAAATAATACTCGATCCGACCTGAGGGTATTACTTGAACCAATTCTAACCCACAGTGTTAAAAAAACTACTCCAATCATTCCCTTCCTAACATACTCAATAGATAGTAATATGCCCTATAAGACCTTTTTAAATCTTGAATTTGGCTAAGTAGCCACTTTCTTATATGGACAATTTGGACGGAAAATCAAAATATACCAGCCCGTATCTATCAAAATGTAATCTTTACCTGCAACAAGATACGGACAAGTTCTGTACTCCCAAAACGGGAGGCTTCCAGGAAACACTGGTTAACATTGTCAGCACCGCCTTCAACTAACATCCCCAACAGCCCTTGGATTGCAGTAGCTGAGATCCCAGATGCCCAGCCCGGATCAAACGAACTCGAGAACAAAGTAAGAGGAAAACAGGCAGCATCAAAGGCCTCCGTAAAATCTTTGCCCGTGAGCTGGTTGCCAGCAAGATCAAGAAATATCTTGAATGCTGATAACTGGAGCTGAATCTCGACAGCTGAGCTGTGATTAACTTTACCCCTATTTCCCTGACAACGAGAATGGAAACCAATACATTTCAGAGCCCATTCAGTAAACTTTTGAACCTTTGCACCAGCTTCTGCCTTCAGAACCTCGTCCCCATTGCATTCCTGGAGACGCTCGTGCAGCCTGATAAAAATGGGGGAAATCAAGCAGTACATCACAATCCATACAATAGTGCAGAGTAACATTTGCTATGGATATCCGTAAAACTTGCTAGCTGCCTGCAACTTTTCAAGCGAAAATACAAATAACAGGATGTGTTTTGTTACATGGACATCTTCAGTGAAAATTTTCTTTTATATAAAGCCTTTATCATTTCATTAATTTGTAACAGTACAGGAGTCCAGCTGAACTTGAGAAACTAAGAAATAGGGGGCCTAGAAGCCCATATCTCCAGTTGGTCCAATCCACAAAGGGTTGAAAACTTAGGGTACATCTCATTTGAGCAAAATAATGACTACATGATGCAAGACGCTAGAACAGGACACTAAATTCATATAACCAACCAATCGTCTCCTACTTGTACGGATCCTCTTATGAACTGGCTCAATCAATCAATGAACAGCTCAGCATTTACCTTCGAAAGCATGAGTAAAAGTATGTGAAAGGAACATTCAAGAACAATCACTAGTACGAGGGAAGTGGGAGAAATTCAAAGAATGCATACAGCTCATGTGAATAGTATGTTCTGCATACACAACATCACACAATCTATAGTGAACTGCTTATTTACATACTTCAGGAGCTAGGCAGGCATCAATAATCCCACGATTGATTACATGTTTCCTTGTCATGGGCATAAGACGAGATATAAGCAACTAACTGGCAATGTAAGCAAGTAAAGACATACTAATTACGATAGTTTACACTTCAAAGAAATCCTCAATTCTCCAAATATATGACATGACCTAAATAATATTCTAGAAGGATAACAAACAGTAATATTGGAAGGTTATTGTTAAGCAGTGTAATCATCCCAAGCAGTTTGCCATAAAGGCTCCGAGGGAAGATCCAACTTGGCTTTGTCTTCTAGTCCTAGGTTCGTCAAATAGTTTAATTCAAAGGGAACCAAATTTTATACATCCTTCTGCTCAATAAGAACCAGTGCTATCCAAACTTCACGATCCAGAGAAAAGAAGCAAAACCAACCTTGATCATCGTCCAGCTTAGTGGAATCTTTCAGATGTCATGAGTCAGACAACCAAATAAAAGGGCACAAATAAACCGTTAGGAATGGGCACACCACCCAAAGTCCATCCACCTTAGTGAATCTATTACGCTTTGCATGTGCAAGTAAAAGGCAAACACAATCCATCCATCAACAAGAGAAAACAGTCATCATTTTTGTTTAAAGTTTTATCCAAACCATCATACCTTTGTGCCATGACGGTTACTGTGTCAGCAAGACTCATAGTTCTGCTCTGGCAAGCCGATACACAAGAAGCAAGAAACGAGGTTCTCAAAGCAGCTCTAGTGAAATCATAAGCACCATTAGCTATGATCTTCTTGATCAAACACGTGATCCCATGAAGCTCTTGTTGGGTGCTCAAGAACCAAATAGAATCAAGGGTGATGCACAGAGCATCGTTAAGGGTTTGTGGATCCGCTAACAATATCAGGCTCTCTGCTAGCTCCCAATCATGAGAACTAACCGCACCTTGAAACAATCGGCCCCACTCGATTCTATCCTGTCGGCTAAGTTTCTTCTCACTTCCAACACTATCCTTCTTGTCAAAGTCGGACTCAGCCCCTGACATACGAGACTTGAGCTTCTTCGAGCTACAACTACAATGGCGTGACTTCCTCGACTCTTTACTCACAAGTGGCACTTCTCTTGAGAACACCACATTACTCCCCTCGCCCCTCTCTGACGTGAAGCACTGAATCTCATCGCTTGGATTTGCAGATTCAACAAAATCGTCTGTCTCCATTTCAGCACAGAATGATTCGTCAGAGCTAAGCCCGTGCATGATGGAAGCATCTGTTGCTTCAGCAAATCCCATATTCTTTTCCATGCACAAAACTTGCACCACCTTGTTCAAAAAGGAATGAGGAGGAAGAGTTACAATTCTCCTTCCTGCCAAAAAGTTTCCTCCAATCAATCAAGCCAGTTAACTTCTTCTCAATTCAAAACTCCCAGATAGTTCCAGCAACCCAACCACGGGGAAGAAGAGTGCAATCGATAATTCGTCCACAAGCATGAATATGAGAAGTTCACGTCACCGGTTCCCCCGAAACAGAAGAATCACCAGAAACCATGGAAACCAAACCGATGAACAGCCAAAAAAGGAAGACAAAGAGAACGCACCGCCTAGATTACCTTCGGGAAATACCCGATTCCATCACTATAAAATCAAAAACCTCTCATCAGCTCCGCAAATAAAAAACCACCAGGAAGATCCACCCCGTCCCTCCCAAACCCTAATCGAAACACTGGAAAGTCGCTCTCCCCCGCCAAACGCACGAAGCTCTTATTCTCTTATCAACAGCTCCAGCCGAAACCCTGATCAAGCAGACGCAAGAATCTCAATATTCGGAAAATTTCAGAGACGAACCAACGAAGCAAAATGTCGCGAAAGAAACACCATGCTGGTAACAGGAAAAGGTTCAGTAACTGAGGAAATGAAGAACACGAAAAAGGGAAATTCGGGTGAGGGAATGAAGAACACGCATGGAAAAAGCGAGGATAAACGGGAACCCTAGATTGTGAGGCTAATCGTACCTGGAACCTCAGAATATGTTCTTTGATTGAGGGAGAGAGAGAGAGAGAGAGAGAGAGAGGGAGGGAAGGGGAACTGGAAAAACTTCTCTGCCTCTGCTATTTCAGTGGCATTGTTTTTTAAATTTTTTTGCAAGGGATAGACACAGAAAATTAGTAAAGGAGTTAGCAAAAAGGAAAAGAAAAATATAACTTTTGAGGCGAAAAATAAAGGGAAAAGAGGGAGAGAACCGAAAAATAAGTTATATTCTAGTGAAAATCTTGACAAAATAATATGAATTATTGTGCAGGTTTCGATCAAAAAAAAAATTAATAATATGAATTATTATTATTCATTTTAATTGGTAAAAAAACTAAAAATGTATGTTTTCGATCTGATGTTGAATTTGAAAAGTGAGTGATTTATAGTAAGAGTTAGTTAATTGTTATAGAATTATTTGTTTGGTAATTATTGATAGAATTATTCATAATGAAGACTTTATAACCATAAAATAAATTCAAATCCATATATCTAGCACCAAAAATTTCATCAAATCATCAAAGTGTCTCACAAAATAAGTTTATCAAATTCAAATTAGTATTTAGGGTGTCGTGACTGGATGGTTTAGTTCACGCTATGCCTCTTTTATCCTGATTAAAATAATGGGTTGCTCAATTTAGATTGGTTAATCTAGTCATATCCAACCATTGAAAACATTTTTTTATCTATAATCGTCCAAACAAATGGATCGAATCACTATTATAATAAGTTTCACGATGCTTCTATGGAACCGCTGATCATGTATGTTCCTTATAAGATAGGTAAAGTTGGTTTGCCTCTTCTAAGATAACAAATTTGAATTTGGCTAAACAAACAACATAATAATACCTTGTTTTTTGTATTATTATGTTTTTTTTTTCCGGAAAAAGGAACGCTTAAAGGGCGCCCCAACCTTTATGCATTAACAAAGCGCGCGGGGGGGGAGGGGGGGGGTGGGGGTTCACCCCAATCCCGTCAAAGTACAGCCAATAAACTAGAGAGCTCGTGGGAATATCAATGGTATGGACACCTACTGTGTGATTATGGCCTATGGAAGCCAAGTAATCAACTACGAAGTTTCCCTATCTATAGACATGCTCTATCTGAACCTGCCATGGATACTGAAGCCAACGTCGTACCTCAACAATGGCTACAAAGTGTGGATTGGTATTATTATGTATGATTATGAGTTTCAGTAAAATGCTAATTTTCCCTCTTAAAGAGTATACATGGAAAATTCAATTAGAGTAGTAGTGGAGTTAGTAATATAAGTGGACTCGTAAGTAATGTGACGATGAAAGAATTTGAATAGTAGGGAGCCAAGAGGGTCCATTGCTCATTCGTGATTATCTTTTAAAAACTTGTTACGAATGTTATATATTTTTTATGAACACCTCTCAGAGTCGTCTCCTTAATACAAACCTTGAAACATAATTTAGTGAGAAGGGTTGATAAATTTTGTGTCGAGCGGAAAGGAGAATTTAAGAAAAGGAGGAAGAAACTAACTTGACAATTCGAGAAAGATAATGATAACATTTTCAATATATAACACATGAGGATGCAATGACAAAAATGACCTTCCCATAATCACTTCCAGGCCACAAAATTTGAAATGAAAGAATTCCAACCCATGTTTTGCTTTATATATTTTTTAGATTTGAGTGGTGACCTAACGCCACAGTCGATAAGAAGTGCCATAACTTATGAATGAAAAAATAACAAAATGGACTCATTTTTTTTTGTCCTTATCCCATATTGTAAAAATAAAAACTTGTATTGCATAAAATATTTTATACCGATTTAGATGGATGACTAAAAGTGGATGACCCAAAAAGTTTCAGGTAAATATTATGTTGTTGATTCTGGATATTCAAACATGCCTGGATTTTTAGCACCCTACCTGACAAGAGAATCTTCTCATTTCCAAGAGATTAACCGTGCAGGTGGCCCAAAAAATCGTAAACAATTGTTTAACTTTTATCATTCGTCCCTACGCAACGTTATTGACCGTTGTTTTGGAGTTTTGAAAGCTAGGTTTCCAATTCTAAAACATATGCCTAACTTTCCATTCAAGAAGCAAGCACAAATTGTTATAGCTACTTGTGTGATACATAACTTCATCAAGATCCACTGTGATGAAGACGTCTTATTTGACGAATACCAACAGTGTGATGTGGAAGTCCAGGGAGTACAACAAACTGAAGTGTGTGATGTCGGTTCAACTCAAACTCAGGCAATGGAAATTCGACGTGATGAAATAGCAGACAAGTTGTGGAATGACTTTCAAGCAGGAGTTATTTGATGTTTTCACTTATTTGTATTTGTTATTGTAGTCGTACTTCATAAAATGTTTGGTTGATGTAGTAGTATTTTGTTTATTTGTTTAAAACAAGATTGCTATTGAAAACATAAATCAGTTTGTAATAACTGTATCTAAACAAGTTTTCATTTCCAGGTTTCAGTTTCAGAACTCTCTAAATTCTCAGCTAAACAAGTTTTTTTCAGGTTTTGTTTTCCAGAAAACGACAGATTCCTTTTCTTCAGATTCCCTTTTCTGTTTTTCAGAAATAAAAAAATAGAATGAGTACTAAACGGGGCCATAGAGAATCTGTTCATATAAATAGAAAATAAATGAGATAAATGAAACTGTAAAACTAACGGGAAAAAGAAAACATTACGAGGTAGTGAGAAAGAGAAGCCAGCTCGTTCCATTCCAACCAATCAAACGTAAGAAAGGAAGAGAAACCCATCCATCGTCTCTAGTCGCTCGCCGTTAACCCGATCGGCGCGGTTTCGCCCTCTTTCTCTCGCCATTCGCCGTCTGTCACCGAATCTCCAGTTCAGAATTCATTCCTATCTGGTTGCTTGCTTGCCTGCGTCGTCACAGATTACCAGATAGAGCTGCTGCAGTCGTTTTCAATCCCCCTTTTCTCTACACCAATCCTTACCCGCGGTTCAGCTTTCTGTCTCGGCTTGCTGGTACTCTCCCGAGCTCCGTCCTGAGATTTGCTGTATGTAGTCCGATTGTTTTATTTTATCGTCGTTGATTGTTTGCTTAACTGCTCGGGCTTGTTTTGAACGGATTAGGGTTTCGTTTGGATGTCCTAATGGTCAGGGAAGGAATGGAGCTTAATTTTTTGTGTGCTGTGGGTTGTTTCAATTTGGATTGCTTGCTTGACCGTGATGTCTGTTGCCCGTTGAGCTGAGTGAGTGCTGTTAGGTAGAGCTTCGCAATGGGATTGTTGTGTTTCAATGTGAGTGGAGATTCGTGGCATATTGGGCTTCTTTTTCTCGGTGGCTTGGTTTTAATTTCACCATCAGGCGTCTTTACTCTGAATCATAGCTAGTGGTCATGTTTTGTGGGGAATTGGTTTTTGATTGTTGTACAATATGGGTCAGGTTTGGAACGTTTGGCTGAACCAATGCTAGCGAGTATATTAGCAAATGCTTAGTTACTTGATCAGTTAGACTCATGGCAAAGATGGCCTAAGATTAGTATTCTCAGCTGAATCACTGTAAGTGACTAACATTGCCTAGAGTCTACTGTCCAATTATATTTGGGAGTTGGCCAGCATTTCTTGTTTTCATCCTTTTTAAAATTCTGCATCCATTATTTTTTAGGCTCTGCAAATTCAGTACGGAATATCCTTTTTCCTCGTTTCATCACATTGTTGAGGATTAGCTATCATATCTCCGTGAAAGATGGGGAAAAACCAAGCTTACAAAGCCATGCAGAGAGCAAGGGTGGGCTCAGGATCTGGAGGTCCTGAAGAGGTTGAAGATGGCATGGTTTGTACCCTTTCATACTGTTCATTGTTTCCACTCCCTTAAAGTTTTGACTTGGAAATTTCCTAGTTTACTATGTTGTTTCCTTTTTTTTTTGTTTTTGTTTCTGAACCCCACAAGTTGAGCAGGAATACTAAAAAATCATATGCTGTGCTTTAGCTTCCTGGTATGCAATAATAAAATGTGCTTTTGTAATGGAGAAAGCAGTGTCCTTCATGTGGCACATAAATCAACTGTCTCTATGTCTGTGGGTGGCTACTTTGCACCAACTTATGTGCTGGAATGCTGTACGAATCAACTACATGTTATGCAGTAATTTGGTTCTCGAGTATTCCTGCTCTAAGCTTTACATTTGCTATTTTCTCTTCGTTTTTCTTTTGGTGATTGTATGCTTATTGGTTAGCCAAGGAATCCAAATGACAATAACTAGTGCCGATTGACGGGGTATCGCCATATTCAAGATTCAAAGAGATACCTTACTGGTATGGCTTAGCTCATTCACTCCTAAATGGGAAGATTTCTAGCTACTTAGACTTGTAAGACAAGAGCGACTATCAAGAACTAAAAGAAGAGCCAGTATTCGTCCTAATGTCTTCCTTGTCTGTCCTCTACCTTGTCTAGGCTTTTGGATAGGTAGCTTGGGCAAGAAAAGGAGATAATTAGGTATTCCAAGATACTTTAGTAATGAGTTCGACATCTTGTTCATCTATACGTTTATTGTTTTCGTCATGCATTGAGTAATATTAAAAATAGATCTGCCTTCACAAAGCAATCCAATAAAGAGGAACCTCAGCTGTTGCTGGTGACTACCTGGTTTCCTTTTTCACATATATCGAAACTTATAGTGGTCAGATTTTATGCCAAAACAATAAGTAATAGTGGTTAGATATGGTTGCATGAACAGATCCCTCCCTCTATCCCTATCTTTTTCTGGTTGTTTCTGGATGTACCGGAACATTTCTGATGAGGAGAGTCGCAGGTGGATGGTTCTTTTCATACACCAGAGTGGCATGCTGCTCGTTTGGCTAGCCTCAACACTTCTCATACAATCACCTGGGAGGAGTACAAGAAGAAGCAGAAGGTAATTCTCTGATAGCTTCCTTGTACTTGATTGCCTTAGTTCACCTGAACTATATCTATTTCTATTTTGTAAGTGTGAGTCGTCCTGTTTAGCTAATAGGTGCATGTTGCTTCTGTGAGTGTATGGCCACTGGAATTACGAATATATTTACACCTATATACATGTGCACATATGTACATGGGCTTGACTATGCCTCTTTGCACTCACTGTGCGTTTGCACTTTCAATTCAGTTGTTGAAGTTAAATTTCATTGAAAATCTAGGAACTTTTGGGTTCAATGGTACTAGCCATCCTATCTATGAACTCATACAATAAATCTCACTGATCATTGATCTTACGAATTAAAGGCTCAAGCTGGCCAGAAGAAGAAGAGGAGAAAAGGTCTTAGAGTTTAGCTTCGGTTCTGCCTTTCTGCGAGAGATGGATGGGATTCACTTGTAGCGGGGGGTTCACAACTTTGGTTGATTGGTGATTCTATTCATTAAATTGCAGATGAGACTTCATTGGTTTGCTTTTCTAGTATTAGTCCTTTACATTGTTGAACTCATTTTTGTTCGTCGAAATATTAGGCATACTCATCAGTGTCCTTTGGTTAAGTTGGAAACAAACTACTTGTGTGCCCTGAAAGTGAACATGCCCAAGCAAAAGGTGAATGGAACCTAGAAATGAAATTTTCTTCTGAGAAACATAACAGGTTCCATATTGGTTCTGGAGGTCATTGACCTACCATCTTCTGGAAGAACAATGTTCACTTCAGATTTCAATGTTCTTTGACCTACCATCTTCTGCAAAATTTTATTTGCGTCATTTACTAGGAGGCTGCAATTTTCTTCCATGAATGGTTCTGTTTCTTATTAAAAAAAAAAAAATGGTTCTGTTTCCCCCCATTCTGTTTTGTTTGATTTTGTCTTTCTAGTTTTTGTGGCTGCTGCGTTCTGGTGGTTGTTAATTTATCAGTTGCTATTGTACTACTGTATAGAATTCCAAACAAGGCACATCCACATTTTGTCAAGGATTGTGCACTCATGCCCCATAATAAAACTTGTAAATACATATCTCACAATTTTATTTCTATATAACCATAAAAAGAAGTTTACTTCTATATGGCTATTTGATCTGATTATTGTGGTGAGTATTTCTTATTTCAACATAATATGCATACTGTTGGTTGTTAGAAGCTCTAAAATACCTTCCTCTGGACTCTAGTTCTGTGAACAAGTGGATTACCTCTCTTCCTGACTGCAGCTGGAGCAAATCCAGTATACGAGGATTGCTCCTTTCATATTACTGTTCATACTAAAGAACTTCATCAGAAGTAGATTTCTCTCCGGATCTGCTAGCGTTTTGTTAATGTTCCTTGGATGCATCTTATGATAGTTTTCTTGGTCAAATCTGTAGCAAAGTTTTGCTTGGCACGTCATCTTGAATTTTTGGATGATTTCTTGAACCAGAACTGCTTGGTTGTGAAATGCTTTTACTATGAGAACCACGATCAGGAATGAATCATATGAAAGTTGCTTTAAATTGTACATTATGCCTGTAAAACAAATATTGTTCCTGGAATTTGTCAAATAAGTAGTTGTGCTCAGTGCTGTTGTTTCTGACTAAGATTCGGGTCTTTTCTTATTTTCTTTCTCGCTGTATTTGGTTCCATATCTAGGAAGAGGAGTTGAGAAAAGGTGAGCTGGAAAAAGATACAGATAGAATGATGCGTGAGTACAGAGCCCAGCTGGATGCCGAAAGAGCACGGAAGCTTGCACAGGGGAGGAACCATTCGAGTAGCAAGTCTAATCTCAAAAAGGGTATGCACCAAAACTTTGATAAATCAACTTCTCATCCTGTTTCTGTAAATTGCTGCATTCCCTATCTTTGTGGAGCTGACTGGGAGATTCCCTTGCAGACAAGAAGGAAAAAGATTCAAAGAAACAGCGTGGTAAAAAGAGAAAGGTGATCAATTTCTTCCCTGGAAATGATCTGTGTCCTCTTAACTATACTCGAGTAGTATTCATAAACTACTAATAACAGGATAAAAGTTCCAACCTTGACAATCTTCAAAGTTTCCACTACACAGGAGCACTCTAAATGTTGCCGTTCGTCCTTGTTTAACTTCCTCACATGCATGTTTGTGTAGCATTCCAGGCGTAGATCTTCAGACTCCAGCTCAATGAGCTCTTCCTCCTCCGACGCCTCAAGCAGCGATGACGAGAGAGAGTCAAAGAGGTCGAAATCGAGAAGCAGCAGCAGAAGAAGCAAGAAGGAGAAAAGACACAGGTCATCATCAAGAAGCAAGCGTCCAACTAGCGACGACGAAGGTGCAGAGGGTCCCGTTCCACTCTCTAGATTCTTCGGCAATGTGAAGAACTAGCCCTCAAGGTAAACAATCGCTCTGCCTCACAAGGGAAGCCACACCCCACCATATCCATGTCTGGGTGCCTTTCGAGTTCTTGCAGGCGGCATGTGGATCATTTGCAGGTGCCAATTGCCATTCTTGCCCCGATTCTGTCCTCTCATATATCGCTTCGTCACCTTTCCATGACTGTTATATACATTCTTAAGTTCCGTGAAGGGCGCTCCTATATCTGCTGATGAGTACAGTTCTGCAGTTTCATCCTTGTAATAGCATATATATGTTACTAATGCATGTGAGTCGAAGGAATTACTGTTCTAGTAGCGGCCAGCGGTAACTAATGCTTACTAGTGGTATTCGTTTCTGTTTTGAATTGGTGCGAGCTTCGTTTCAGTCATTTGCTCTTCATTGTTTATGATAAACAGATGAAACAAAAGCATAACGTTTTGATCTCTTGTTCCTGTTCTTTTCCATCTAAGCTTTCACATGTATCCATAAATCTTTGTAGTTTAAAAATATTTAGTTTTAAATTGTTTTGATTCTGATTTTATTACTTGTTGGGGGAAAGACCATAAGTAGCTCGTGAACCACACCGCACCATGCTTAGCTTAGTGTCTTAGACCGTTGATTTCATACCAAGTTTACGATAAAAAAGAAAGAGTTGTTTACAACTTCTTTGGGCATAATGTCGCACATATGAAGACATGTTAATGAGTTTGAAACTAAATAGATGATATATTAAGGTCAGTTTTATAAAATTCAACAAGACAGGTCTCATGAACCTTGATACGTATTCTTCTTTGGCCAGTAAGAGTCAAAACACACCAAGTCAAAATTACCATTCCAGCACTTCCAACGCCCATTTGCTAATGGGAGCAATGAATGTCAAACAATAGAGTGTGAATTGTAAAGAGAGCCTTGACCAGTGTAAAACCGCAAGGACAGTGTGGGTTGTTTGGATGCAGTATTTTGATGAGGTAATTTGGTCGAAATAATTCAGAACGAAGTATTTCAATCAAAATAACTCGTTTGGCAAAAATAAAGTAGAATGTGGTATTTTGTCCATGAGTCAATTGAAATAACTCATTGTGAGTTATTTCAAATACCTACCCACCCCCTAGTTATTTCAAATACCTCATCTCCCAACTTCTTGTTCCACTTCATCCCTTCTTTAAGTGGTGAAATACCACAATATTTGAATGTTTTATCCAAACAAGACAATTACACCAATTACCACATTTCAAAATGAAATACCACATGAAATGCCACATAGCAAAATAATGAATCATTTGGATTCGAAATACCATAGAACCAAAATGATGCATCCAAACGACCCGTTGATCTTTAAGCTAATGCTATGGCGTGACTAGTCATGAGACAAAACTCCATTCACAACATCTCATCATGAAGCATCCCTTTCCCAAATAGACAAATAAATTGTTATTTTATTCAATACTTTGATTTTTTCTTCTAGTTCACTATTGAGCATTGCAAAATGCAATTGAGCAGCATTATGATATTGTGTATTGTTATAGATGGTTGAAAAAGTTGGCGAAGAAAAATTACACGAGAGTAAAATTGTATTTATGATTACAGTCAAAATCATGCTTTGATAATATAGAAATGAAAAAATGGTGCGTGTAAATATATTTCATCTACTAAGTTGCCATATGATGGTCTATGAAACTTTTTAGTGGTTCAAATATAGCTTCACCAAGTACTAAAAATACTAGTAATGTCATTAATATTATAATCTAATAGGTCAGTTTGTAGAACTTCGGGTACTAAATAGGCCCACTTATATTAGTTTGTAGACCTCATTGATGAACAAAGAAGTTTGGGTACTCATCGAGAAATAGTATATAAGATTGGTGGCCTAACCGATTATTTGGCGAGAATGAAAAAGGCGCTTTAATTAGAGAGAAGAGAAGGATCCATCTGAGTTTTGTTTTTGACCCGAACAAACGGAGAGAACTCGTAAAGCAGAAGAAAAAGCATTCGTAATCCACACTTCCAAATTCCAATCTCCGCCAGGGTAAAAAGCGGCAGCGGTAAAAAGTTCATTCCGATGGACGGCGGAGCGAGCGGCGCGGCACCACCGACCGACACGGAGATGTCGGATGCGCAGCCGGCGGCGGCAGCCCCTCCCGCCGACCCGAACCAGCAGGTCCCGCCACCTGGAGGGATCGATAACATCCCGGCGACGCTCAGCCACGGAGGCCGGTTTATCCAGTACAACATCTTCGGCAACATTTTCGAGGTCACCGCCAAGTACAAGCCTCCAATCATGCCTATCGGAAAGGGCGCCTACGGAATCGTCTGGTAATAGTCTGTTCTTTTCGCTCTTCTTTCTGATTCTGCGCGAAATTGGAAGGAATTGGGTTATGGTGCGGTGGATTGATCTTTCTTTAATCTTCAGCTCGGCTTTGAACTCGGAGACTGGGGAGCATGTGGCGATAAAGAAGATTGCCAATGCTTTCGATAACAAGATTGATGCCAAGAGGACGCTTCGCGAGATCAAGCTGCTTCGTCACATGGACCACGAAAACGTCAGTCTCCTTTCTGATTATGTGGCTGCTTCTATTCTTGCTCTTTTTCTTCACTGATTCCTGAAGTTATGGATTGCTCGAATCCTCAAACTGTGTGTGATAATGGATGAAGGCGTCAGCCGGATACCCAATGGTTCTCTTGTCCAATGTGATTGCCGGAGTAGGAACCGGGCTGCTTTCCATGGGCAGCAGCAGGCAGTTTAGTATTTGTGATTGGTTACCAAGTGTCCGAGTATCTTGTTGGGGAAGAGGACGTCAGAAGACGTGCAAATGGTGGCTAACATGCTCTGTTTTCGGCCTACTTCTCTTAAATTCATTGCTACTAGAAGTACCATTTTGTTATTTCTGTTCGTCTTTTTGTTCTATTAGGCTCTGCTCTCCCCCCTTTCGATGGTTATGGCTCTTCATGTTTTGACTAAGATGACTGGTAACATCATATTTGACCATGAAGATGTATAAATTTGATAAATATTGACTATAGAGGACCTAATAGTTTATGGGTTATTGGCAACGGATTGGATTTCTGGATTTGGCACATTGGGCTCTTAAAGAAGAATTTATTAGTTATCAGTCAATTCCATACATTTTTCTCTCTTTATGGATTAATTGGCTATGTTACCTCAGTCTTCTCTAATTGGATGAAATGGGAAATTTAGATTTAATACGAGAGAACCTCATTTTTTTAAACACTTTTTTCTAAGAAAGCATTTGCATGTTTTGGTGCAGGTGGTTGCTATCAGGGATATAATTCCTCCACCCCAGAGGGAGGTATTCAATGATGTGTATATAGCATATGAGTTGATGGACACGGATTTACATCAGATTATCCGGTCGAATCAAGGATTGTCAGAGGAGCACTGCCAGGTTGATATCTGGGCCTTTTGGATATAAATCTAGTATCTGCTGACTCACATTATCTTTACAAACTCATGTCTTTTATGCCGAGCAGAACATAATTGATCTATTTGCCGAAAAATAGAGTTAATGGGTCAGAGGGGAGATCTGGTGATGTAGAACTTATAAGGAACTTCCCTCCCAGTTTGGTTTCTGTTCCTCTAGCTTTTATAGACCGAGACTTCTTCTTTCAGATTGGTGAACTAGAGTTGATTATGGATTAGACTCAAACTTAGTATCTGTGGAGATACATCCAACTAATGAATGCTTTGAAAGCAACTGGATCTTTGGACAGGGGTGATGTGAACTTATGGGAAAGCACGTGCTTAAGATTTATGGATTTGCCTTGTCAATGCAGTTGCAAAGGACATGGATTGAATAAAAAGTTAACACTTTAGAATCTGCCACGAATTTATATTTTAGAAGCAATTAATAGTATTATAGTAACACAAAAGAATAAGAAATTATGATACTAAGGAAAGAGAATAAAGCTTAGGAATGTGAAGTATTAGTTTCACCTGAACTTAAAACAGTTCATTGATCATGTCGATTTCATACTTTAAAGGATTGGATATGCAGAGGGTTAAGTTTTACCTGCATTTAGAGATGCTCTTATATAATTTATGAAAAGGATAGGTTCCAGTAGTGTGGCATAGAGATCTTTGATTGCCCTTTTAGATTTTTCCTTCAGTTTACATTTTGCCTTCAAAAAGTTGGTAAGGCTTGGAGCTAAAGGTTTTTCTGGGGGGGAAATATCATTGTTTCAAGAGTTCGCTTTATGGTGTGCTTTTCATTTGGAAGGAAAGCTTTATTAAGTTTGTCCTCTAGTTGTGGTTACTGTTTTTTGAAGCAGTGCCAGCATTTGGTAGTGACTTGACACCATACAGATGTTGCCTTGTCTAGATGCGTACCTAGAAATATTTTAACTCAAGCATCAAGGGCTGAAATAAACTATCCTCCTATGTCTCATTCTATAGACCTTAATAGGTCCTGTGGAAATGGAACTTGAATATTTTAAATAAGATGCTAGATGGGATGGAGCTAAATGTTTGATAGAGCGATGTAGTGTTCTTTTTCGTTTGGCGGCTTTAAGCTTAAGATTGTAATTAGAACCCACGTTTAGCTGTTCTCTAGTTTCTTTAGAGTCACACTTTGGCAATACACCTAAAAGCAAGTTCCCAGAGTTCACATGCAATCATCAAATCTTCGTTAACTTACACAAATTGGAAATTCTTTGAACTTCTATCCATTTCACCTCTTTCCGCATAAATGATATGCTCAAAGGGAGTGATTAACTATATTGATTTGGTACCTTAGCATTTCCAAGAAGTTATCAAGATCTACTATCTGAGTTTGGTGCTCGAAGAACCACCAGCCACATTTTTTGCTCTTAAGGTGTATTGAAAAGGTTGCAACTCGCAACCTAGTTTGTGTTTTTATGAGTTTGAATTTGGATATAATTTGGATCTATGGAGTACGAGCTAGTTGCATATGAAGTAGCATTAGCTGTTTCTACCCTTCAAGTTCATCTTAATCGGTTCCTTTCTTATGGGTGCATCTCCAAACACCAGTATTTATATCCGTATTGAAAAATTTGCAACCTGGTGTTTGTGTGTATGTAGGGTTTAGATCTAGTTTGGAGTAAGAGCTTGTAAAAAATTGTAACTCGTCAGTTTCTGCTGAGGCTAATGACAAGTGGTTTTTTGTAAAATGGTCCATATCTTTAATCAGTCTTTCTTGTGGCAGTTCCCGTACAGAGTATATGAGAATTTCTTGCTCTTCTAGTTTATCCTTCAGGGGAAATGTCACCCAATATGTCCTCCTATGGTAGATTGAGGTTTTAGTTTCTAGCTAATGTTCCTCATTTTTTGATTGCTTGATATTTAACTTCTTGTTTGGTTCTTAGTAATTAATATAGCACTCTGCATTGCACTCTTTTCAATTTGGTCCTGTAACAAAGTAAAGTTATTTGTATGAGTGTGTCTAGGTGACTGTGAGCTAGTATTTCCTAAGGGAATGGATAAATTTGATATCTGTTCTGAGATTTCTTTTCTTGAATCTATCTAGTACTGGGGAGAATATGGTCCTTGTATTTCCCTTTTAAGAGTCTTCATAATAAGTATTTATCGTGGGAGCTATGAACTTGAAAGCTTTAGTAGTTTGGAAATGGTTTAGAACGCCAAACATTCCTATTATCAGCAATATTAGAAAGCGGAAGTTGTTTATTAAGATACATGTTTCCATTTGTGCAAAGCTCCAGTTGGAATTAAACCTTTTCTTTGAATGTTTGTGCAGTATTTCTTGTACCAGATTCTTCGTGGATTGAAATACATCCATTCAGCAAACGTCCTGCACAGAGATTTAAAACCGAGCAATCTTCTCCTGAATGCAAACTGTGACTTGAAGATTTGTGATTTTGGGCTTGCTCGTGTTACCTCTGAAACTGATTTTATGACTGAGTACGTCGTTACAAGATGGTACCGAGCTCCTGAGTTGTTGCTGAACTCGTCTGACTATACTGCTGCTATTGATGTGTGGTCGGTTGGTTGTATTTTTATGGAGTTGATGGACCGGAAGCCCCTGTTTCCTGGCAGAGATCATGTCCACCAGCTTCGCTTGTTAATGGAGGTAATTTAAGCTTCAGACTGTCTTCTGTTGTTGAACTGTTCATTTTTTGATTTGCAACCTTCTGCCCTTTAATGGAGATCACTTAAGCTTAGGGGTTGTTTGGTGTGGGATTGTGCCTGTAATCTTTTTTGCTGATGGAATGTGAACAATCCTTCGTTTGGCAAGTAAAAGATCGGGCTACTCGTTGGAATTCTGAAATCTCAATCCTTAATTCCATCGCCTTTTGAAATTTCAAACCTCCCTTCATGGTGATGGAATGTGAAATCCTCTCCTATCGAGCATTCAAATTATAGAATGTCTACATTCCACTCATTTCACATTCCATGTATTGTTGTAAATATATGTTCCACTTCCCTTGATTCTCAACATTCCACCATCCAAATGACCAGTTAGATGTCTGGCTTTTGTTTTCCCCCCTCTTTCTGAATCGGCAACCTTCTGTACTTTGTTCTTATTAATCGTAATTGATAAGGTGGCTTCCTTCCTATTTACTGCTATTGTGGCGAGCAATATTTAATCATTTGACCAATGTGTGCAGCTCATTGGCACACCTACGGAGGCTGAGCTAGGGTTCCTAAATGAAAATGCAAAGAGATACATTCGACAGCTTCCTCTCTATCGGCGACAATCATTCACTGAGAAGTTTCCAACTGTTCACCCATCAGCCATTGATCTCGTCAAAAAGATGCTGACATTCGATCCCAGACAGAGAATAACAGGTGATTCATCGATTGTACTTGTTGTCAGCTTCTTAAGTCCAAACTGTCCTTTCATAATAACAATAACAATGTCTATTATTTTGATGACAACAGTTGAAGACGCACTTGCTCATCCGTACTTAAACTCTCTCCACGACATCAGTGACGAGCCAGTGTGCATGACTCCATTCAGTTTTGACTTCGAGCAGCGTGCACTGTCCGAAGAACAGATGAAGGAGCTGATTTACAGGGAGGCCCTGGCATTCAACCCCGATTACGACTCTTCTTCATCTGCCTTCGATCCAGGTGCCTTCCAATGATTCTTCTCCCTTTGTATTGTTTGTTTTTCAGGTAATTCACCCTTTTTCCCCCCGACTTTCCCTTTTTGGTTGTTGTTGTTGTTGTTGTTGTTGTTGTTGTTTCCCTTCGATGTACATAAAAATGTTCCCCCTTCCGAGCATCTAAAGGTTGATAGGAACTAGCTCACCCGTGACCCGCTCCCCTGGATATATTTGTGTTGTTTGTAACATTTGTTCCTTTTTCTTGTCCCCCCCTTTGCTTTGTTGATCGAATTGCCCCATCTTTGGGAAGAACGGTATGTGGATCAAATTGCAAAATCGTACTAATACCAATTTTCGGGATGCTCTCTCCTAGGGTTAACGTGTCACTGAATGTGAAATCATTCGACTTCTTAGTTACCATCCCTAGTTCTTGTCCTCATTCCATCAGTTAGACATCATCCGATGTGGGTCACGACCGATAAACCCTTTGGATTCGTTTCGATCCCTGTATACAATCTTTGGCCGGAATGAAGAGGGTTGAAATTTGTTTGCGGATCAGATTGTTTGGTTGGGTGTGTGTGGAACAGTGCATTCGTATAGCATGCAGTTGAATGAAATTAGCATTGGCTCGACACTTTTGATGCATTTGAGCTAAATGAACCCTTCGGCTCTCGTCGACCACTGATTTTCGGGTTCTCGTTTTTTTAGCATGCCTTTGACATGACCGAATAGGGCAGGCATCGTTCAATCGGTGCGCTATTTGGCCCGCCATTGTACATAATTAGCACACTTCAGGGATCTCTCGTCTGGTAGTAGTAGTAGTAGTAGTAGTGTTAGTGTAGTACTAGTTACCTCTGGGCCGAAAACTCTCTTGACAACCAAAGCGTTTTCAGCCGTTCCTTACCAATTCGGTGGCCACCTTATTTTTCAACACCGTCTCTCCTTTTCAGCTTTCCTCCTTTTGGCGTTTGCTTTCAAACTGTTTGATCAAGAATGGAATGTGTTGGTAGAAGTGGGAGAACCACTTCACTATCAATCAATGTTTGGTGACGCTAATTGTTCAAGGTTTATTGATAGTGTTGGGGATATGGCTAAGTCCCAGCGTGCCGTAACCAGTTTGGAATGGCAATTGGCAAGCGCCTAGAAGCCAGAAGCCATCTCACGGTCTCACACAATGTCACTTCACATTTAATGTTCACTTGTCGCAGTAAATGCTATAAATATAACATTTACTCCAAGGAGAAAAAGATCGTCATTTCCTTGCTAAAACTAATATCATTCTCTCTCTCATACTCACGATTGCTATAGTTCAAATAATCATAACTACTCGTGCCTCAATTCCCTTACGTGTTTATCTCTTACACCCAGCTAGACACAAACATATAGCATTATATAGACTAAATATCTAATACACGGTTCAGCTTGATTTTGTACTTGGAAGATAGTTGATAGTTTGGTATCACAATAGGGAACAATTTGTGAAAACGGATGAAAATGTACCACGTTGATTCAACTCAATTAGACATGAGTTCATCATGAACAACCATTGAACACTTGTTAATTATTCATCTAGACCGTGAATAGTATATTCTAATCATATTTTGACAACCAATTGAGTATTGATATGTGTTTGATTTATTATTGGAATCGAGCTACGGATAAAATCGGTTAGTGAATAGAATGTGACTATGGAGTGGAATGGCAAGGATGAAGGGGAACTTCGAAATTAAAAATTGGAAAGAAAATGAAGAACCTACAAAAACAAGATGGACCAGAAAGAAATGATATTAAAGTTGTCAAAGGAACGTGGGTACAACCACTATGGCAAGGGCAAATAAGAGGGTTGGTTGATTACATTCTTTCCCATCCAATGAATGAAATAGGCAGCTGAAATTAATAATGATTAAGCAAAAGTGGCTTGCATGATTATGATCATGTTTAAATTATCAATTTCTCGAAAGTCATTTTTAGTTGAATTATGGCAACTTATTTATGTAAATGTTTTTAGAAATAAATTTGGAGTTCTAATTCATCGCTCAAATTCAACGATCAATCAACTTACTGAGTGATACTCCTAATGCAAATTCAGGCACCATCTATTTTGATCTTCCTGAATCATTGTTTACTCACGGCAAAACCAACATGGAATTGAACAAATGTTTTTTATTAGAAAGATGAGCTTTACATTCATTTTACACAATGAAATGGAATCAATTAAGAGGGGGAAAATGGAAGAAAAGAGAAAGGTGCAACCAACCAAGTGAGAAAGGACCAAAATCTTCTTCTTCTTTCTTCTTTCTGTTGGTTCTCCCGTGAATGATGCAGCATCACATCCCTACGCGGTTTCCAGAAACCATTTACTGCTCAACTTATTAATTAATCAGCTCATAATTATAATTAGCAGCCCTTCCTGTGGCCTAACTTCTATGCAACTTTCCTTTTATTGAATCCGATGATTACAGCTAATTAGTCATGATAATGCCTCTCTCTCACTACTTAACCTACTATGTAGGGGTAGTTATCATAAATGGTCACATAACTATTCATTTTGTACAAAACGATCATAAATCTTCAATTTTGCACGTTTCGGTAACATATGTTTGGACTAATAACAAAAATGTAATTCCGTCAATCTCCATCCAAAAATCCATTAGTTTAATCCAGTCAGCATGTCATGTCATCAACAAATAATAATAAAAAATTAATAAACCAAACCAATTATACCCAACCAACCTAACTCAATCCCGCCCAAAAATTTACCCAACCAATATAAAACTACAAACCCAATTTAAGAACAGACTCAACTATGTTTCCCCTCTCTTTGTAACCCTAATCCAAGAATCATCCATTCCTCACGATCCAATTCCCATATGCCTATCCAATTAAACCATAATTGATTACAAGTGTCGCTATGTTTATGCTCGGATTGGAGATAGAAACCGGAGCACGGAATTGGCACCCTCTCCAACCCAATTGAACCATAACTTATTTCCTTAAAACATGTAGAACTATGGACGGGGATTGAACTGGCGCTCGTGAGTGATTTGCTGGAAATTCTTGTAGTCGGCACCGTAGAAGGAGGAATCGAAGTCGTAGAAGAAGGGCTGGACTTGGGAGAATCCAGGTCCAGGTCACATTTAGGGAATCGCGATCGGAGCCCCGAGCAGGGGATCGTAATTCTTCTTCTTCTTCTTCTTCTACTTCGAGGCATGGCAAGCAGCGCCCTTCCTCCGTCCAACTCGGCGACGATTTCGAGCCCCTCTTCCGACATTGCAGCCATCTTCGGAGCCTCGATCTCTCCAATTTCTACTAATGGACCGAGGACCTACCTCCAGTTCTGCAGCTACATCGCGTCTTCTCCAAATCCCTCAGGCGCTTGAATATCCTCACGGTCTCGCTCAACGATGGGTTCAAGGCGGAGCAGATAGCCGCCATCACGGCTGCTTGCAGCAATCTAACCGAGTCTTCCTGCTCGATCGGATTGGTTCTGTGCGCCGTGGGAGGGAAGGCGATCAAAAAGTGGGCGCGTGGGAACAGCTGTACGAAACACATGGTGAGGCGAGGGAAAGAGAGCGTGAGATCTGGATGAGGAGGTGGTCTCGCGGGTCTGTAGTTTTATTGGTTGGGTATAATATTTGGGTGGGATTGAGTTTGGTTTGGTTATTGATTTTTATTATTATTATTTGTTAATGACATGGCATGCTGACTGGATTAAACTAACGGACTTTTGGATGGAGATGGACGGAATTACCTTTTTGTTATTAGTCCAAACATATGTTACCGAAACGTGCAAAATTAAAGATTTGTGACCATTTTGTACAAAGTAAATAGTTATGTGACCATTTATGATAACTACCCTACTATGTAGCTTTTTTCATTCATTGGGGTTGGGAAAGAAGAAGGAAGAGTGATGCTTGTACAATGATGAATTGGTACCCATTACCCAATAAATGATATATCAATGCAACATGGTTATACTTTAACGTATCACTACGATAGTCACAAGTTATGATCGAGTTTGTGACGATAAGTTGTTATGTTCATTGTTTACACGTATCTTTAGTTAAAGTTCACATATTTGTAAAATGAGATCGTCGATCGACAAGAAAAATAAACAGTAAAAGACAGTATAAAGAAGTGTCTAAAGACTAATAGTAGTAATAAGATTGGCCTACGACATATTATGTATTTGCATTTCAAAATTAAAACACGTGTATTGTTTTTTTTGTGGATAGAAAGTCGACGACAAACGTCTAAGTCGTATTAATAATCAGACGATCATGAAGAATGCCCATATATTCAGTAGCCAATGTTCAAGTTCCGGGTCGTACACGTTGAAGTGATATGTACCAAAATCAACTAAATGCTAATTGCCAAATTAATCCCATTTACGAAAAAAAATTAAAAAACAACTACAATCGCGTAATCCGCAGCGAATTGAGGACCGACCGAATGACGGAATTACCCTCCACCGCAGCAATAGCCAACCACTCTGCAACTTCCATTCTTCCCTCCCTCTTTATTTTCCCCCCAATTTACCCTCTCTCTCTATATATCTCTACTAAACACTCTGCTAGAGAGAGAAACCAACAGAAAAAACACAGGGAAACCGAAAATGACGGAAGGAGGGACCACCTTGGAGTTCACTCCGACATGGGTCGTCGCCGTCGTCTGCACATTCATCGTCGTCATATCCCTCGCCGTCGAGCGACTCCTCCACTACCTCGGCAAGGCAAGCTCTTCATTTTTTTTATTTAAACATTATAATAATAACTACCCCAAATAATGAACGCCCGCCGTTCTTAATTCTGATCGGGTTCCCCCAATTTGGCTGCAGTTGATGAAGCGGAAAAACCAGAAGCCGCTGTTCGAAGCCCTGCAGAAGATCAAAGAAGGCAACTTTCCCACAATCTCTCTCTCTCATGTCTATTCTTCTTCTGAAATGTGATTCTGACGGTTCTGATTTTTGTGGTTGGGGGGCAGAACTGATGCTTTTGGGGTTCATTTCCCTGCTGCTGACGGTGTTCCAGAACAGAATCAACTCCATCTGCATACCCAAGCACTTGGCCGAGGAATGGCTGCCGTGCAATAAAGAAGATGAGTCGGAATCGACTGCGGCGGCGGCGAAGCATTTCGTGACTTCTTCGTTCTCTTTCTTCGCCGGCGGCGGCGGGGGGAGCCGTCGGCTTCTGGCGGAGGCCGCTGGGAACAGCTGCAAAGAGGTACGCGCAGAACAATAATTACTAACCTTAATTAACTGTTATGAATTCTGGCAAGTACTTGACCCAGTTCCAGGATTATCACTAGCCTTCTCTTTATATAATTAAGTAGGGTATCATAAATGGAGGAGGGCCCATTTGTATTGGAGCTTTGTACTCTCCTCTCCTCTGCATATTTATGGTTCTCAACTGATGCAAATTGGCAATCTTGAGAGAGCTTGTAGCTTGTAGAATGACGCCCCCTCTCAACAAAACTAGTTGAGTTGGTCAATTGTCACCAGATATTCTTGTTTTCTGTTTATAGATTACTATATGATGATGAGAGCAAGGATTGAACATCAATCGACGCAGTTGGAACTCCAACCTAAGGAATTCTGCATAGAAAGTCAATTACTTCGTCGTTTTGCCAATCTGGAGATTAAGTTGTTGTTTGACTTGCCTCTAAGTATTGTATATGGTAGTAGTTCAGGGACATCTATGCATGCTGACTTCATGATACAAATTGTGATTAAGTTGTTGACCCAGTCAAAGGAGAATAATTTAGTTTAGTAATTACTGAAAATTTTACAGGGGAAGGTGCCCATCCTATCGACAACAGCATTGCACCATCTTCACATATTCATCTTCGTGCTGGCTTGTGTCCATGTTGCTTTCTCAGCTCTCACCATTCTTTTTGGAAGCGCAAAGGTAAAGAAACATTCTCATCAAAGTAATGTTGTGTCGCTTCTTTTACTGCTTCTTCCCTAGTATGTTCTACATTAGTGATGATGACGACATTTTCCTAAAAAACATTCTGGTATGTTTTTTTGGTAATGCCAGATAAGACAGTGGAAGCATTGGGAAGATGCTGTCTCAAAGCAGGATTTGGACCCTGAAAATGGTAAGTAATTAATTCATTCTATCACCTGCTGTAACTTTTGAGTTAGGAGGAGAATATGAACTCAAATAGCCTAGAATGTCTATCTGAACTCCCTTAACCGTTTCATTTTTGTTGGTTCTGTACCTGAACTCTGAATTTGTGGTATATGAACTGTTAGTTCTGGATCAACCCGATTAAGATATGTTAACATGAAAGCAAATGTAGTTTCAACGAGTCAAATGAAACTTCTTGCCACTTGAAGCAGAAAGACAAGAGGGGAAACAAAAGATGTTCTAAACAAAGAATGAAATTGTCACAGTAGTATTGCTTATTGTGGGTTTCCTTTTTCAGCAAAAGGTGGTAGGCTTATCCATGTCCAGGATCATGATTTCATCAAGAACCGGTTTCAAGGAATGGGGAGGAACTCTTACCTTTTTGGCTTGGTGGTATGTGCCTTAAAATCCAAATGAGAATATCCAATTGAGGATGGAAAATCAATACAAAAGACTGGAGCTTTTGTAGGATTCTTTTGATGACACCTCCATTCTTGACATTATTGTATGTTGCAGCATTCATTTTTCAAGCAATTCTATGGATCTGTTAGCAAATCCGATTACATCACATTGCGGGCTGGTTTCATCATGGTGGGTTCTACCTATTTGTCCTGCAACACCTTCATTTTCACTATATTTTTATGTGTAACTGTCAATGTTTCCCCCTTTTTTAAACTTCTGTTATTGTTCTGAAACAATACCTCTTGGCAGACTCACTGCAGGGGAAATCCAAAGTTCAATTTCCACAAATACATGATGCGAGCGCTCGAAGCTGACTTCAAGAAAGTCGTCGGTATCAGGTGCAGTTGCTAAATACTTTATCTTAACTACATTCATTAGGTAGCATCTAAATGGAGCTGTGAGACCCTTAGCTTTATCATTTACATTGTTTTTGGTTCTGCAGTTGGTATCTTTGGGTCTTTGTCGTTATCTTCCTGTTACTGAATGTGGCTGGTGAGTGAGACTTTAAACCGTATTTCAGCTCTTGTTGTGATAATATGAGGCTCATGCTCAGTGCTGACACAATTTTCACATTCCATTATGCAGGATGGCATGCATACTTCTGGATCGCTTTCGTTCCCTTTGGTGTAAGCCATCATACTGCTAATGAAAACTTCCCTTTCGCATCCGATTTGTTCTTTACATGTCTTTTATGTTGCTGTAGTCCAAGCAGCAACCGGAGAGCTGCTGGCTTCATTGGTTTTATGAAAGGAATCCCTCTGTTGTATTGATGTTTGGTATTTGTTTGTGCAGCTTCTACTGGCCGTCGGTACCAAGTTAGAGCACATCATAACCCAACTGGCCCATGAAGTAGCTGAGAAACATGTAGCTGTGACTGGAGATTTAGTGGTTCAGCCTTCAGATGATCTCTTCTGGTTCCGCAAACCTAAGCTTGTTCTGTTCCTTATCCATATCATCCTTTTCCAGAACTCATTTGAACTTGCATTTGTCTTCTTCATATGGGTGAGTGAGCAACTGAACATAGAATCATCCATTTTTTACTGATCTCTATTTCTTCTTTTCATGAATTGATCTCTCTCAATATTTTCCTCATCGTTATATTCAAAATGACTTCAAAATCGCAGCTTCAATACAAGTTCGATTCCTGCATAATGGGGAAAGTCGGTTACATCATCCCCAGACTCATTATAGGGTAAGACTGCTTTCTTTCAATTGTTCATTCATTCATGAATAAATAAATCACAATTTTATGGAGTGAAAAGGCTCCATATGTACTTTGTTTGAATTTCGTCTCCCATGTTTCAGGGCATTTGTGCAGTTTGTCTGCAGCTATAGCACTCTTCCTCTCTATGCCCTGGTGACACAGGTAACCCTATTTTGTAATTAACAAACTATCAACTTGACCTCTCTACTTCTCTAAATTTTCAGTTCATATCCTTGAGTTCTAGGGCGCCATGATCGAAATGAAAGATCATGATAGTTGTGAAAGGAGTTTGAACTCAAAGGAAAAAATGAGTTGATGACTTTGGCCTTAGAAAGTTAATAATTTAGGAGGTTGGATAGTGTAGCAGGTAGCTAACTTCAATGGTCAAAGTGATAGTTTCTTCATATTTTACCTGTAATTTGTGATCAATTCAGCACAGCGTCCCATTTGAAACTCATCCTAAGGCAACTGTGCTGATTAACATGAACAGATGGGAAGTCAATTCAACAAGGCGGTATTCGACGAGCACGTTCAAGTGGGACTGGTCGGTTGGGCGAAGCAAGCCAAGAAGAACACCGTTCTAAGAAAGGCTGCTGCCAATGGTGGGTCGTCTACTACCCATCATGCTGCTGCTGACAGAGAAGATTCTTCTTCTCCTCCTCCTCCTGCTGCTCCTCTTGCCGCTGCCTTCCAAATGGCGAAAATGGCAAAGAAAGAGAACAACAATGGAGAAGAACGGGAGATTGTTGGTGATTGTAATGGAACTGGAACGGGAACTGCTGCAGCTTCTTCCCATGGACCCCATAAAAGCAGTTGAACCACAATGGGGGAAAAGCTGGCTTTTTTGTAAATTGATGGTGATAACAGTTAAGAAAAGTTAGATATATACTTGAAGTTTTCTTATTTTGTCGAAGTACATAAGTTCAGAGTGTATTGTTATTGCGAGCTTATTGCGTTGTCCCAATGACTTCGAGTGTACCAATATACTTTCCTTTTTTAGTATTTGACTGAAATTACTTTCCTTTTTTACTATTAAGTACACCTTATGGCGAGAAGATTGTTGTCTTGCTACTTGAAACAGAGCCATTTTTTTGTTGATTTCTTTGTGAAAAGCAGAAGTTGGCTTATCTCATTCCTATAAGTTGCCTTTTCATCCCTATAAAAATGGAACTGTTTGGCTTATGACATATATTCATCAAACACCAGCCAAAGGAAGATGAAAAGAGGAAACATCATGGGCACGAAAACAACTACAATAGCATTAGTGTTGTCGATGGTGAATTCATCAGCGACGAGTGTTCGACGCGTCGTGACATGCAACGATCGCCTCATCGAGTTGCTGCCTTGCTCTGCATACCTCACCAAGGCAACTCCATCTCCAGCATGTTGCTTTAGCGTGAAGGAGTGAATGCTAAGGCCAACACTATGGCCATTCGCAGAGAGTACTGCAAGTGCTTCAAATCGGCTATCGTGGGTAATCTCGTTGATGCTTCTCTCGCCAAAGGTCTCCCTGGATTGTGTAACGTCAGTGCCCCTGTCCCAATTGATGCCAACATTGATTGCAACGCGCAAGTCCACCTCTAATATGTACTAACCGGTTATTCAATGATAGCTTTCGAAAGCACAATGTATGATCTCCACACCAGTTTGAGCTCATGGCTCAACAAAAGTCAAGTGATACCAAAAGAAACAAAATTCAAGTCTTAATAAAAAGAAGTTTGAGTTCTTTTTTTCTGTTGACCCATTGGTTGCATGGATAGGTAATTAACAGCTGAAGAAAACTGGGCCTTCAATCTAACATAATGACAAGGAACCCACTATCAGAACATTGAAGCCCAACCTGAAATGGACATTTTCAGTAGTAGTAGCTGCAAGCCTGCAACTGCAACATGACCTTTTCAAACTGAAACTGAAACCAAATATCGCACAGGAAAACTGAAAATTTCCCGGGAAAGCACAAACCAGCCCCCAACTGTGACCTTTTCAAGACTTTGCAGACAACTGAGGAAGAACAAACATAGTTTTCTACACATGGCATTTGCAACATATAGTTCAGTTCCTGATGATAACTGAAAACAGAAGACCAGTCTCGCTACGATAGCGATCTTACACAAAGTTTAAACAGACTCCAGAACTGGGGAACATTAAGGCTGAGTGATGCAGGAAAGAGAGGCAGAGCAGCTTTCATCACTCTTCTGCAGCACTGGCAGCACTCAAGTCCACGCTCAGGTCGAGATTCTACAGAAAAGAGAACAAAAAACATGAGAAACTAGATTATGATGAGGTCCGACAGGTTTGACAAAGGTACGAAGTTTATTACCTTTCCAGTTATCATTGTGTACATGTTAAGGACATCAGTGACAGTCGACTCAAAGTGTGTTGTCGCATCATAACTCTGTTCAAGATAACATTAAACAGACAGTTATTAGAACACATAGGTAGGGAGGTGAAGAAGCTTTAGGTGTCCAACTGAACGGGAAGATGTTACTCACAGCAGATATAAAGCAATTGTCCAGAGAGGGCTCGTTTACTGGTTCATATCTATCATAGTTCTCAAAGAATATTTCATCAACTGGACCAAGAAGGTCAATCCCTGGCTTCAACTCAACCTGAGGGTTATCTGTCTCAGCCTCAGTCGATACGAAAGCGATGAATTTCCCCTTTGGAGCAACATTGTGGGAATAAGAGCAGCAGAAAAGGTACCTGCTCCATCAGGCAGAAGTATTGCACAATCAGCCTAGAGTTCAAAAAAGAAGAATCCTTCACAAGAAATTCTAAAGCTATTGGCTTCTGTAGCTAATGTATTCTTCTTACCTAATCACACACAAAGCTCTAAAACAGTAACTGGTTCAGAAAATAATTAATAGGAAAAAGACCAGAACTATATAGCTTACATGTCTGATTTGCGACCCAGCTGCTTCTGTGGAAGAATAACCTGAACTGAGTGAGAGTCATTGGTGTTGGGAATTGGGTGGCTCATGATGGCAATCGCCCTAGCAACTTTACCGACCTTCCTAACCTGTTCATATTCACAGAGAATTCAGCAGAGGCTAAAGAGGAAATAGAAGTCTAAAGATAAAACTAATAGTCCCGTAAAAATAATGTACCTTTCCTGGCAAGTAGGACGGATCACAAACCACTTTCTTGCACTTAGCAGTTTCTCCTTCTGAGGTTACGCCAATAACCTTGCCTCCATCGTCGAACTCTACCTGAAACACCAAAGCCATATACAGTCAAATTTTCCAATGGGGAAAAGAGGTATTGGCAGCATTTTGCTCTCTAAGTTTTAAGTCACAGAGCCAAACACATGATTGAGTACCTTGCATTCAGGTTTGTTCAACATATATGTGCCACCATAGACTGCACTCAGACGAGCAAATGCCTGACATGATATAATCAGAAAGGTAAGCTCGAGTACATTGAGAGATCTTGGCTTCATAGTGTAAGTAAAAGCAAAACAATGAAGAAAGGGGGAGAAAGAAAAAACAGAAAAGAGAGTAATTGGATTAATGTGAACCTGTGGCAGCTCTCCTAATCCATATAGGGGGTAAATATAAGGTGATCCGCCTTGAAAACGAGCAAGAGACTCGGCATACAGCTGGAACAAGTGAGGACATTTTCGCTTAATGCATAACGAAATAATAAAATATATAGAAAATGGAACCTAAGTTGGAAAGACGGCCAGAAACCCAGATATCTCTACCTTCATTCTCTTCACTGTATCTATAGCAGGTTCATTAAGATATCGATCGTCCCTATGCAGCGCCAAGGCATGACCAATGAAGTCTATGGTATTATCATCAAGACCATATTTCCTGCCAACAACCCAAACAGCCAATAAGAAAGGACACTCGTGTATTTGGTAACATAGAGTCAGGATAAGTATCACACTGGAACTAAATGAAAGTCAAGTAAATGGCTCTACTTCAAAAACAATTTTCCTCCTCCAACCATAAGTGAAGTTAGAGCATATTCCATAACGTATTACTAAACCTACAACGAAAGCTACTCTCCTTGCATTCAATTAAAGTTTCATCTTCTACTACTTGACGTAACAGCACAATGAAACGAAGCCAAGAAACAAACTGAAGCTAGATAAGCTAATTCAGTATGCTTTCATCCTAAGACTAAAAAGGCTTTCAACCATTAGTGCACAACTAACAAGCATCAAAACAAACATTTACTGGATCATGCAAATGTTCTTTCTCGTGTATCAAAGTGAAAGGAACAACATACGCAATCAATTCTTTGGTGGTCACTCTGGTCAAGTCCAGTCCCTCGTGTGTTTTGGGATCAGATTCATTATAATCTTGGACATAAATGAAAAACTTGCGAGCACGACGCTTTTCAAAGATACCCATCAAGGGAGACTTCAATGCCTCCATGTCAGTTGCTGGCACCTTGTGAACCTATTACAGCCATTTAAAAAACATACCCCTTGAGTAATTTATGTAACCAGAAAAAAATCCCTCCACTGACAAACACCATGAATGATTAGCAATATGATTTTACCTTTTGTTTGTTATAGACAAAACCACCATCAACAGCTTTAAAGGAGAGATACTTTGTGACATCAGTGTGAATGAGTACTCGTACAAGAACACCATTGGCCATCATAAACTACAATACCGAAAATGGACCAAGATTGATAAGTTGAAACTGGCAATCAAACATCCAGGTAATCAGAAGTACAGTTATCAAAAGGAACTAACCTTGGGGATCATGTCCACATTATAATCCCTACTTGAGCCAAGGCTTGCTGGAGGCGTATCAGCTCCCCTGAACCTCTTCCAGAGCTGTTAACAAATAGCATAGTGAATATTCTGTTGCGTACGAGGAATTGCAAAGAAGAAATCATTCTTGATCAACTAAGACCTGAATAAGGTTAAGGGATGCAGATTCGCCTCCATAATAGTCGTTCCTATCCATATGCAGAACCTGGCATGAAGCAAGCACATAAAAGGTTTATAGGGATTTGCAAAGAACTTGTTCAGTAAATGACATAGGTAGTCATCATGCATGCAAATACAATAGATCCAGCAAACTCAAAGATAACAACTTTTTTCTGGTTCACAACCAACATTGCATGCCAAAACCCAATCCAGTAGCAAGAACAAATGAGCCAGGATAAAACATTCTCTTATTTCGCAGAGATCGTCCCACAAGCTATCCAATGGCTTCAATTTCCAGAGGAATGCTGAAACTCGTCAAAGTGATTCAGTTTCCCCTCTAAAGAAGGGATATCAGAAACCTAAGATAGTATAACCAATTAGGCCAATTCTACAACAGCTCCCCAAGGCAGTGTGAATAAACAGTAGAGGTGTTCTCTGCAGCCACAAATGCTTATGATCTAGAGCTAAGTGAGAAGCGACTCTAAAAGGTAACTAATCTGAGCTCCATTCACTGCCATTGATTTCCCACCTGTATCAATGATTTGGCTGGTAAAATTTAGGCTTCGGCCATCCAAATCCCATACCATAATAAATCAAGGTGAATTTATTGGGACATGAACTTCAAACAGTCAGCTAAAGAGTACAGTTTTAACAACCAAACAAAATTCAGCACCCCTTTAGATTCAAAACCAAAATCATCCATTCTGATCCCGCCCTCAAAACTTTTAGATCAAATCTTAGATACCCAGTTGGAATCAATAGAAACACATCCGTACTTTCAACAATCAAATCAGAAAACCATGATCGGATGTTAACACCTGCTGGTAAACGAACCTATCAAGCAAACAATAAGCGACAAGAGGAAGATGAAGAAGAAGAAGAAGAAGAAGGCGACCTTGAGGCCGTCGACGGAGAGAAGCCCACTGAGAATGCATTCTTTGAGACCAGTTCCCAGCACGATCACGTCGTACTCTTCATCCATGATTGCGAGCTGGAATGCTTATGAATCGAGATCAAAACCAGTAAACGGGGCAAGGAAATAAAATCCGTTGGATTTTGATTAGGGTTCGGTCAATATATAGAAAGCACGATGGATGGCCAGATGGGGATGAGATGACACCGCCAGAAGAGAGAGTGACGAGTGGAGAAAAGCTAAAATATTTTTATTTGTATGATTTTTTAGGAGCAAATTTTGATGAAGGAAGGAATATGAAGATAGGTATTAGATGCTTTCTCTTCCATTTCTTGGCTGTTAATGCAAAAAGATGCAAGTTTCAAATTATTTTATTCCTTGATGATATTGGAGATTTATCAACATCACTAGCTTAATAATTTTATTGGGTTTCAAAATTGTAAGTTATAGAATGCTATACTAAGATTAATGTACTTCATTTCTTATATTTTTTATATGATACTGGAGATTTATCAACATCACAAGCTTAATAATATTATCCATTGATAACGTAATGTATTTCTTTAACCACATTCCTTATTATGGATTAGGAAAGTGTAATGTTTGCTCATAGTTATAAACTTACACTATTATGTTGATGGAAAGACTAATTATTTGTTACACAAACTCAAAGAGGACACAAAAGGGTGCTCTAACTTGTAAATGTATGTTTTACAAGATGGAATGTATTATACCTCAAGTACATCATAGTTTTTTTTTTATATCAAATTAGTCCTTGATCATTACGACCAGTACGTCTTACTTCGTGGTGAAGTAACTTCTATTACTCAATTATTGTATTATGTTGAGCGAGTTTCTTCATAACATGAATCTATAATTTGAATTACCATTCTTTGCCGTGGAAGGAAATGTATTTATATGTAACCATGGACTCATAGTCACTAATTCCCTCATTTAATAGTTGTAACTCCAACCTTGAAACCGAGTCTCAACTCAAACGGTTTTCTTACACTTGATCCTTAATTATATGGCCAAATATTTACCCACACGTCGCTCAATGTATAACCATCTGTTTCAATCGTCATAGTTCTACTTGTATGTATGTGCATGAGATCATCGAACAACATTAGTGCAAGTACATGCTGAGTGAGGATCTGGTGACTAAGGGGGGGTCCTTAGTCAAGTGACTAAGTCCCTCTTAGCCCTTAGATCTACATAAACTAATCTAATGGTTAAAATATAGGAAGGGATATTTAATTAATGAAAGGGTAGTTATGGTATTATAAAAAATTGGTTTTTTAATTTTTTGTTTTATTTCCCTTTCCCACTCACGCCCAGCCGCGCGTGAGTCACGTCTCTCTTTTTTTGTTTTGATACCACACGTCTTTTTTTTTTTAATAATTCAACTGACTCTTTTTTTTATATATATAGGGACTTTTTCTTTCTTTATGAATGAGTAATCCTCCATCTTTCGTCGTTTGTCTTTGTTTCTTTTTTCTATTAGTTTTTTATTTTAGAAATAAAAAACACAAAGTAACATCCAAAGTGTACTAATCATATCATAAATATATACAAACTAATATCACGAAGTTTACAAAACACAACTACTTACAATACAAATCGATGTGAATTCCTTTACAAATCAATAATACAAAGTATACAAACTATATCATAAACTATACAAAGCAATATTTAAAAGTATACGAACCACGTAATATAAGTATACGAACCACATAATCCAAGTTAACAAAAAATATCACTACTAAGTGTTACAAGGTATACCTACCACATCAAAAAAGTATACAAATTAATATTACAAAGAATACAAACCACATCATCAAAGTATACAAATAATACTAACATTGTATATAAAGCATACTAACTGTACAAAATACAAATACTTTCAATACAAACCAATAGTACAAAGCATACAAATCAGAAGTATACAAACATTACAAACATGGTGGACAAAAGTGACAAACTAGATTGACAACTAATACAAACATGGTAGACAAAAATAACAATGTGTACAAACATTACAAAAGAACCTGACAAACATTACAAAAATAAACAAAGCTTACAAACATTACAAAAGAAATTGAAACACAGTACAAAACATTACAAACATGGTTGACAAAAATGACAAACATGTGGACAAAAATAACAAACATTACAAACAATACAAAAGAAACCAACAAACATTACAAACATTACAAAATAAAAAACATTACAAACATTGCAAACAAACATTACAAAGCATACTACACGTACAGAATATCACTACTTACAATACAGATTGGTAAACTTGTATTACAAACAAATGAATACAAAGTATACAAATCATAACATAAAAGTATACAAACTTGAATAACAAAAGTTACAAATACAAATCAATGAATAGAAAGTGTATAAATCATAACATAAAGTATACAAACTAGACAAACAAACATTACAAACATTGCAATGTATACAAAATATTACAAAGCATTACAAACAAACATTACAAAGCATACTACACGTACAGAATATCACTACTTACAATACAGATTGGTAAACTTGTATTACAAACAAATTGAATACAAAGTATACAAATCATAACATAAAAGTATACAAACTTGAATAACAAAAGTTACAAATACAAATCAATGAATAGAAAGTGTATAAATCATAACATAAAGTATACAAACTAGACAAACAAACATTACAAACATTACAATGTATACAAAATATTACAAAGCATTACAAACAAACATTACAAAGCATACTACACGTACAGAATATCACTACTTACAATACAGATTGGTAAACTTGTATTACAAACAAATTGAATACAAAGTATACAAATCATAACATAAAAGTATACAAACTTGAATAACAAAAGTTACAAATACAAATCAATGAATAGAAAGTGTATAAATCATAACATAAAGTATACAAACTAGACAAACAAACATTACAAACATTACAATGTATACAAAATAGTAATATAAACATTACAAACATCACGAACTCAATACTGTTGCCGGAAAATCATCCACCACCGTCTCTGGTCGCCGGAAAACTGCTCCGCCGTCGCCGGAAAAGTTGACAAGAACTCTCTCTCTCTCTCTCTCTCTCTGTGTGTGTGTGTGTGTGTGTGTACGTAGCTGTGGGAGGAGAAAAGCTTTGGGGAATTCATTCCCACAAGCAGAACCATTTTTGGGGAATTAATATCCCATCGGCCAGGAACGGCGAAGCCTGGGAACGGCGGCCTGGGAACGGAGGGGTTGGGGAGCCGCCGGAGAATCCCAGAAGACGAAGCGGACGGGATGGTGCATTATGTTTTTTTAAATTATTAAATAAATTAATTATATAATTACCACATTACCCTTCATTAAACTAGATAGATCTGAACCATTAGATTTTAATGATGTTCAATGGTTGAGATTGGCTTAGTCATGTGACTAAGGGACCCCCCCTTAGTCACCTGATCTTAGCCCCATTACAAAGGCTCACTTTTAGTTGACGTGCGAGGGAGGTCCAAATCCGTAGAAAAGGAAAGTTGGAGGTCCAGTTTGTAATTAGGCTATCCTAGATTCCTAGTCCGTGTGTGAGAGTGAGACAGTATCCTTTCCAGGCTTCGGTTTCGCAGTTACACGCAGTGGATCGTATTATTTAAATGAGATTGCTGCCTGCCTGCCTGCCTGCCGATATTCTCAGTCAGTTTGATTTGATTGGGAGGAAATCAACAATGTCGACCGCGGGTGCGCAGCTGAGAATGACGGCGGAGGTGTTTCAGCTGGCCAAGAACAATCACGACCGAATTGAGGACTGCCACTTCATCTTCCACGCACCGGACGGCCGCGGCGCCACCACGATCGGCGTGGCGGACGGGGTGGGCGGCTGCAGAGAAAAGGGCATCGACCCGGGCGAGTACTCGGAGGAGCTAATGCTGAATGCCCTCGCCGCCGTCATCGAGTCCGGCGACGCGGCGGTGGACCCGATCAGAGTCCTGAAGGAGGCCCACTCCCGGACCGCCAAGCCCGGGTCGTCAACCGCCTGCATCATCACCCTGGCGGCGGGGGACGGGGAGCTGAGGTTCGCGAACGTCGGGGACAGCGGGTTCAAGGTGCTGAGGCGGAACGCGGTGGCGTACGAGTCGCCGATCCAGCAGAGCCGGTTCAACTGCCCGTTTCAGCTGTACCAGGCCGGCGAGGACCGGAAGCTGGTGGAGGAGTGCGCGGTGGAGGGGAGAGTGAAGGTGGAGGCCGGCGACGTGGTGGTGGCCGGGACCGACGGCTTGTTCGACAATCTTTATGGATCGGAGATTGAGCGGATTTTAGTGGAGGAAAGGGTCCATAATAAGGGGAAGCCCATGATGGAGCTGGCTCGGGTTATAGCGCTGACGGCGTTTCGGAATTCGTAGGATGTAAACTACGTTTCGCCGTACCAGGCTCAGGGCTTGCAGCACGGGAGGGATCACCGTGGAGGGAAGCCGGACGATATCACTGTGGTCGTCGCCAGAATTGAGTCTGTTCCCTGAGCCTGAGCTTGCCTGCCGGCGACGATGGAGACGAGCCTGATGTTATACATACCTACCGTCTCATCAAATGCTTTGCTTTGGTATATGATGCTCCATCTCAATATCATATTTAATTTGCACAAGTAGTAGTAGTTGAGAATTCAATTCATTATCTTCTATATAATAGCGGACTACACTTTATTGGCCCAAACTTCCTACTACTGTTTCAATTTCTGTCGTTTTGTGTGGCAACCATTGAGAGAGCTTCGCATAATAGCTTCCCAAAAACTTCCTCGCGGCAGTCGGCCATCCCTTCCCTCGTGCCCTTACCGTAAAAGCAGCAGTCGGCCATGTCTGTCTGCGGTCGTACCCATCCTTTCACCATTCCACTTGCATTTTTCAAGTTTGTAGGACTGCGATTGTTGCTGCCGGAAGGAAAAAGAGGCCTCTCTTGCCCTGTTACACACTCGCTTCGTATCTCCACTGACGTCCCTTCTCTGGCTCTTGGACTGTACCCTCACCCCATTCCCAAAATCTCGCCCCCATTCCTCACCATTCACCCCAAATCCCGCCATCCCGTTGTGCTTTTCAATGGTACAATCGCCTCAGCAACCCACTTCAGTACGCAATCCACAGAGGAAGCCACCTCTCCCCGCCATTCTTCCTTCCCAACACCCACCCTGCCACCAATTCCACCTTATCTTTAGATTTCTTTTCCTCCGATACCCTATTTCTTTGCAAGTTTTTGTTTTTCTTCTCCTCTCTCTCTCTCTGATGAGGAAACCCAACGATGGCCGACGGAGATGAGCCCAGTGGAGCCATTCCCTGGAGCTTCCAACCTGTAAGTGAAAGATATATATTTGGTTGCTGCTTTGCGGTGGCTGAATCTGAATATGTTGTTTTCATGTGCTTTTTATGCAGGAAAATAGTGGTTGTGCTTGAAATCACATTTAAGAAGAGGTCAAGGTGGTTCTAAACAACCCTGTTGGTTGAAGAAGAAAATGACGACAAGGGATTTTCGGTGTTGCGGAATCGGCGACAACTGGGATAGTAGGGGAGGAAGGGTGGTGGTGTTGGTAGGAGGATGATGAATGAGCGTCGCGGTGACTGGGGTAGTAAGGGAGGAAGGCTGGTGGTGTTGGTAGGAGGACGATGAATGAGCCTCGCAGTGGTGTTAGGGATTGAAGAAGTTGAAGAGGGAATCCCCATTTTTTGTTCTCTTTCACTGCTAACAATTAGGTTAAGTTTTCCTCTGATATTTCAGAAAGTGATTTCCTTTTTGTAGCTGGAACTTAAAGATAAAGAGTTGGTAATCTACACACTTCGATTTTTTGTGTTTTCATAGGTATTCTTGGAGTTCCTCACATATTTACTTGCTGCTGGTGTGTTTTTTTCCCACGATCTTAAGACTGTGATGGTTTGTTTTTTCCCCACGATCTTAAGACAATGACCAGTAGTGTTCCATTGCTTATCCTTGCAATATTTAGTTCTCATTGTTGGATTGTTCTATTAATTATGACATGATCTATGTTATTCCTCTACAGCAACATGGAAGCTGCAGCTGGTGTTAGGAGCTGAACTACATGTGGTTGCAGGTGCAATACACAAGGAGGAGTTAATCCACAAATTGGTATGTGTTTTATTCTTCTCCTTCATGTTGATTTCTCTGTTCAATTTATAATATTGATTCTTTGGAGTTAGATCTGAAATAAGTTGTTTTGGACTAGCTCTGCCGTTATATAAGCATGTTTGCCAATAAGTGTAAAACCTCACTCTTTGGAAGATTAATCCTGGTTTCATGCCACTCTCTTATTAACTGAATTAATTGACTTCAGTGACTGGTGGTGGTTTCCAGTTTCCACCCCCTAATAACCTGTTCAAGAATCCTTTTTGCTTTCTTCGTAGTGGGTGGCTTTGTTTCCATCCCCTAAACACAGTTAACAACTTCTGCTTGCTTTTCACATGTACTTCACCATGTTTCTCTATGACGAAGGCCAATTAATGCTTGCTTTTACAGGTCCTTTCCTAAAGTTTCAGTCAAAAGGAGGAATGCTGCTAACATTATGTTCTGTAGAAGATGAGCCTTAGTATTTGTGTATTGAAGCATTCTACATTATGTATTTAATTTGTCAATTCTCTATTTCTTAGCATTCTGTAATTGTATGGATATAGCACTACGGCTTTCCTAGAGTTCCATATATAATGAACTGCAATGTTGACTTGATTTGTATTATGGAATGCAGAGCAGGATAATCAGGAAGTTTCTTAATTTAAAGTTTGAACAGATAACAATGTTGCCTGGATCTATTTGATAACAATTTTATTATTTTCTTATATATAATAATGACACCATAAATTTAGCAAATGTGCAGGACAATTTCTTATATTTGTATTGATACCCAAAGCTTCATCACCATATTTCTAACCGTTTGTAAATACAGAATACAACTTAAGCATGCCTTTACATGTCCAGTTTAATATATATAAATTAAATTACAACACTGCTCACCAAGTTCCCTCCAAATCAGAACAACCACAACTAGGTTCTATATTGATGTGGATTGTGGAGAGCATCAATTTTAAACGTATCCTTTCTTGGTGGCAGTTAGTTCAGCAACTTACCATTATCGACCAAACTAAAACGGTTAACATATTCTTTTTCTGAACTTTAGTATACCAAGGTTATTAATTTTAGCTAAATCGGATTTTACTTGACTGTTTTTCATGAACACACTTCCAATACTCTAAAACTCACATCATTGCCTATAATACGACGGTTCTTATCTATCGTCATCTGAACTACCAGCCATACGGTCATGTTGATACAACTTAAGTCCCCGTGGCGTAGCCACGGGTATTGATCCTAGTACTAGCTATAAAAGTTGTCTCATATATACTGTTTATTTCCTTCTTCTTCTGTTTTCATTGATCTGGCACATGCATGTTACCGTTTAAATGCAATGAAATCAAAAGTTGTTTATCTAATACCTTCATACACCTTACAAACAAGACATGATAACGTACGTGCAACTGAGAAAACTAATACCGCCCGATTCATAAACATGGATCCTTGGAGTTGGAGTTGGATTGAGAAGGCTGACCTGAATCTGCCCTTACCATGCAAATGCTGGTAATTAAGACGTAGGAAGGGGGAAGTGGCATACTTCAACTCAAGGGCTTTCACAGATGATAGATCCTCCGACACCAAGTTCAGAGACTACTCCGATTGATTCCAGCCATGTCCATCACTGGCGTCTGGCAATTATCTGGTAATAAGAGAACAAATGATCGTATTAATACAAACATGAATTTAACTTCACTTGGATCTCCTCCAAGCTTCTCGATCGTACTTAATTAGCAGCCAATTAATGTACCTGAATTTAACATCCATGCAAGGAAGGTCAAATTGCTTGCTAAACACTGTACTGTACCATAATGGTTTCATTAGTAAGCTGAACAGCTATCAAATTGCTAGTAGAAATTTTCTGGTTAACCTATATATGATTGCATTACAGAAAGATCTGGAGGACAGCACAAAGGAATAATTAGGGGATACATAGGAGTTACCAACCTGGCATCACACGTAGGGTAGGGACCTTGCTTCAACCGGTACAAAATCTGGATTTTCTACTGCCATTGGTAGTTTTCTAGCAGAGCACATGCAGTGCTCCATTATTTTCTCAAGCAAGCTCCTCGAGAGTTGAGTTGCAGGAGAAGTGGTTCCAGAACAACTCCCCAAGGCTTCAGTGCCATGTGCTAAGACAAACTCAGCTTCTTCAGCACTGTCCACAACCTGCAACCCTAGACCCTGGTCACTCGTAGGCAAGGAGGGTTATCATATTTCAAACCATCAATTACGAACCATAAGCACAACTACTTGAACATAAATAAACGTAATTAGTTACTTGATTGTGAAGATAACAAAGGATTAAGTATGTTACTCCTCAAGAGATATAGCTCCAGGTCCAGGGTCACTCCAGGTGATATGAACGCATGACTTTCCTAGTGCTGCAATGCAAATTAAACCAGTCATCATCTCTCCTACTTGTCATAACAGTACAGGGAAACAATAGCTCAAACAGAATGCAATATATATAGTTGTTTAAGCACTAAAGCTGTTCAATAGTCAATCAAAGCAGAAAGCGGCAGAGTCGACCATCAAAGACGGATCTAGTCGACAAGATACGTAATGGGACATGGGTTGGAAACAATTAATACATCGTAATAGAAGCCAGCCAAATAACGAAAATTCAAGAGCTCAATTACAAATCATCAAGTCGCATTGATCGTGATTCATATTCCAAACCAATTGCTTTGACAACCAAAGGGATCGAAACGTAACTGATGGCCAACCTTTGCATGTGTTGATATGTCAACTCTCCACTAGTGATGACTCCAGCAAATTAAGGCCAAAGAGAGATGTGTCTGAATCCCAGTGCCTTCATCTTGTCCATAGTAACTGACGCACGACGTGAGGAGTTGCTTATGATCACCATTTTCGCACCATTTGTTGCCAACTTGTTCACTGCCAATCATACACAAAACAAAATTGGCCCGGGAAAGACAACGATGAGCAGCTGTATCAAATGATAATGGAAGACAAGATTCAGATAGACCTCAAAACCTCAATGATAAAGCCATACAAGCAGCAATAGCACCAGGGTAGGGCTTATATTCGAGGTGCAGCTCTTCGAAGGTCCTCTGAACTTCGACGAGTATTAATTTTGCTTCCACCATAGCTCCCGATTGACCCAAATCAAGCAGTAATCGTCGATACTGTAGAGTCCAATGCCCAAGAACCAGAAACCCGAGACATTCTGCAACCTCGCTTCGACTCCCAAGTTCACAATCTGAAGCTGGAATTCCGGCCACCCAACCCATTCTGGAATCCAAATCGCAATTGGATGCAGGAATTTGGGCGCAATTCATGAATGTACTATGTTTTCTGTTGGTTCCCCGTGTCTCTATGCGATCGTCCTCCGGGATTTCTCTTGTTTTCCCCATTTTTTTCTGGCTACTCAAACCGCCAATAAAGCATAGGGTCAATATATCGCGAAAAAGTCAATAAAACGCATAAATATCGCGATATTTTGTGATATCGCGAGATCTCGTCAATTTCAATTTCTCTTCAATTTCTCGCGTTTCGATTTTGGTTTTGAGAACACGAAACGTTTCGCGTTTCGACCGTTTCTGGCACCCGTTTTTCCACTTTGCGGGGATTTCTCGTTTTCGCTGGCCGACCGCGTACCTCTCAATCGAAACGCTGCCCGATTTCATTTTTCTGGGCTTTCAATTAAAAAGAGAGGAGGGTTCTTGGGCCTTTGTCTGACTGAAGCCCATGTTTTCCCAGTGCGTTCGCCGACCTTCCAATAAAAACGGCGCCGCATTCTCTTACATCTGGGCCTTCAGTTAAATAAAGAAGAATCGTTTTAGGCCTGTCAAAATCAAAGCCCATCTTTTGTAACCGGCCCTTCTCCCCTTTTCTCCCGCCTGGCCCATGATTCCTCGGCTTTATAAGCTTAGGCGGTGGTCGCCCGTTTCTGATAGCCGTTTCTTTTACTTTGCGGGGATCTCCCGTTTCAGCTGGCCTCCCACCCGAAACGCCGCCCAATTGCGGGTTTTTGGGCCTTCAATTAAGAAGAGAGGAAGGAAGCTTGGGCGAGGAGGACTGTCCATGGAAAAAAGAGGAGAAAACCTTGAATCGCCGCCGGTTTGAACAGAAGACGGAGCCGCCATCTTCTGCCGCGAATCCAACTCTTCTCTTTCTCTGATTGGTGAACTGGGTAGTTAGTTGTTACCCGTCCCTCCCTCTCTGCACCCGACAGGCTTGGGCCGGCTTCCGAGTTGGCTCGGTAAAGGAGCCGACGCCATGGGAGCTCTTTGGACTTCTATCAAAAGCCCAAAGGAAAGATGTTATAAGGAAAAATAGAAAATTGCAGAATATTCAAATGGAATATGGCACATTACCATTAGCACTAGCAATCAACGTGGAATGAGCCCACAAAAAGATGGAAAGAAGCAAAGGGAAAATCTTATCCAGAAGGCCATCCAATGAACATGCAGCATCTCTCACTTCTCACCTTCCCAATCAAATCAAACCCCCCAAAAAAAAAAGCTCATAAAACCACATGACACGTGTGCATTTGAGCAACATAACTGGGTTAAGTGTTGAGTAGTTTGCAGAGAGGGAGAGGCGCCTTTGATGGTGATGATGGTTCGTTCTCTAATGGCGGCAGCAGCACCAAATTCGTCGGCCACTACCATTAGTATTAGCAACAGCGCCAATCACAATGCTGCTGCAGGTAGTACTCCACCGCTGCCCTCGCAACTGGTAGTACCTCAGCCGTCCCGTCATAGCTCGATCACCCGCAGGTTCGTTTCGTTCGCTTCTGCTACCTACTCCCTCCGTATTACCATTAGATCGATCTCTAAGTTCGAATCTACGTGGTCTTTGTGCAGGTCTGTGGGCTTGAGTTTGACGGGTGGGCTAGTGGGCCTGAAGTTTGTTTCGCCGGAGGGCGCCAATGCAGCGGCGAGAAGGCCTCCGCCGTCCCCGCCGGCAGAGAAGGAGGACCCAAACATCAGCGGAGTCCAAGCGAAAATTTTGGCTAGCAAGAAGAGAAAGGAAGCCATGAAGGATATGGTGTCAAGGCTGAGAGAGCAAGGAAAAGCCTTGGAATAGAAGAGGCCATCGTAACATGATTTATGTACAACTCCCTCGTTTGTTATCGGACTATTGATCATCATTAATCACCTAGTTTCATTTCATATATATATATAAGACACTCTTTGCGTATTCATGGTACCAGTCCATTGCTTATAGAGCTTGTTTTTCATTAACAAATAGTTCAAAGCATGAAAAAGAGTCTTGCCTATATAGGTGTTGTATAGGGGTGTTCAGACGGTGTGGTATTCATTGAAACCGTTTTAAACGATAGTATTTGGCAAATTTGGTTTGGTTAATTTTGATAATGATTTGGTTTGGTTAAACATTTTAGTTTGTTTGGTTTAGGTGGTTTGGTTTAGTTTCAAACACTGTTAACCAATCAAACCAAATTAACATGTTAAATAATTAGCCATGGTAATCATTTAAATACCCCTAGTGTTGTAAGCTACAACAATAAAATGAGAAGATAATCACCCTGCTAAGATAAAATTACAAATATAGAAACAGTTAAGTATTCTTTGTTTCCTGCTCTTATCGGTGGATTTGATTTTTGCGTTTGGCTCGAGACGGAGATATAATCGTTTGTGATCTTTTGCTTCTTGGTAATGCAAGCTATCTTTTGTAAGAAAAAAAAAATCTAAACGGGAATATAGTGCTTAACACTTCACACTCATCCGTCCTTTACTTTTGAAATGCTTGTAAAATTCAATGAAAATGAAAAACAAACAAAAAGATTCGGTGGAAATTACCTTACCTCCATTATAGGTATTTTCCAATTACATTGTCACCTAATTTGTAGTTTACAATGAATGTAGGTTCTTTTCCTTAAAAAAAAAATTTTTAGTTTACAATGAGATAATCTAAGTTATTGTATCCACTTTTTGATGGTGGTGGCCACCAAGATAACCGTAAATTAAAGAGATTAGCACCTTAGCCCTCTCCTTTTACAATTGCTAATTGCATGTGTTGAATGAAAGAATGAAAAGTCAAAGATACTTTGTTGAAGTTAACAAAATGGGCTTCTTTAAGGCTCACCTACGCCTTAATGGATTGGTGGGGGTGGGTATAGGCCCAATGAACAGACACTTGCTTACAAATATAGTTCAAATTATTATTCTCAATAAATATGGATCTTGACCGTAGAATTGAAATCCAAGGGTGGATAAAACACCACAAATCCACCTCAGCGACACAGTAAGCAACCGCCCTTTACTTCCGTTCCGTGTGAACCTCTCTCGACTCATTCGCTCTCGTTCTCCCTTATCTCCCTACTTCCCCTTTCTTCCCACTCCGGTCGCGAAGCCGGAGCATGTCGCACGTATTTTGGTCGGAGCAAATTTACGACCCGCAATTGGTCTGATTTGCGGAGTGAGAGCGCGGCTCTGGTGCGAATTGATAGGCTCGACTTAGATCACTGCCAATTGCTCCAGTCTGATCGCTCCTTGTCAGTCAGGTGCGTTGCTCGATCGATTTTGCTTTAGGATAGTAGTGTAGGGTTTCTAGAACTCGTTCTTCCGTTTTTTCCCCAAAGAATCGTTAAACCCGTGGGAATGGCGCTGGAGCCCGAGGTTGGAGAATCCGTTCGCTACACATTCGCTTGCATCCTGATCTTACGGAATTCTCAGTCGAAACATTCCTTAGGGTTTGGTCTGTGCATGGCGGTGATCTCGCTTTCATTTTGTATAGTGCTGTAGGGTTAAGGTTAATGCGTTGTTTCTGCTCTTAACTCGATATTGTGTTAGTACGCAGGTCTTCTCTTGGAATCGTACCCTTACTACGCTGCGTGTAGGGAGCTTCTCGAGTACAGGAGAGAGAATAGCCAAAGCGTGATACATTATGTTGTGTATGTTTCTTGATTTTGTTCTGTGCAATTGATTGAGTTCATGATTGATGTTAGGTTGTCTGATGCAATGGGGTTTGAGACGGCCAAATAAGATGATGATGTTGTCCTAGTGGAAGGAAGCGGCCTTCAATCCACCTCTCCTAGAGCTCGTACCTTGCATTCCACCTTTCGTAGAGCTCGTACCTTGCATTCCACCTCTTATATTCAGGTTAGTGGAGTATGTATACTTCTAGCTTTAATTTCTAGAAGCTATGATTTTCTTGGGTGGAAGGAAAGATTAAGTTGCCTTCATTTTATCAGATTCCTTCTGGTGGATGAGCTGTTTGTGGTGGATAATTGATTGAATCTTAGAGCCATGTAAAGTTTTGGATTGCGTGTCAAGAGATTACTGAATTGTGAAAGGTGAATCACATTTTCACGAGACTGTCCTTTGTCTTTCACAGATCGGAGTTCTGTTGTTGTTTATTGGGTGGTATCTGAATGACAGGTAATACATAATTATGTTGTTGTTGTTTATTGGGAGGTATCTGAATGACAGTTAGTTTTGTGTAAATGTTGAATGGCTATGTAAACCATTTTCCATGCTAGATTATCACGAAGCGAAGTCTTCATCTTAGCCGTGCAAATGTAGTTTTTCACGTATACTATGTTGTAGTCAATAGTTCTATCAAAGCTGCAAATGGTGCTCAATTTGTTGCGTTTAAATATTCCTTATCTCGAAACTTCCCTTTCTCCCCACATCTTGTCGTCCTGCTAATGATTACCTTAATATTCATGCCTTTGTTTGATGTTCGATGATAGAATTCTCTTGTAAAACGAGCGAGCTTGACTTTTCCTAGTCAATTAAGCTCGACTATGAGTCAGCTAAATCGTTGCTAGCTCTGGTCTCAGATTAGCCATTGCTGAACTTCATGCTTATTAGTATGTTACACTAGAGTGTAATATGTTTCCATTGCTCTGTGGTGGATCATAGTCTGAATCATGTTTTGTTGCTTCCACTGCAGGGTTTCTATTGACTCTCCTGCTACAAAATGTGCTGACAATCGCTTTTATGCCCTGCTGATAATAACTGCCAGCAGTCCCTTCTAGTGTTCTTTGCTCTCTGTCGCTTATAATGTTGAGACTTAAGACAGTTAATGGTAACCAATAACCCTTATAATGCGTACTACTTTTTGTCCTTGAAGCCCACTGACTGCTAATCAGGGTTTTTTTGGTTGCTTCTAGCGCTAAGAAAGTGATGCTGATCCTGATTTCTTCAATGTACCGAGCATCCAAAAAGATGTTCTGATCCTCATGCTAACAGGTAATCCATAATTATGTTTTTGTCCTTGAAGCCCACTGACTGCTAATCAGGGTTTTTTTGGTTGCTTCTAGCGCTAAGAAACTGATGCTGATCCTGATTTCTTCAATGTACCGAGCATCCAAAAAGATTTTCTGATCCTCATGCTAACAGGTAATCCATAATTATGTTGATGTCCGTTGGATGGTATCTGAATGACAACTGTTAGGGGTTCATGTTGAATGCTTGTGTAAACCACTTTTAATGCTAGATTATCACGCAGTCAAATCATCTTACCCCTTTAATTGTAGTGTCTCCAGCAGTATACTATGTTTTAGTCAATAGTTTTATCAAAGCTGCAACTGGTACTCAATTTGTTGTTTTATATATTCCTTATCACGAAACCTCCCTTTTCTTCCACATCTTGTCTTCTTGCTAATTATTATCGTCACCAGTACTGCTTTATTTGATGGTTGATAATATGTGGTCTTTGACAAGAATTTCTTCCAGATTCAAAATTCAGAACCACAGCCTGCTCTTCCCGTAGAGTTTCATGTGTTTGTTATTGCATCAAATTTTCTTATACTCTTTACCATGTAGAAATTACAATGTAGGCCTTTAGGAGAATAGACATCCACGTTACTTGTAGTTGATGTTGTTTTGGTTTGCAGGGCATTACATTAGACTAACAGAAGCAATTCTGCAAGGGCAACCTCACTTCAGCTTCCTGGAGCTTCAAGTTCATCCCCGCAAGATGCAGCAGACAGAATCAACTCAATTCGAAGATATATATGTAAAGAAAATCTATTAACAGTAGGCTCTTATTTGCTTTTTCTGAATCATGAGCCTCATTTAGAATGCCCCTTTCATCGACGTTTTTCGAATGTGCAGAACTTCGATGATTATCACAGTGGAGATGGTTGTCAGTCGATTGGTGTACCCTTGAAGAAGCAAGTAGCCCCTGTCGTTGGCTGTGGCAAGTACCCACTCGAAAGAATTTTTTATGCGGAATCTACAATGATCCTAGATGCCCTGTTCCTGTACTGATACCATTTTCTTCGAAGATTGAGCATCCAAAGAGATGTTCTACTTCTCGTGCTAACAGGTAATACATGATTATGTTGTTTTCTGTTGGGTGGTATCTGAATGACAGCTGTTTATGTGTTCATGTTGAATACCTATGTAAACCATTTGCCATGCATGGAATCGAGCAAACATGTAACTGTACTTAATCAAGTATACTATGTTGTTGTCAATAGATCTATCAAAGCTGCAAATGGTGCTGAATGACGTTTCCTATTTGTTATCCAAGTAATAGATGATGGGAACACTCGCAACATGGTAATTTGAATAGAAAGTCATGGTCGCCCTGCTTTTTTGGTTTTGACTAGGCATGGACGATGAGGCTTCATGCTTAGTAGCCCATGTTTGCCCATTTTGTTGAACTTCATGCTTACTAGCACAATATATGCTGTAGTAGGTGCAAGGTGTAATATGCTTCCAGTACTTTTTGTTTTTTGTTTTACAAGAATGCTTCCAGTACATTGATGGTTGCATTTTTGTTTTTTGTTTTCCCCACACAAATTTGTTGTCTTGTCTAAATGTCTCCTTTCTATTTTGCAGTTCTTCACCGGGTTAGAGATTACTCCAGTTACTTTTGAAGGGCTCGTATCATTAATTGTGTATGCTTCGCCTGGTGTCTCAGCAGTTGGTCAGGTAAGCTTAACGTCATGAATTATTCAAGTCTGAAAGTTTTCATATCTGATTTTAGATATATAAGAATAGAAAAGGTTTAGATGACTTAAATGATATTTTTTTAGATGGGTATTTTTGGGTGCAACTTTGTGAATAAATTCTTATTTCCTGAAGCAAAGTTGGAAAGGAACGGTTCTAGTGGTTGATGCACTGTAAAATTAGTCATTTGTCCACTTTAAATTCAAGAGCTAGAAAACAGATTGAACATCATTAGTTAAGCGTCTTATAGCTCTGGTTTTTGGTTAAGTGTTGATTGGTTGCCTCATTTCGAAATCTAGCTACCTCAACAGATGTGTATTTCTCAGTTTTAAACCTATGATGTTTGTGCAGTAACCCAAGAACCTTCCACTCCAGTGACCAGATTGTTGCTTGTTTATTATTATTATATATAACTGATGTTGGCTAGTTTAAGTTGGGTTATATTTTTTCGTCTCTCATTACTACTAGGTCATCCCTTGAGATTGACTCTTGGCTTTTGATTAATAAGCTCAACAACCAGTTTTTACTTTGTGATCCTCTCAATAGGAGTTCATCGAATTCTTTGATGTGCTGGGAGATGCTCTTTAGCTGAATGTGGATATTGCTCTTTCTGGTGTTAGACTAAGGAATGAGCTCCCTTCATGTAGATACTCTTTAGTCGAATGTGGCAAATACCCTCTCTAAGGTTAAACATAGGAATGAGGACTTCCCTCCGATGTATTAGTGTTATGTAATTCTTTTTCATACTGGCAATTGTTGTTCCCAATTTTTTACCTCAAGGCAGGCATTACCACTAGGCCTAACATGCAATCCTTCTCTTTTATCATGAGTAATACAACAAAAATTGCTTATGCTTCGGATTGATAGTGAGGTCATCAACCGGATTTTACTTTGGACTCCCTCTCAGTATGCAATCTGCGGACTGATGTTCTTGTGATTTGGCATATTTATATCACTTGTTAAGTGTTATATTGGGTCTCTCGTTCCAACAGTTAGTTCAAGGGGTTATAACTTGCCTCATAATTATGATGCATATGTAACCCCTTTTTAAAGTTCAATGTAGCATAGATCGATAGATCAGAAAGATCCTAATGTTCTAAGCTCTTTTACACTATGTAGGACACCGTGCGCTTGAACAATTAATTATGTACATTAAAACTGTTTATTTATTTGCTAGGAAACAGATGAAATGAATCATAATTGGACCACTTTACATAATGATTCTGATGTGATCGGCTTGCACTGGTTATGTATGTTTTCACTGTAAACAAAAGTAAGGATAACTTTTTTAATTATTGATACGATGGTGCTACTGCTACCTATATTTGTACTTCTCTCATCTCATATCAAACATATGTTATCACTTACCAGTGTCATACTTGGTTGGGATTTGGATTGGTAATGAAATTGTCGCAGACAACCCATTGCTGAACATCATGCTTACCAGTGCGATATTTGTTGCAGTATCTCCAGCCTTTAATAAGCTTCCAATGGTCTGGTGTGGGTCATAATGTGTTTCATGTTTTGTTGCTTGTACTGTAGTTTGTCAATCGATTCTTCAAGCTGGCAAATGCATTGACAGTATCTTTTTTGCACCCCTGATAATGACTGCACCAGTCCTTTCTGGTGTTCTTTGCACTCATGGTAAGCAATAACGGTTGTTAATGCGTACTAATTTTGTCCTTGAAGCTCACTAACTGCTTTGCTAGTTCGGATTTCTCTTTTGCTGCTAGTTAGGTGAACAAGACACCAGGTCAGTCAGGCATGTACAGGTAACTAGGTGAGTGTGCGAGTATGACCTCCAAGGGCAGGCTCCCATGTAAATTGATGAAAAAAAGTAGCTGTGCTAATAGGTCCACCGGTGAGCTTTATGCGACTAGCCTTAAATTATCTTATGTTAACCAGGCGCAATACGGGTACCGTTAGCTTGAAAGTCAAACCATTGGGTCCAATTAGGCTACTATTATTATTATTAAGATTTACGGACCCAAATATTAATGTTAATATCTTGATTAGCATACATTGGCCTAATGACTAATACGTTCGGTTGACCAGTTTATCATCTATGTTGTGCTTGTGGCTATGGGCAATACGATTAATGATTAGTCCTATATCGCTCTAATAAAAGGCTGTACCCAAACATTGAATCTTCCAAGTCATTTAAATTCTGCAAGCCCAATAACAAAGTGTTATTTGTTATATTGAAACCCAATATAGTGTATAAATATTTGGCCCGTATGATGTATAAATATTCTTGTATAGGCCTAGCTAGTATTGAACCTTCACAGAGGCTTGGAGAATTAAAAACCTACCAATACCAATTCTTTACTGGATAAAAGCCCAAGACTCGTCTTCTTAATTTTTGGTAGGCAGAATAAGTTCCGTCGGGCCCAAACCAGAATATGGTAAGCCCATTTAATTATATAGTTGCCCGTCATCACCAAGAACGGCCCAATAGCGGGTTATATTTGCATAGACGGATATTCACACTCGAATTAATGGGCCTAGTAAAACATACACCTCGGCGAAACTATAATGGATAGTTTTCAAAATCGATTAATAATAATAACAAAAAATTGGCTAAAACTAGTGATTAATAAACTTCGAAATTGGCGAGTAATAGTATAAATAGTATACTAAAAAAGCTGTCAAAATCTTTGATAGATTATCTTTAAAATAGGTCAATAATGACATTTGTAAATATCAGTCAAAATCTGTGATGAATAGTCTTCAAAATTGATGAATAATAATACTATTTTTCTTCGATAATTAAGTATATTAAGCACCGATTTGGTCATATTTTTTTCAGGGTCATTTTTAGCAGATAACAAAGGGAGATTTAGGGCGCTTTTTTTGAAGGGTAATTTCCCTTAAATTTTAACAACTACAAATCACGAATTCGTACTGAGGCAAATTTTCACGGATGATTAAGTAGATTAAACATTGATTTGAGCGAATTTTTTCCTGTGTCATTTTTAAAAGCCATTTTTTCTTGGATTTTGAATGCAACAGATCATGGATTTGTTCTGAGTCTATTCTTCACAAATGATAAAGTCACTTTACTTGGATTTTGAAGGCTAAAAATCACGGATTCTGCCTTGGACTATTTTTCAACGAAGATTAAGTCCATTAAACACCGATAGAAAATGACATTTCGGGAAAATCGTCCAAAATCTGTGATGGATTGATGATACACTTTGGAATCTGCCAAAAATTGACCCGGATTAAATCCTTCCAAGTTGGTGCTTAATGGACGTAATAGTCATTGAAGAATAGCATCAAGCCGGATCCGTGATCTGTAGCCTCCAAAATCAAAGTAGTCCGAAAAATAACGAAAAATGCCATCCAAATAAATTTTTTTTGGCCCAAATCGGTGAATAATGGACTTATCATCCGTGGATAATAGGATTAATAGACTTCATTATTGGTGGAGAATAGCCTCGCACTGAATTCGTGATCTGTACCTCCAGAATCAAAAGAAAATGGCATTTCGTGAAAATCGACCAAAATCTGAGATGGTACCCCTTTGGAATCTGCCAAAAATTGACCCAGAATAAATCCGTGATCTATAGCCTTCAAAATCCATTGAAAATGGCTTTCGTCGCCAAAAAAATTAGGAAAATGTCATCCGAAAATAAATTCACCAAATCGGTGCTTAGTGCACTTATCATACGTGAAGAATAGAATCAGTAGACTTCATTATCGGTGGAGATTAGCGTCGGTCTGAATCCGTGATCTGTACCATACAGAATCGAAAGAAAATGACATTTCAAAAAAATCACACAAAATCTGTGCTGCCCTTTGAATCTGCCAAAAATTGACTTGAGATAAGTCCGCCCAAATCAGTGCTTAATTTACGTAATCATGGCTGAAGATTAGCTTCACGCCGAATCCGTGATCCGTAGCCTTTAAAATCCAATGAAAATGGCCATTCGTCGCCCAAAAAATTACGAAAATGTCATCCAAAAATAAATTTGACCAAATCGATGCTTAATGGACTTATCATCCGAGGAGAATAGGATAATAGACTTCATTATCGGTGGAGAATAGCCTTTGCCTTAATCTGTTATCTGTAGCCTCGAGAATCAAAAGAAAATGACATTTCGGGAAAATCGCTCAAAATATGTGATGGTACCCCTTTGGAATCTGCCAAAAATTGACCCAAAATAAATCCTCTCAAATCGGTGTTTAATGGACGTAACCGTTGTTGAAGAACAGCTTCAGGTCGAATCCGTAAGCTGTAGCCTTCAAAATCCAAATAAAATGGGTTTTCGCTGACCTAAAAATTACGAAAATGGCATCGAAAAATAAATTGGCCCAAATCGGTGCTTAATGGACTTATCATCCGTGGAGAATAGGATAAATAGATGACATTATCGGTGGAGATTAGCATCGGCCTGTAGCGTGATCAGTAGCCTCTAGAATCGAAAGAAAATGACATTTCTAGAAAATCGCCCAAAATCTGTGATGGTACCCTTTTAGAATCTGTCAAAAATTGATCTGGAATAAATCCTCCCAAATTTTTGTTTAATGGACGTAATATTTTTTGAAGAATAGCCTCAGACCGAATCCGTGATCTGTAGCCTTCAAATCCAAAGAAAAATGGCTTTTCGCTACGCTAAAATTACGAAAATGCCATCCGAAAATAAATTGGCCCAAATCGCTGCTTAATGGTCTTATTATCCATGGAGAATAGGATCAATAGATTTCATTATCGGTGGAGAATAGCCTCGGCCTGAATCCGTGATCTGTAGCCTCGAGAATCAAAAGAAAATGGTATTTCGGGAAAATCGCCCAAAATCAGTGATGGTACCCCTTTGGAATCTTTCAAAAATTGATCCGTAATAAATCCTCCCAAAATTGTTTAATGGACATAATCTTTGTTGAAGAATAACCTCAGGCCAAATCCGTGACCTATAGCCTTCAAAATCCAAAGAAAATGGCTTTTCGTTGCTCTAAAAATTACGAAAATGCCATCAGAAAATAAATTGATCCGAATTGGTGCTAAATGGACTTATCAACCGTGGAGAATAAGATCAATAGACTTCATTATCGGTGGAGAATAGCCTCGGCTTGAATCCTTGATCTGTAGCCTCGAGAATCAAAAGAAAAAGGCATTTTTGGGGAAATCGCCCAAAATCTGTGATGGTACCCCTTTGGAATCTGTAAAAAATTCACCAAGAATAAAACCTCCCAAATTTTTGTTTAATGGACGTAATCTTTTTTGAAGAATAGCCTCAGGCCGAATCCGTGACCTATAGCCTTCAAAATCAAAAGAAAATGTCCTTTCCCTGCCCTAAAAAGTACGAAAATGCCATCCGAAAATAAACTGACCTAAATCGGTGCTTAATGGACTTAACATCCATGTAGAATAGGATCAATAGACTTCATTATCGGCGGAGAATAGCCTCGGCCTGAATCCGTGATCTGTAGCCTCGAGAATCAAAAGAAAATGGCATTTCGGGGAAATCAACCAAAATCTGTGATGGTACCCCTTTGGAATGTGCCAAAAATTGACCCTAAATAAATCATCCCAAATTGGTGTTTAATGGATGTAATCGTTGTTGAAGAATAGTCTCAGGCCGAATCCGTGATATGTAGCCTTCAAATCCAAATAAAATGACTTTTCGGTGCCCTAAAATTTCCGAAAATGCCATCCGAAAATAAATGGACCAAAATCAGTGTTTAATGGACTTAAAAACCGTGGAGAATAGGATCAACTAAATACATTATCGGTGGAGAATAGCCTCGGCCTGAAACCGTGATTTGTAGCCTCGAGAATCAAAAGAAAATGGCATTACGGGAAAATCACCAAAAATCTGTGATGGTACCCCTTTGGAATCTGTCAAAATTTGATCTGGAATAAATCATCACAAATTTTCGTTTTCTGGACGTAATCGTGGTTGAAGAATAGCCTCAGGCCGAATCTATGATCAGTAGCCTTCAAAATCCAAAGAAAAAGGCTTTTCGCTGCGCTAAAAATTACGAAAATGCCATCAGAAAATAAATTGGTCAAAATCAGTGTTTAATGGACTTATCAACTGTGGTGAATAGGATCAATAGACTTCATTATCGATGCAGAATAGCCTCAGCCTGAATCCGATATTGGGCGATTTTTCCGAAATGCCATTTTCTTTCGATTCTGGAGGCTACAGATCACGAAATCAGGCCGAGGCTATTCTCCACCGATAATGAAGACTATTGATCCTATTCTCCACGGATGATAAGTCCATTAAACACCGATTTGGGCCTTATTTTCGGATGACATTTTCGTAATTTTGTGGGCGTCGAAATGCCATTTTCTTTGGATTTTGAAGGCTACAGATCACGGATTCGGCTCGAGACTATTCTTCAACGATGACTAAGTCCATTAAGCACCGATTTGGGCGGATTTATTTCGCGTCAATTTTTGGTAGATTGCAAAGGGATACCATCACCGATTTTGGGCGATTTTTCCGAAATGCCATTTTCTTTCGATTCTGGAGGCTGCAGATCACGAAATCAGGCCGAGGCTATTCTCCATCGATAATGAAGTCTATTGATCCTATTCTCCCCGGATGATAAGTCCATTAAACACCGATTTGGGCAAATTTATTTTCGGATGGCATTTTCGTAATTTTGTGTGCGTCGAAATGCCATTTTCTTTGGATTTTGAAGGCTACAGATCACGGATTCGGCCTGAGACTATTCTTCAACGATGACTAATTCCATTAAGCACCGATTTGGGCGGATTTATTCCGGGTCAATTTTTGGTAGATTGCAAAGGAGTAACATCACCGATTTTGGGCGATTTTTCCGAAATGCCATTTTCTTTCGATTCTGGAGGCTACAGATCACGAAATCAGGCCGAGGCTATTCTCCACCGATAATGAAGTCTATTGATCCTATTCTCCACGGATGATAAGTCCATTAAACACCGATTTGGGCCAATTTATTTTCGGATGGCATTTTCGTAATTTTGTGGGCGTCGAAATGCCATTTTCTTTGGATTTTGAAGGCTACAGATCACGGATTCGCCCTGAGACTATTCTTCAACGATGACTAAGTCCATTAAGCAACGATTTGGGCGGATTTATTCCGGGTCAATTTTTGGCAGATTGCAAAGGGGTACCATCACCGATTTTAGCGATTTTTTCGAAATGCCATTTCCTTTCGATTCTGGAGGCTACAGATCACTAAATCAGGCCGAGGATATTCTCCACCGATAATGAAGTCTATTGATCCTATTCTCCACGGATGATAAGTCCATTAAACACCGATTTGGGCCAATTTATTTTCGGATGACATTTTCGTAATTTTGTGGGCGTCGAAATGCAATTTTCTTTGGATTTTGAAGGCTACAGATCACGGATTGGGCCTGAGACTATTCTTCAACGATGACTAAGTCCATTAAGCACCGATTTGGGCGGATTTATTTTGGGTCTATTTTTGGCAGATTGCAAAGGGGTACCATCACCGATTTTGGGCGAATTTTCCGAAATGCCATATTCTTTCGATTCTGGAGGCTACAGATCACGAAATCAGGCCGAGGCTATTCTCCACCGATAATGAAGTCTATTGATCCTATTCTCCACGGATGATAAGTCCATTAAACACCGATTTGGGACAATTTATCTTCGGATGGCATTTTCGTAATTTTGTGGGCATCGAAATGCCATTTTCTTTGGATTTTGAAGGCTACAGATCACGGATTCGGCCTCAGACTATTCTTCAACGATGACCAAGTCCATTAAGCACCAATTTGGGCGGATTTATTCCGGGTCAATTTTTGGCAGATTGCAAAGGGGTACCATCACCGATTTTGGGCGATTTCTCCGAAATGCCATTTTCTTTCGATTCTGGAGGCTGCAGATCACGAAATCAGGCCGAGGCTATTCTCCACCGATAATGAAGTCTATTGATCCTATTCTCCACGAATGATAAGTCCATTAAACACCGATTTGGGCAAATTTATTTTCGGATGACATTTTCGTAATTTTGTGGGCGTCGAAATGCCATCTTCTTTGGATTTTGAAGGCTACAGATCACGGATTCGGCCTGAGACTATTCTTCAACGATAACTAAGTCCATTAAGCAATGATTTGGGCGGATTTATTCCGGGTCAATTTTTGGCAGATTGCAAAGGGGTACCATCACCGATTTTGGGCGATTTTTCCGAAATGCCATTTTCTTTCGATTCTGGAGGCTACAGATCACCAAATTAGGCCGAGGCTATTCTCCACCGATAATGAAGTCTATTGATCCTATTCTCCACGGATGATAAGTCCATTAAACACCGATTTGGGCCAATTTATTTTCGGATGACATTTTCGTAATTTTGTGGGCGTCGAAATGCAATTTTCTTTGGATTTTGAAGGCTACAGATCACGGGTTGGGCCTGAGACTATTCTTCAACGATGACTAAGTCCATTAAGCACCGATTTGGGCGGATTTATTCCGGGTCAATTTTTGGCAGATTGCAAAGGGGTACCATCACCGATTTTGGGCGATTTTTCCGAAATGCCATTTTCTTTCGATTCTGGAGGCTACAGATCACGAAATCAGGCCGAGGCTATTCTCCACCGATAATGAAGTCTATTGATCCGATTCCCCACGGATGATAAGACCATTAAACACCGATTTGGGCCAATTTATTTTCGGATGGCATTTTCGTAATTTTGTGGGCGTCAAAATGCCATTTTCTTTGGATTTTGAAGGCTACAGATCACGGATTCAGTCTGAGACTATTCTTCAACGATGACTAAGTCCATTAAGCACAGATTTGGGCGGATTTATTCCGGGTCAATTTTTGGCAGATTGCAAAGGGGTACCATCACAGATTTTGGGCGGTTTTTCCGAAATGCCATTTTCTTTCGATTCTGGAGGCTACAGATCACGAAATCAGGCCAGGCTATTCTTCACCGATAATGAACTCTATTGATCCTATTCTCCACGGATGATAAGTCCATTAAACACCGATTTGGGCCCATTTATTTTCGGATTGCATTTTCGTAATTTTTTGGGCGTCGAAATGCCATTTTCTTTGGATTTTGAAGGCTACAGATCACGGATTCGGCCTGAGACTATTCTTCAACGATAACTAAGTCCATTAAGCAACGATTTGGGCGGATTTATTCCCTGTCAATTTTTGGCATATTGCAAAGGGGTACCATCACCGATTTTGGGCGATTTTTCCGAAATGCCATTTTCTTTCGATTCTGGAGGCTACAGATCACGAAATCAGGCCGAGGCTATTCTCCACCGATAATGAAGTCTATTGATCCGATTCTCCACGGATGATAAGTCCATGAAACACCGATTTCGGCCAATTTATCTTCGGATGGCATTTTCGTAATTTTGTGGGCGTCGAAATGCCATCTTCTTTGGATTTTGAAGGCTACAAATCACGGATTCGGCCGGAGACTATTCTTCAACGATGACTTAGTCCATTAAGCACCGATTTGGGCGGATTTATTCCGGGTCAATTTGTGGCAGATTGCAAAGGGGTACCATCACCGATTTTGGGCAATTTTTCAGAAATGCCATTTTCTTTCGATTCTAGAGGCTACAGATCACGAAATCAGGCCGAGGCTATTCTCCACCGATAATGAAGTCTATTGATCCTATTCTCCACGGATGATAAGTCCATTAAACACCGATTTGGGCAAATTTATTTTCGGATGGCATTTTCGTAATTTTGTGGGCGTCGAAATGCCATTTTCTTTGGAATTTGAAGGCTACAGATCACGGATTCGGCCTGAGACTATTCTTCAACGATGACAAAGTCCATTAAGCAACGATTTGGGAAGATTTATTCCGGGTCAATTTTTGGCAGATTGCAAAGGGGTACGTACCATCATCGATTTTGGGCGATTTTTCCGAAATGCCATTTTCTTCGATTCTGGATGCTACAGATCACGAAATCAGGCCGAGGCTATTCTCCACCGATAATGAAGTCTATTGATCCTATTCTCCACGGATGATAAGTCCATTAAACACCGATTTGGGCCAATTTATTTTCGGATGACATTTTCGTAATTTTGTGGGCGTCGAAATGCAATTTTCTTTGGATTTTGAAGGCTACAGATCTCGGATTGGGCCTGAGACTATTCTTCAACGATGACTAAGTCCATTAAGCACCGATTTGGGAGGATTTATTCCAGGTCAATTTTTGGCATATTGCAAAGGGGTACCATCACCGATTTTGGACGATTTTTCCGAAATGCCATTTTCTTTCGATTTTGGAGGCTATCGATCACGAAATCAGGCCGAGGCTATTCTCCACCGATAATGAAGTCTATTGATCCTATTCTCCACGGATGATAAGTCCATTAAACACCGATTTGGGCCAATTTATCTTCGGATTGCATTTTCGTAAATATGTGGGCGTCGAAATGCCATCTTCTTTGGATTTTGAAGGCTACAGATCACGGATTCGGCCGGAGACTATTCTTCAACGATGACTAAGTCCATTAAGCACCGATTTGGGCGGATTTATTCCGGGTCAATTTTTGGCAGATTGCAAAGGGGTACCATCACCGATTTTGGGCGATTTTTCAGAAATGCCATTTTCTTTCGATTCTGGAGGCTACAGATTACGAAATCAGGCCGAGGCTATTCTCCACCGATAATGAAGTCTATTGATCCTATTCTCCACGGATGATAAGTCCATTAAACACCGATTTTGGCCAATTTATTTTCGGATGGCATTTTCGTAATTTTGTGGGCGTCGAAATGCTATTTTCTTTGGATTTTGAAGGCTACAGATCACGGATTCGGCATGAGACTATTCTTCAACGATAACTAAGTCCATTAAGCAACGATTTGGGCGGATTTATTCCGGGTCAATTTTTGGCAGATTGCAAAGGGGTACCATCACCGATTTTGGGCGATTTTTCCGAAATGCCATTTTCTTTCGATTCTGGAGGCTACAGATCACCAAATCAGGTCGAGGCTATTCTCCACCGATAATGAAGTCTGTTGATCCTATTCTCCACGGATGATAAGTCCATTAAACACCGATTTGGGCCAATTTATTTTCGGAATTTTGTGGGCGTCGAAATGCAATTTTCTTTGGATTTTGAAGGCTACAGATCACGGATTGGGCCTGAGACTATTCTTCAACGATGACTAAGTCCATTAAGCACCGATTTGGGCGGATTTATTCCGGGTCAATTTTTGGCAGATTGCAAAGGGGTACCATCACCGATTTTGGGCGATTTTTCCGAAATGCCATTTTCTTTCGATTCTGGAGGCTACAGATCACGAAATCAGGCCGAGGCTATTCTCCACCGATAATGAAGTCTATTGATCCTATTCCCCACGGATGATAAGTCCATTAAACACCGATTTGGGCGAATTTAATTTCGGATGGCATTTTCGTAATTTTGTGGGCGTCAAAATGCAATTTTCTTTGGATTTTGAAGGCTACAGATCACGGATTCGGTCTGAGACTATTCTTCAACGATGACTAAGTCCATTAAGCACAGATTTGGGCGGATTTATTCCGGGTCAATTTTTGGCAGATTGCAAAGGGGTACCATCACAGATTTTGGGCGGTTTTTCCGAAATGCCATTTTCTTTCGATTCTAGAGGCTACAGATCACGAAATCAGGCCGTGGCTATTCTTCACCGATAATGAACTCTATTGATCCTATTCTCCACGGATGATAAGTCCATTAAACACCGATTTGGGCCCATTTATTTTCGGATTGCATTTTCGTAATTTTGTGGGCGTCGAAATGCCATTTTCTTTGGATTTTGAAGGCTACAGATCACGGATTCGGCTTGAGACTATTCTTCAATGATAACTAAGTCCATTAAGCAACGATTTGGGCGGATTTGTTCCGTGTCAATTTTTGGCAGATTGCAAAGGGGTACCATCACGATTTTGGGCGATTTTTCCGAAATGCCATTTTCTTTCGATTCTGGAGGCTACAGATCACGAAATCAGGCCGAGGCTATTCTCCACCGATAATGAAGTCTATTGATCCTATTCTCCCTGGATGATAAGTCCATTAAACACCGATTTGGGCAAATTTATTTTCGGATGGCATTTTCGTAATTTTGTGGGCGTCGAAATGCCATTTTCTTTGGATTTTGAAGGCTACAGATCACGAATTCGGCCCGAGAATATTCTTCAACGATGACTAAGTCCATTAAGCACCGATTTGGGCGGATTTATTCCGGGTCAATTTTTGGCAGATTGCATAGGGGTACCATCATCGATTTTGGGCGATTTTTCCGAAATGCCATTTTCTTTCGATTCTGGAGGGTGCAGATCATGAAATCAGGCCGAGGCTATTCTCCACCAATAATGAAGTCTATTGATCCTATTCTCCACGGATGATAAGTCCATTAAACACCGATTTGGGCAAATTTATTTTCGGATGGCATTTTCGTAATTTTGTGGGCGTCGAAATGCCATTTTCATTGGATTTTGAAGGCTACAGATCACGGATTCGGCCTGAGACTATTCTTCAACGATGACTAAGTCCATTAAGCACTGATTTGGGCGGATTTATTCCGGGTCAATTTTTGGCAGATTGCAAAGGGGTACCATCACCGATTTTGGGCGATTTTTCCGAAATGCCATGTTCTTTCGATTCTGGAGGCTACAGATCTCGAAATCAGGTCGAGGCTGTTCTCCACCGATAATGAAGTCTATTGATCCTATTCTCCACGGATGATAAGTCCATTAAACAACGATTTGGGCCAATTTATTTTCGGATAGCATTTTCGTAATATTGTGGGCGTCAAAATGCCATTTTCTTTGGATTTTGAAGGATACAGATCACGGATTCGGTCTGAGACTATTCTTCAACGATGACTAAGTCCATTAAGCACAGATTTGGGCGGATTTATTCCGGGTCAATTTTTGGCAGATTGAAAAGGGGTACCATCACCGATTTTGGGCGGTTTTTCCGAAATGCCATTTTCTTTCGATTCTGGAGGCTACAGATCACGAAATCAGGCCGAGGCTATTCTCCACCGATAATGAAGTCTATTGATCCTATTCTCCATGGATGATAAGTCCATTAAACACCGATTTGGGCCAATTTATTTTCGGATGGCATTTTCGTAATTTTGTGGGCGTCGAAATGCCATTTTCTTTGGATTTTGAAGGCTACAGATCACGGATTCGGCCTGAGACTATTCTTCTACGATGACTAAGTCCATTAAGCACCGATTTGGGCGGATTTATTCCGGGTCAATTTTTGGCAGATTGCAAAGGGGTACCATCACCGATTTTGGGCGATTTTTCCGGAATGCCATTTTCTTTCGATTCTTAAGGCTGCAGATCACGAAATCAGGCCGAGGCTATTCTCCACCGATAATGAAGTCTATTGATACTATTCTCCACGGATGATAAGTCCATTAAACACCGATTGGGGCAAATTTATTTTCGGATGGGATTTTCGTAATTTTGTGGGCGTCGAAATGCCATTTTCATTGGATTTTGAAGGCTACAGATCACGGATTCAGCCTCAGACTATTCTTCAACGATGACTAAGTCCATCAAGCACCGATTTGGGCGGATTTATTCCGGGTCAATTTTTGGCAGATTGCAAAGGGGTACCATCACCGATTTTGGGCGATTTTTCCGAAATGCCATTTTCTTTCGATTCTTAAGGCTGCAGATCACGAAATCAGGCCGAGGCTATTCTCCACCGATAATGAAGTCTATTGATACTATTCTCCACGGATGATAAGTCCATTAAACACCGATTTGGGCAAATTTATTTTCGGATGGCATTTTCGTAATTTTGTGGGCGTCGAAATGCCATTTTCTTTGGATTTTGAAGGCTACAGATCACGGATTCGGCCTCAGACTATTCTTCAACGATGACTAAGTCCATTAAGCACCGATTTGGGCGGATTTATTCCGGGTTAATTTTTGGCAGATTGCAAAGGGGTACCGTCACCGATTTTGGGCGATTGTTCCGAAATGCCATTTTCTTTCGATTCTGGAGGCTACAGATCACAAAATCAGGCCGAGGCTATTCTCCACTGATAATGAAGTCTATTGATCCTATTCTTCCTGGATGATAAGTCCATTAAACACCGATTTGGGCCAATTTATTTTCGGATGGCATTTTCGTAATTTTGTGGGCGTCGAAATGCCATTTTCTTTGGATTTTGAAGGCAATAGATCACGGATTCGGCCTGAGACTATTCTTCAACGATGACTAAGTCCATTAAGCACCGATTTGAGCGGATTTATTACGGGTCAATTTTTGGCAGATTGCAAAGGGGTACCATCACCGATTTTGGGCGATTTTTTTC